TCTACACCCGGATTGAATTTAAAGTAGCCAAGTTTCTAACTCATTATCACCCAATCCTTCGACATTGAAAACACGAATTATTTGTCAATGTAAATCAACATTGATGTTGTGATCTTACCGCGAATATATGGGCTTATGATATCCAAAATTGAAGACAAAATAAACATTTTACCATTGGTACACGAATCGTATAACATCATTAGTTTCAGCGCCATTAGAAATAAGGGATTCGAAGAATGAGGCTAGCTAGTCATATTCCACAAGTCATGTCAAACGGTGACCTCAGATTCTTATCCGAAGAGCATGTGCAATAAATACTATCGGTGTAGACTGGAATAACCAGACGCTAGAGATTGCCATTCGATTGAGACTCCTGGCGTATTCCGCCGAACATAACTGATTAGAAATTATAGTAAAAACAGAAACGACTGAATGTTAATCAGTTTATATACATTCATATATAAATTATCAAGCACCATGCGACCCATTTGTGTCAATTTATAGGTCCCAAATATTAGCGATTTCGCTCCTTTAACGCAAGATGGGCGCATTATGTTGTTGAATTTTGTAATGAAATCAACTGAGCTGATCAAGACGAGCATGCGCAATGCAATGTACTGTGATGGAAATTTTACCTGGACGGCGGTATTTCCGCCCATTTGGAATTCCAACGGACAAGGTTTCTTTTAGTGTACGCCAACGTATAGTCGAGGCTCCGATGATCCCATCTATACGGCTAGATTCGTTTCCTTTCCAGGACCTCTGCGATGTACCACAGACAAATGGAAACCAGTTTTGAAAATCCCGAGAACCTTTTGGACAATCCAGGAACTCTTGGAAAATGATCCAATGGCATGGGGTGGCTTGTGAATGAGCGAAGAATCCACATTACCAGACAGATTTATACAGGAGAAACAGTCAAACAGAATGAAATCTAAATCTTAAATCTTGATTCGGATTTGTTGCAAACAAACACGCCTTATAATAATGTATTTAGAAGAAGATGTGCATGTCTTTCAGTTTCTTGGTTTCTTGGTTGAAACGATGTAAACAAAAAAACCTTAACCGATTTTATATATGACATGTTTACTTCTTCACATATTTTATTTAACATTTATTTAAATACAGTAACAATTTCAAACACGGCAGAAACTCGTCACTGTAAACATATATTATAGTTATTGTTCAAGGTTACCCCTTTGGGATATGTTATCTGTATTTAGCATATAGTGAGTGACGTGCAGATGTTGTCGTTTGGGAGAGAGAGAGAGAGAGAAATGGGGTTTAACGTCCACTCGACACAAACTAGGTCATTTCGGGACTAACATATGGTTTAATTTTATTTCAATAATTCGCTTGCGCGTAGGGGTCTTTAGCAGTGGGAGGAAACCGGAGGACCCGGAGAAAACCCACGAGGTTGGACAGGCGACCCTACTCCTTGTCACGTACAACCGGGGATTCGAAACCACGCCAGTCGACTCAATGACAGACTTTATGATACAGCGCGCGCACGCTAACCATTCAGCCATCCAACCCCCCCGTTGTCGTTTGGACTATAGGCATTCTTTCCTGTTATACACCACGTACTGCACAGCTGACACGAGGAAGCACCGGTTATTACAAATCATTTTTACAAGGCAAAAGAGAGAACTAGATCATACATAGCAGATTGTGGCGTTCTTGTAGCGACCTAAACGGTCATAAATTTTAACGACATGTCTCCGAGGATCCATCATGCAGCTACAGTCATCGATTTGAAGATTCTGAACATTTTCTCCTGTGGTGCACATTGTATTCAGATACACGAAAACACACAATAAATCTTCTACCATTATACAAATATACAATTAAATCACATCTATTCGGTACAGATAATCAGGCTTCAACTAATTTCATCTTTAAAATAGTACCTGAATACTTTGATGTCACCAGATGTTTCAATATTTGATTTTATTTTCTGAACATTTTTTAGCCATGTTATAAAATAGCACTTCCTCTTTTTTCCTTTGTTACAGATAGTGTGTATATGTAATGTATTGATTTTATATGATTTTCCCCATTATTTTATAATATGTACATAGCAGATCTGTTTATTATAACATGTTTTATATTCCTTGTATGATGAGAGGGTGATATAGGCGCTATGTCTGATCCCTGGCCTATTTTCATCCAATTGGAATGAAAACAATTTTACAAAAAAAAAAGAAAAAAAAACCCTCCAGACAGCGGACCAGTGATTTGTATGTGTTACGAAACGTCGTTATTAAATAACAGAGAAGTAGTTACATCCATATATACCTTGTGTTGTGTTTTGTTATGAATAGTTAACCGTGCTTCTAGATGTCATTTTATTACTATAATTCTAAAACTTGTTCATCAGTCTTAAGATAATATTTAGTAATGTACAAATACTTGTGACCTTGAAATATATTGCCATAATCATACCGGCGTGGTTATATTATTAGAAACACTAACAGCGAACTTCATTTAATAGAGATATTGTCATCTTCAAACTAATAGTGTGCAAACTTTGAGACATATCTGCAAAATCATTGCTGGAGGGGGATCACGTGGCTAAGTGGGTAAGACGCTGGCTCGCTAGCCTGGAGGTCGGGTGTTCGGTCCCTGCATTGGCCGAGAAAGTTCATCCAGATTTTCCGGCGTGGTTCTCCCTTGTTGTCAGTGATGCAAGACAGAGGAGCTGACAAGGAAAGCTGTCTAGTCGTTCGGATGGGACGAAAAACCGAGGTCCCGTGTACACATTGGCGTGCACGTAAAAGATCCCTTGGCAGTTGGAATTCGATATAAGAGTGGCCGTAGTGCCGCTGTCCGGGCAAAATTTCCCTCATAGCACACTGTATGGCGTATGCCGTCTTCGTTGGCCCAGTTCGGAGCAAAACAGTAGGACGTTAAACCCCATTTCATTTCATTTCATTTCATTGCTGGAATATAGAAGTTTTATGCTTGAAGTTACCATTCATACCGTTTTCGTAGTGTTTTTAAAACAGTTCAGCGACATTTGGACATAAGATTTTACTCCTTTCAGTGCTTGAAATGTAGGCTAAATATAGATATCACATTATAAAATATCATAATTTATATTTTTACATGTTTCTCTCTTGGTGGAAGTGATCTTTAAGGGACTGGGTTTGGACTAAGTAACATTGACGCACACCGGTTTATGTAACAGGCGAGGATAAGATATCAATTTACATGTAAACAGAAGCCTCTAAATACTTTCCGTTTTTAACTGGCTTCAATCGTTGTTTGTAGTAATCAGTGCAACATTATTTCAATGCTATCAATAAATCACATGAAAAGGTAACCACTCACGAGCTTTTATATAATGTGTTTATTGTCGTTCATAACTCTAAATAAGTGTCATTTTTTTTTTTTTTTAAATTTGTACATTTTATTTGAATATATAAGATGTAATTAGAATTTGTGCTAGGTTAATGAATTACTACCACCACCCCTACTATTATGCTTGGCAACAAAAATGTCAGCATCCTGTTTCTGTGAAAGGTGTACGAGTCGTATAAAATAATTTATTTGATCTAAACATATCACAAACTGAAACAAAAATATTTGTTGTCCACACACACCTGTTTTGTAGACCTTGTGCATGAGAATGTAGTTTAACGTTCTACTTTTCTGCTCTACCCGGGTTAATGAAGACGGGGGAAATTTTGCCCGGACAGTGGCGATACGGCATTATTTCGGATTTCAACTGTCAAGGGCCCCTTTACCTTTTACGTGCACGGGACCTCGGTTTTTCGTCCCATGCGAACGAGTAGACATCGATCCTTGTCAGACCCTTCGTATTGCACCACTGGCAATGGTAAATCACACTGGAAAATCCGAGTATCTTTCTCGGCCGACGCCGGGATCGAATCCGGGACCTCCAGGTTACTTTGTATTCCGATACAATCTATCTCTAAATAAAGAATTAATTTCATGGAAGTTTGAAATAAATAATACAGACTTTCTATTTCTTTATGCTGCATTCCAGCATGTAGCTTTATGGATCATAACACGTGCCTCTTGTTGACCCTAAACAATATTAAAGCAGCTAATTCAAGTAAGAAAACAAGACCAAAATATTAACGGTAGATCCCCAAATGACGGTCTGGGACATTTTCAAAACAAATGGACCAACTCGATTTTAGACGGATCAGTTGATGTCGATTCAAGGGAGGTAACTTCGTTCTTCGCAATGAAAAGCAGACCATCAATTTTTTTTACATTCTGGCCTTGCTAAATGTGTTTAAACTTGAGGCGTAACTTAATCACCAACAGTTATGCAAGACACTTGAAGGTTTCCTGTATTAATGAATATTATGCTCTGGAAAGTCATACTCGTTGCAAGTATGGACATATTGGGGAAATTCAAGAATTGAGACTAAAAATCTTGTCTGTCATCAGTCTTATCTTATGCTTGCTGAACTAAGCATGTCGAGTACTATTTTCCGTTTAAAGAATAGGCAGGCCTATATATGAATGAGGGGAAAACTACGAAGTTCAATTTATTGCTCAAATGCAATGGCTGGTATTCACGATTTTCCTTGAAAGGTGTTCACGATTTTTCTCCGCCCACCGCTTTAGTGTTTTCTAACTCACGACAGCCTGTCTTTGCTCATTATGTAATAATTAAAACTATTACAGTGGGATCGAAGCGACAGTTGTTCCCCGGCAGAGGTAATCTTTTAAATGAGACGTTTGTGGCAGGGTGTGCTTATTCAACCTTCATTTGTTCGATGTTACTTTTAATAGTAAAGGTTACTGTGTACGAAACAGGGCATATTTAATCCTCCTGGAATATCTTTGTTATCATTATGTCTCACCTTGAAGTAAAGCAAAACGAATTCCCTATACTAGATGTGATTCGAGCTATCGATCTAATGTGAAAAGTTTAATGAAGTACTTTATTATTAATCACTTTATTAGACTTATTGCATTTTATATCAATATGGAATCTGCTCAAAATAAATATACTGAAGTAGGAATGAATCTTTTTTATTGCACTTGGAGTTAAGATTGCATCACATAAATAAGTATAAGGAATGGCGTCATCAAAATTCGTCCTCCTCCTCATCTCCATCTCCTTCCGCAGAATCAACACCGACTTCTTCATAGTCCTTCTCTAGAGCTGCCAAATCTTCTCTAGCTTCTGCAAATTCTCCTTCTTCCATACCTTCACCAACATACCAATGGACAAAAGCTCTCTTTGCGTACATGAGATCAAATTTATGATCGAGTCGAGCCCAGGCTTCAGCAATAGCAGTGGTGTTACTCAACATGCAGACGGCTCTCTGAACTTTCGCCAAATCACCATCGGGAACAGCTGTGGGTGGCTGGTAGTTGATGCCAACTTTGAACCCTGTGGGACACCAGTCAACAAACTGAATTGATCTCTTGGTCTTAATCGTGGCAATGGCAGCATTGACGTCTTTGGGAACCACATCTCCTCGGAACAATAAACAGCAAGCCATATATTTACCATGTCTTGGATCACATTTTACCATCTGATTGCAGGGTTCAAAACAGGCATTGGTAATCTCGGCAACGGAAAGTTGCTCATGGTACGCTTTCTCGGCAGATATGACTGGGGCATACGTTACGAGAGGGAAATGGATGCGAGGATAAGGCACCAAATTGGTCTGGAATTCTGTCAGATCAACGTTCAAAGCTCCGTCAAACCTCAATGAAGCAGTGATCGAACTGACAACCTGTCCTATCAAACGATTTAAGTTAACATAACTAGGACGTTCAATGTCTAAATTACGTCGACAAATGTCGTAAATAGCCTCGTTGTCTACCATAAAGGCGCAATCAGAATGTTCGAGGGTCGTGTGAGTTGTGAGGATGGAGTTGTAGGGCTCTACAACGGCTGTGGAAATTTGGGGAGCTGGATAGATAGCAAACTCCAGCTTAGACTTTTTTCCATAATCTACACTCAAACGTTCCATTAGCAGCGATGTAAAACCAGAACCGGTCCCTCCTCCAAAGCTGTGAAAAATAAGGAATCCTTGTAAACCCGTACATTGGTCCGAAAGTTTTCGAATTTTATCCAACACCAAATCTACGATCTCTTTACCGATGGTGTAATGTCCTCGGGCGTAGTTATTAGCTGCATCTTCCTTACCAGTAATCAGCTGTTCGGGATGGAATAAAGTTCTGTATGGGCCAGTTCTTATCTCATCTGAAATAGACAAATATTAGATTGGAAAATTTTTATGAAGTTTTCTAAAGACTTTCTTACCGCAATAATAATACAATACGTTTAAATTGTTTATACGTCTTAGCTGTTAAACTTCACAATTCCCGCGCCTTCTTTGGCCTTTTTACTTTAATGTCATTTAAACCACTAATAAGATGAAACGTTTTGATATATAGATATCTGCAGACTTTAAATTCTAAGGGGGTCGGTGGGTGGGGTGGGGTCGCCTAGTATATCTGCGGGAATCTGCCTTAATTGGGTGGGAAAAATATGCCCTTTGCCGACACCCTGTAGAAACTGTTCGGCAAACGCCCATCCAGCCGACCGGGTTCCAGCGCCACTGGATACCCGGTATGCCAAACTTAAAACTATGCATGGTGTTACTACGGGGTCAGTTTTAGGTACTTAGATATTCATTTATGGGAAATTAATAACCTACTCACCAACAACAGTAGGTTCAAGATCCACAAAAACTGCCCTGGGAACGTGTTTACCAGCACTTGTCTCACTGAAGAAAGTATTATAAGAATCATCAGAGAAAGTTTTGGCATCTTGCATGACACCATCAACTCGGATGCCATGTTCCATACAATACAGTTCCCAGCATGCATTGCCAATCTGAACACCAGCCTGGCCAACATGTACACTAATACACTCACGCTGAAACAAAAAGATTAGTGGTCAAGATTGTATTTTATCTGCATGGTTTCCATGTACATTAATATATTTTGTACAGGACATACATACGGCACTAGTATGAACTCCCAGACAATGATACAAACGGTGGGCGAGGTGGGGTGGGAATGCAGGAGTACGGGAGGGGGGGGGGGGTCGGGTTTTTAGAGGTGGGGTGAGTAGTACTATGTAATTATTTTTAGCATCTGAACTGTCATAAAACGTATCTTTGTTACGGAAAATGACAAATGATGCTAGTCTAGATATAGGAGAGATGAATTTAGATACCGTAGTTTAACGCTGCTAAATGAAATGCCAGATGTCTATAGATGGAACGATAATATACATTACATGAACGCCAACAATTAAATACTTTAAGCTTTAAAGGAACTAAACCTCTAAATCAATATTTTCCATAATATTCGAAATTAAAAACACGAATTGGGATTCAATATTTGTCCATTTCAATCAATATTGATGTTGTTATCTTGCTGTGTAAATATGGGATCATAATATTCAATATTTATGACACAATGGACGTTTTATAATCAGTGCACGAGTTGTGTATACTATAGTTTCGGGCTCGATTTGTAATGAACAAAGAAGAACATATCCTACAAGACAATAAGGAAGTAATTAGTAATGGCTAAGTCACAAACGATAAAATAATATTTTTTTAAAAAAAAAACAAAAAAAACCCCTCTAGAATGGACTAAGAAAGCGTAAACGACTGACATTTAATTTGGACAGTTCACGTATTTTACCGAATATAATTGATTAGAAATTACAATATCATTCTCAAAAACCTAAATATAAATCACTTTAAATTACGTTAATATGTGCTTTTAGACCCATTTTCGATTGTTTTAAACCTCCAGAGAATAGAGGCATACGCCCTTTAAAGAAACAATACACATTCACCAAGAAAATAAATATAACTGAAGTATCGTCCAGTTTACAGTTTAAGCGCTGATCTAATTAGAGTAACAAGTTTTGAACACGCGTTCTTTACATTCCTGGAGACCAATAAAACATAAAAGATATAAATTAAAACTTCGAAAGGAACGGCGTCTATTTGTTCAGATATGTCACGTGTACGCCTTGGCGCGCACGTAAAAGAACCCCCGACAGTAGGAATTCAATTGTTGTCAAGTGAAAATGTCCCTCATAGCGCACTGCATGAGATATGCTCGTTTTCATTATAGCCCGCTTGGAACAGAAAAGTAAACCCAATTTCATTAATTCGACTCAGTTAAATTCTGCATTCAATCTAACTGTATCGTTATTTGTAGTAGAAATTCCCCTCTTTAAACATCTGTACACAGGTGCAAAGTTGTTATTATTCATACACAAATGCCAATAGTTTTGGCAGAAAGCCGAACAGACACGCGTAAGTGAGCGAGCACATTCTTTGTGCTAATTTATCCGTAAATTAATGTACAGTCTACAGATATATACATGTATTTATAATTAACTACAGGTAGCATCCTAACATCTGTGTCTAATTGTAATTAAATGTAATTACGTCTAAAGGGAATTAACAAAAAAGCAGAAACAAATACAGAGTTCTGGGTTTTAGCTGGATATTTGAAAGTTTCGGTTGAAAGTATTTGGCCAAAATAGGATTACGTATTGACTGATCTGATAAAATGATTATTCGATATCGATATACCTTTTGTATATTATGTCATGGGATAATTAATATACAGCAGTCTAACCGGCTTGAATATAATAATATATAGGATAATTCAGTTAGTTGCTTGGAACTGGATTATAAAGGGTACAACCAGAACTAACCAGTTTTGTTAACTGACATAGCTCTGGGATTTCTCCCTGAATTAGATAAATATGCTAGTGTAAACTCGAACCCTTTCTATTTCGCAACGGTGTGTTATATACGGGACAAGAGATTCTGGTATATGGGTGGTGTTTATATAAAGTAAGGGTCTAAAGGTTAAAATGATAGGTACAGTGTAAGGTATAGATAAGTAATTAGAAACATATGATGCCGTCGCTAAATAAATGCAAACCTTTTAGGTCATGGTAGGAAAACTATCGAAGATTGAGGCTGTATAGTTACAGAGGGGTGCGGGGAGGTTGGATGGCTGAATGGTTAGTACGTGCGCGCTGTATCATAAGGTCTGCGTCAACTGGCGTGGTTTCGATTCCCCGGTTGTACGTGACAAGGAGTAGGTTCGCCTGTCCACTCCGTGGATTTTCTCCGGGTCCTCCGGTTTCCTCACACTTTTAAAGACCCCTACGCGCAAGCGAATTGTTGAAATAAAATTGAACCATATGTTAGTGCCTAAATGAACTCGTTTGTGTCGAGTGGACGTTAAACCCAATTTCTCTCAGTGTTTTGTGAATTCCCTGCAGATCTTCATGGGCTATATGTAAAAAGATATATCTAAATAAATTATGAATAATAATAATATAATACGAAAATAACTTTTTTAGATCTGCAATTGACTGAAACTTTGTATTTTCTGTATAAAATAATATGATCGTTTTATTTTGGGGATTTATATATTTGTCTGAGCAGTGGCATTTCGTTCGCTCTTCTTTAAATTCTTCAAATCCAAACTGTCAATGGATACACGTATACCGGTGTTCGTCCCATCCGAATGACTGCGTTATTTTTTTTTCAGCTATAGTCAGTGCGTGCACTTGAAAAGTGGAAATCAGCCCCTTTAAAACTCTTAAAAGCCCCTGCGACAATCTAGTCGAAATTCTAATAGCTTAGCCGTGGTACAATGTAATCAGTGACCATATATGAAAACAATGTATCGAAGATCTTAAACCCTAACTTTATTTTACCCCTTTCGGTAAGACAAGAAAACATGCAGCGCATTAAAGAACCCCCCTGACAGATGAAAACTGAAATAAGATCAGACTGATGGCGTCGTTGTGAAAACAACATTTCTCTTCATAGCCCTGGGGTGCAGGAAAGTAAGAAATTAAACCACATTTCATTTCAATTTCCCCCTAAAAACCATTGATGAATATTTTCTTACCATATTTCTGTATATTTATTCCTATTTTATTAAATAAAAAAACTCACTACAACAGTGCGTAATGTCCTGAAGTGAGGATTTCAATAATGATTGAAAAAGTTACACATTTGATTTTTATACTTTGACCTTTATCTCTGACATGAAGGTGTATTTTCATTGGTTAAAAGAAATTATCACTATGGAAACTGCAGGAATGTTCTTGTAAGATATTAAGAGGGAAAGCATTGGTACAAAAACAACTAGAGCTTTGAACATACTATCGTGTTACTGTACATTACCAATAAGATTCACCAGATAATATACCAACATGCACTGACAGAAAATCACTTTAACAGATGTGTTTTAGTTCTTTTGTCTTCTATTTGCGCAATTTCGGTCAATTTTTGTAGGGTAGTGTCGGTCAACCATATATCTTTAAACTAGATTATATGATTAATTTTTACTGTTTAGATAACTTTTGGCAAGAAATATTAATAAATCCTATTTTCATTAAGTTTTACTGCACTGGGCGTATGTTTTATTACCTGGTAAACCTTTCTTTATGTTTTTTGGTAAGGCTACTTTTTATTTTGTATGGTCTAATGGTCTTAAGATTTGTATTTGTTGTCTATTCTTGAACATGGGGCCTATAATTAGACATAATTTATTGTTTCACTACCTCTTACTTCATGGCAAAACGACTCACTGTTATACAAAACCACCGCAGTTTCGCTCCTAAAATTAAGAGAGGGAGGGGGCGTTCATTCAACACAAACGATAGGTTATTTCATAAGATACAATGTTATTTTCATAATTCGCTTGTGTATAAGGGTCTATAGTAGTGCCGGGGGTGGGGGGGGCAGAGAAATCCCACGAGGTAAGACAGGCGACCCTACTTGTGACGTTCAAGCGTGGGATTGAAATCACGCCATTTGACCCAATGACAGACAGCATAGCCTAAAGTGTTAGACCGTTAGGCCACCCAATCCCCCCTTGGGTCTGTTTGAGACTAACATATTGTTCACAATTCTATGGAATACAATTACTGCTTATTACTGAGCGAAATTTCGACTATGCTTCTCTGGTCATTATCAAGCAGTGATAAAATATAAAATATAACGAGACAATATATTAAAATAATTTAACATATTGTCATGTGTGAAATGTGAAAGAAGGAATTTTGACAGAACAAGGGCGTTTCCGCCTACTCTTCTTCACATTCCAACTGTCAGAGGATCTTATTAATGCATTGTCGGGTTTTCGCCCAATCCGAACGACTAAGCACATATTTTTATCAGTGTTGCAACCGCTATTCCTAATTCGGTCCACACCTGGATTCGTACCTGGACAGCATGCTTGCGATTTCATTTTCTTAGCCGCACAACCGACGAGGATATCTAAAAACAAACCAGCGGCTGCCAGGCAGGATACGCCCACATTTTGCAAATATCGACAGGGACTAAGATTTGTGGAGTATAAAGATATGTTTTATGTTTCATCAAAATCGGATAAAAATTGTGACTTCTAGAGGGTCCATAACCTTCGCATTGCATACTTATACAAAGACCGTCCATTATGTCTGACAGTTTCATTTCGATTTTCTCGAAATTCGAATTCAACCTTCATTATGGTGAAATGGTGATATATCTAAACGGTTTTTAAAATCGGAAAAAAATGGGATTTTTCGACCATTCAGGGGATATAATCCAGGAAGTTACGTTCGGATATGTGTGATTATCAAAAGGAACAAAGATATTTATAATAGAAACATAGGCTATATTTAAAGTTTCGTCCAAATTAAATAATAACTGTGGCCTCTACAGGATCCACAACCTTGATATACCTTGATATACCATTCTTACACTATTTACGTTCAAGGGGCGGCCATTATGTCCGTCAGTTTTAGTCCGATTTTTATTAAATTCGAACTCAACCATCATTGGTGTATAACTGTGATTATATACACACGCTTTTTTTTTTAAATTAGAAAACAAGTGTGAACTGTATAGTAACCACACGCCAAAAATGCAATTTTTCGTACAGTCAAGGGCCATAATCCAGGAAGTTATCATTCGATATGCGCGAATATCGACAGGAACCAAGATCTTTGGGTTATAAACATGCATTTCAAGTTTCATCAAAATCGGATCAAAATTGTGACCACTAGAGTGTCCACAAGCTAAAAATAAAAAAGCGATTTTTTGTACAATCAGGGGCCATAATCCATGAAGTTATGGTCCGATACATGCCAATATCGCAAGGAATCGAGATCTTTGGGAGATAGACCTATATTTCAAATTTCGTCAAAATCAGATAAAATTTGTGACCACAAACAAATTGTGTTCAGGTTAGATTGTTTGCAAATTTTAAGACTAATCTGCCAATCCTGTTTTAACATTCGTTCACCAAATTATTTACTCTATACAGGCCAATAATTTCGATGATTAGGTGTCTTAAGGTAAATAGGATAGAATATTATATTAAATGAATTGCATTTATTTTTGTTCATTCTTTTTTTTTTTTTTTTTATTTTTTTTATTATCTTTTTTATTTATTTTTTGTTGTTGAAAGTGATAATGTCCCTTTAAATATCGACCAGTTGTTCATGATTTATTTTGAGCCGGGGATCACGGTGGCTAAGTAGGTAAGACGCTGGCTCGCTAGCCTGGTGTAACCCTATCTTAGTATAACAGAGATCAGTTTCGTAAATATATGGTTTATTTACATAGGAACAGAATATAACATTACTACATCAATACTACAGAAACTAGACTATACTGGAACTAAACTACATCGGAACACATATAACTATATTAAATCCACCATTCTGCCCCTCTGCCAAGGCAGCGGCTGAACTCGGGTGAGTCCATGCACTCGTCCAAGCCTCTCTCCTCCGCCCGTCTGTGGTCCTCTTTAGTCGACTGCCTGTCAGTAAACTCCTCAATATATACCCTCGGACGATAGATAAGACACATGGTCATACATGCAATTATCTCTTTTATCTCGTCACGGAATGCTTACAGACTAGTGCATATTCCTTTGAAGTAAAGCGGAACGTGTGCACAGATCATATGTAACTTGTAAAGGGCATATTGAATTAATTACATGTTTAATTGCAACACAGACAATCGTGACTTAAGAACAGTGCATACAGAGTTAAAAGGTCAATATTATATATATACTCTTCAAAAAAAGTAGGGGATATTGAAATACAAATATCTATGCAGGTTGTGATATGATAAATAGTCATGGACACTTGACATGCTTTGAGAGTATTTTCACAGACTGACAAGAACTTATCGCCCCAACAGAAAAACTGAGCTGCTCATGCGACACGCAATAGCGCCATACACGTGGGAGGGGTTCATTGTCAAATTTGACACTCCAAGGAAGGGTTGATGAAAACTGCCACTTGCAGGTTTATCTATTCATGTTTGCTTTCCTATCGGTTCTTGCATAAGATTTACTGTTTAGCGTATCTTTGTTTTAGTGTGTTACGTTTAATTTGATCGGGAGACGTCAACGTCAACCGACACCACTGCAAGATTTGGCCGTGGCACTGCAAGAGGAGTGGGTCAGATTGCCCCAAATCGTGATTGGACGGTTGATTAGGAGCATGCCACGAAGAATTGCTGAATGTCTGAGGATTGATGGAGCAATTACTCATTATTAAGACAAAAATCAAAAACGTATCTATTTGCGAGTGAAATGGGGTCGTCAGATAAGCTGCCCATATGAACTGTTTATGTTCATGTGTAGGCAATTGGCCTTTTATTAACATACACTGGTTACCTCTAATAAAAACAGCAGTGCATTTCCGCAGTTTTGTATTGTTTCTGAATATCCACTACTTTTTTTTTTTTTTTTTTTTTGAAGAGTATATTTACATGTATGTAACTATCTTACTTTCTTTATGCGATGCAGGGATGCCGATATAGTACCCAAGGGGTCAGCATTAACCAAGTATTGTTGTGTACATGTATATATTGTCTTGTTATGTTTTCATATTTATCATTGCTTGAAAATGGCTAAAGAAGCCTAGTCGAAACGTCGTTCAGTAATAAGCATTAAAATACATATGTGACGTCATCATTTGATGTTAGCGTCCCATTATTTCCAATAATGTACGGGCAACTTGCCAATCGTACATTATATCTATACTAGATGAAATATTGGACTCGCGTGACGTATTTCATTGAAAAGCGCGTGCGGGATAGTGTCTGTATTTTAAGTTGTAACAGGGACGGGAAATCTTCCTTTGTTCTTTTCGTTGAATAAGCAGATTGTTTTCCCTCATGAAAGCCGTGCTATAAATATAACGTGTTTAATGGTCTCGAGCTAAAGACATTGCGTAATATACTGAGCGCCATAGAAAACGCATCCCTTTTTTTACCCAAATATTTTATTACTAGGTGGTTTTGTATGTATAATATTATGCAGTACTATGAACTATTGTTTCACACAATGCTCCCAATCGCAAAAAATATCGTCCCGTGTGCACAAAAAAAAAATTGCACGAGATGCACATGAAAAACCCAATATTCACGTGCAGCATTGTGTGTGAGCCCTTTAAAAGCATGTTTTCAACTTAATGTGCAGTACATGAACTGTGAAACGTCAGTCTGTCGTAATTTGTTGTTGGACGTGTGAAGGAATCGAGCTAGAGATGCCGAGACTTACTGAAAATCAACGGAATGAAGCCATTGGAATGTCCCGGTCTGGCATGTCTACGCGTGCTATTGCCAGACACTCCAATTGTCATCAGTCCACTATTGTAAGTTTGGTGGAACGTGTTCGAGTTACTGGATCAACACGTGACCGTCAACGTCCTGGTCCACAACGCGTTACAACCCAGGCTCAAGACCGCTACATCCGGGTCACTCATCTGCGTGACAGATTCCGCCCAGCGACTCGAACAGGTGCAGCAGTCGTCGGAAGACAAGGACCAGTAAGTGCCAACACCGTAAGACGTCGTCTAAGAGAAGTAGGACACCTTATGTTGGAGCTATCCTCAGGGATCATCACCGTCAGCAGCGTTTGATCTGGGCTCAAGGACACCAGACATGGAGAAGAGTAGACTGGCAAAGTGTGCTCTTCCGTGATGAGAGTCGCTTTCGTCTTTATCACGCTGATGGCCGTCAACGTGTGTGGAGACGTCTTGGGGAACGTCTTGCAGACTGCTGCGTCTTCGTAACGAATCGATGGGGTGGGGGAAGTGTAATGGTGTGGGGAGGCTTCACATTTCATCACCGGATCGCCCTACACATTTGCAGGGGTCGCGTTAATGATGTAGCCTACCGTGATGATGGCCCGTGGAGGACACACGCGCTACTGACATCTGTGTCGTACTTTTGGTTTTGACCCCTCTGACTTTGTACCCTTGATTACAGATTAAACATCCATAAGTGTACAAATGTGTTGTTATTGATGTGTTCCCATTTGAATAGTGTTCACAATAAGAAACAAAATAAATAAAATATGTTTACAGGATCATTTTGTTATACGAAAAACTAAGTGATGCGTTTTCCATGGCGCTCAGTATATATTGAAACAACACTCGGCTAACGCCTCGTGAAGTATCAATATATTACTTATTGTCACGCTCTCGACCATTAAACCATACGTAATTGTATTCCATAGAATTGTAACCTGTTTATAACATTTAAAGGTGCAAATGCAGTATTCCATACAAATATAGACTTCCAGACCTTATACAATAAAAATAGCAATAACAAAACAGGTTTGGATCCAAAATTTAGATGGGTGTCGCATTTGGTTGATACGACCCAAGTTAATTAAATGGATATAAATTAATTTGATGAGGATTACGGCCAACCTCATGTCGCAATCATTTTGCTATGATGGACACCCGGACGCATTATTATCTTATCGCAAAGTGCCTTGCTTTACAGTATTTAAATCAAATGTAATGTTTTAAGTTCACAGAGATTAGACGACTTACTTTCTATTGGTTTCAAATCGTCATTTAAATGAGCTAAATGGTTATTCGTTGGGGACGTGGAAAAAGACACAAATGGGTTGCAACGCATTTAATAATGTAATATGAATGCATATAAACTGATTTACATTCAATCGTTTCTGTTTTTACGGTATTTACTAATCAGTATGTTCCGCGAAATACGCGAAAAGTCCAAATTGAATGGCACACAATTGGCAGTCTTTGGCTTCTGGTTATTCCCGTCTATAACCGGTAGTATTCTCTCCTTGGCCTCGTTCATCGAGTAGCTTCATTACAAATGACACTTGAAAGCATTCTGGCACACGTTTCGTGGGCCAATTTCAAAATGTTCATTTTGTCTTAAATGTTGGATACCAGAAGACTATCAATGTTGATTTAAATTGATCAGCAAGTCGTGTTTGCAATGTCGAAGACTATAGATGATATTGATTTAGAGACCTGCCTTCTTTAAATGTCAACGTCTGATAGAAAACTCGTTTCTATCCATGAGCTGTCTAAATTAGGCTACTATCTATAGAACAGGGAATGATTAAGACCGTGAAATTATGAAGTCCTCGTGTACATGTATTTAAAAAAAAAAACGACATTGATCCATAAATTAAACATTTATCTATCGAAATGAAATAATAATATTACTAAGAGATAAAGCTGCTTTTTGTAGATCTTTCTGTTGGCCTCAATTAATGTTCAATAAATTAGCCTATAATAAGACATTTATTCACATGTTATTTTTAAAAACGACCCTACGTACGTTACACTGATTTCACGAGCGTATATTGGGCTTACCGCAAGATTTCTTTGCCATTCCGCGTCTCCTACTTAATATTTAGGCGGGAGTGGGATGGGATGGGATCGGATGGGATGGGATGGCGGGGGCAATATATCCCCAGAAAATTCACAGCAACATCAGTGGGCTGGCCGATTCGGCCCAAAAATTGGTTTCACAGTAACTCGACATTACACATGTATATTATATTGTTTTGTTAAATTAATGTGTGACTAATGTTTATGACAAATAATTCTTCTTTTCCACAAAATATATCGTTAAAATTAAGTTACTGATACGGGTTCAATGCAATCTATATCCGGCTGTGAGCAGCACAGCGTATTATTAACAGTCTAACGCTTAAACAGGGCAACGGACGTGTGGCTAGCGATAGGGCGTCATCCTGTTGTCACGTGACCATAGAAATGTCAAAATGGCGATGTGTAAATGGCTGTATCGCCGAAAACGATCAGTGTTTTTGCTCTTAATTGCATCTTCAGCATGGATTGCATACATTACCTTTGCTACTGAATCTGAATCAGGTAATATTGATTTAATATTCAGTTGTATTATAAGATTAAATGGCGGGAAAATGAATACATTTGTAAAAATTGTTGTAGATCTGTACGGTAATTGTTTTTCTGCAAGATCAGTGAGGAGGCATAGTCATTTCCCACTCCAGTACTCTACCGTATCTTACCACAAGGCTGTGTGTGGCGATTGGACGTAACATCAAACTTGTTTTGATTGTACTCGTCTACTCGATTTGGCTTTGTACCATACGTTTTATCGTTGCACAGTAAAATAAGCGGTCATAACCGGCATTATTATTTATTAAGCAAGGAAAATGGTCAGCATAATAATATCATAATGCCAATCACCAATGCATCACATAATGACATGTTGTATGTAAAACTTGTATAGTATCAGTAATAGTACTAATAGGGCCTATATTTATGAAATAATTTTTGACTGCATGAAAAAAACATGTTAAAAAAAAGGTAGACCCTTCATGATAATATGATATGGAAACAGGATACAGATGCATTCGACTCCCAATGCTCAAGGACCTGACCTAAACAGACGGCAGTACTAAAGGCAGGACTGACTGTCGCGTAGGGCCAATTCTGACATAACATACTGGTGGTGGAGTCACCCTGAATGGACAGTTGAAGGGCTTCTTCCCTATTAATAAGCTGGAAATATGAAAATACCACTCTACCCCACCTCTGTTAGTAATGCTATTGGAGTTGTTATCTTCTATTTTTTTGCCAGATCAATCATTTCTTGCCACATCTGATATAAACTTATAACTATCCAACACTATTTTCATTTATGATTATAAAACATAAACATAATGCTTTTGGATTGGTCCGCCTTTAAGAGATTTGCACTTGCGCAGCCGCATGTTTTGAAGATAAGGACTCCAAAATTGACCGTTCCGAAAGGAATAGAAAACCAAACCAAGATTATCCTTTTTTTCTCAAACCTTGAACAGTTCAGAGGTTTTTCAGAAGTTTCACATAGCCCTGACATACAGTACATCTACATGTATGCTTGTCTATTTGTATCTTTTCAGAAGAAAGAAAGAATGGAAGCAAAGAAACAGACAATTCAATTAGTCATAAATATTTTAATCAAGATTATATTCTAGAACCTCCTGGAGCACAAACACAAGATGACAACTCCAACGATAAAGAAGACAAAGAATCACCTAAGAAAACCAAAGATGATGATACACATTTAGAGAAAATTATTCAAATGGGAGAAAAAATTAAAAATAAGACTGTGGAGATGGGAAAATCATTTAAGAATAAAACATTAGCTGTGGGAAAACATGTAAAGAACAAGACATTGGAGCATTTAGCTGTATTAGGAATGCTTCGACCAAAGAATAAAATAAAATATTTATATTATCCATCTCAGTTCAATTTAAGTGTTGACTTAGAAGACATTGGGAATATTATGAAGGATACTGAATTTCTCAATAAGCTACATCCTCTAGATTTGAGTAGTCCTGCTCTAGCCAGTACTCAAAATAGAACAGCTAACTATACATATAATATGAAATATCATGTGGGATTTTGTGATTGTTGGGACAGAAATTGTCTGTGTTGTGCGAGAATTATCAATAAGAGACTCCATCTTAACACAACAATGTGCAGTAATTTTACTTTCATTTCTAAAACACATGTAAGTATACATACCAGCTAACAAATTTTTTTATGTGTTTGCTTTAGTTTTATATGAATATGCAGTTGACTCGGATGGTTCCCCCTTTTCAGTGGTGTAGGACAGAGGGCATGGTACATGTAAGTGACGACTTATAGTCATTCAGATGGGACGAAAAACCAAGGTCCTGTGTACGTATAAGAACCCTTAACAGTTGGAATTTGAAATAACAGTAGGCCGTAGCGCCCTGGCAGGGCAAAATTTCCCTCATAGCGCACTGCATGGCATTTGTCTGTCCTCATTAGCCCAGTAGGAACAGAACAGTAGGACGTTAAACCCCATTTCATTTCTGATGGTAGCCTTCGGTCCCAAGGTTAACTCTAGCTTCAGAAATCCAGATTCTGACCATTGCTTCAGTTATCTTTCAGTTGTTATAGGTGTTGTGCATGAGGTGGGGTATACTATACCTGATACCAATTAATGAGTTCACTTTTGTATTTAAACCATTAAGTGGGTGACTCTGCTAGTGATTTTGACCAAGGATTTATTGTAAACAGTACGGTATCAAGCTAAAAAAATAAGCCACATTAGGGACTGCAATGCAATAGTCCATATATATATATCTTTTTGAAATTGAATTTTATATGGGTTGTCTGTTTATTGATTTGCAACTATTCTCAATAATATTAATAACTGCCAGGGGAATAGTTATTTATTTTTGTTTTGAAATGTTAGAAATTTCATGACTGCAATTATTGACCTATATTTCTTTATTAAAGACACTTTGCATGATTTTAGCTCTATAGAATCACAGGCAAACTGCAATATTGTGAATGTTTAATCTTAAATAGGAATATCACTCCAAAAGTTGTTCATTTCCATTCAGTATTTCATCAATCTATGTAACAGGGAGGTGCTATCTTTATATGCCATTGAACCAAATTCATGGGCTAGTTTTAAATATGATTGAATCCAAGCGTGTAGATTAATACCCAGTCCCGGTATGAGTATTGGTATTAGCATGGATTAAGCTGTTTGAAACTTGATATTTTCTGTACAATGCAAATGATGCATCGTGACTTTTAATTTTTATTGGTTGTGTATCTAACTTTTTGAAAAGAAGAATGGTAATGGTATTGATTTCAACAAGTTCGATCTTTACTTACAGAATTTTTCCACTTATAAAATCTTGTTAGCACCTTTTAGAGGCTTTTGAATAGTTGCTGTATCAGTTTTTGATAAAAGTTTCATTGTGTAACTAAGTTTCCATGGTTGATTAGTGTGTGATGTATATTGGAAAGAGTAATAACTCCACATTTTATTAGTGACTTTTGAATTTGTTATGAAACAAGATAAGATTATGTTTCTAATCTTCTTCATAACATGAAAAAAATATTTAAAATACAAAGAAACATTCATGTACATGTATAGTATTATTTCTTTTATTGTAATTACTTGTAATTATACATTTTTTCATGGTAGTTATAATGTACCACCTGTTATTATACAAGTTACTTAGTAATATCTGTAAACATACATGTATGTTATATACACATTACATGTACTTTTATTATAGACCAGTTACTGTCTAATGTACTTTTATATTACCCATATCATGTCGAAACATCTTCTCACTACACAACTAATTAACTTCTTCCATAACTTCAGGGCATATATATTACTGGTACATGTGAAATAACATTATAAATATATTATAAAAGGAGTGTCCATTTTCACCTCCATTCAAAATCAAATGTGCTTAATAATCATCAGCTGCAACCATCTGATTAATGATGTAATAGACTCATATGTTATGTCGAAATGTTGGCTTGGCCTTACACTTAACATTAAAATTTATAAATTTTAAAAAATATGATGTTTGGATTATCTTGTAAGATTAATAGTTTTTGGCAACAAATATTTTTTCCCCTGTACCGGTAGTTTGAATGGGGTCTTCGTTTTGAAAGAAATATATTGGTAAGGTCAGTAGAATAATTATCTTGTTAACTGCATTAATAATTGATATACACTGTATATTTTAATTAATGGTTATACCTGTATGGTGAACCTCTATGCAGTCCAGGCCATGATAAGACACGATTTCATTCCCAGGGATCATGTCACTATGAATGCATAATGATAGTGACTACAGTATAAAAACCAAAAATAGATGTACTTGATGATAGTGACAAGAATATATTATACAAATGATGAATACTTGCTATCTACAAAATGGAATTGGAATTCAAACTCTGACAGTGCTGTTTCTTTCTAATTTCAGGAATTAGAAACTGATGTTTTATTAGATGGTAAAATTATTCATAAAAGAACAATATCAGGTACGAACATTCTACATATGTGGATGGTTTATAAATTTGCAGGAATTTGCTTTTTCACCTATACCACAAATCATATTCTTTAGCTGGCTTGTGAGTCTACAGGTTGCGGGTTAGCTCCTGTTGTTGGCCAAGAAAGTTCATCATGATTTTCTGGCATGTTTCCCCCTCTGTCAGTGGTGCAGGACGAAGGGCATGACAAGGACAGGTGTCTAGTCATTTGGAATTCAATATAAAAGCGTAGGCTGTAGCGTCACTATCTGGGCAAAATCTTCCTCAAAGTTAAAATTTCAGATAGTTATAGTGATCTTTCAGGTTTTGTTTTAAATTTATTAATTCATTTATTGTTTCATACCATTTCAGCTGACGAACCCCCATTGCTGTGTTTAGGATCCATTTCAAAAGTGGTGGATATTTGTGTTCATTTTTTTAATGTAACTTTTAAAGTGAATGCAGAAACTGATCATAAGACTCAACTACTTGGCTGTACAGACTTCTCTCTCAATCTTTATAATAAAACAATAGGTGCTCATCCTGTGGACTGTTTCCAAATTCCTGGAGATCCAAATAAGAAACACAAAGATAGACCATTTAATTTATTTGGTAATTGGATGCCATGATCTCCAAAGAATGAAATTATTCTTATGATATTTAAGTGAAAATTTTCTTATCTAAATGATTAATATGGAGAATTTTTGTCTACATGTAAATCTTATTTCTTTTATGGGATATTTATGGAATATAGTGTAATGTTTTGTCTGAAAAGGCAAGTTTGGTCAAACTTTAAATTTACTGTAAGATATGTTAATTTATGCAGTGAGTATATATTGTGGGTGAACTATGCATTTTTATCAGTGGTTTAAAGTGTTCTTTAATAATATTCCATTGTCTCTTTTGCAACATCAATGGGCATTCTGATTTATTTTAAATAAAACTGACACAGTTATATGGGACAACAATCACTGGTTTATTATACACAAGCACAACGTTTCGATAACTATTCTCTTATCGTTATCAAGCACAAGTTTTGTTATGTTTCCAATTGCTAAATGCCACTAAAGGATTATAACAACATGAAAGATTTTAATATTTTGTTTTTGATACTTCTGTGGGAGTCAAAAATTTTAACTGCAAGTTCTCTCACTAGAAGTATGTCAGGTTTGCCTGGTATAGGTCCAAAGGTTTATCTTTGGGCTGCCATATGTAGGCTAACTGTCTGACAACTGAAATTAAGAATTATAACTTTTTTCCCAAATTTAAATAAAGTCTAAAACAATGATTATAACATTATATTAAGATTGATGAGATTGTATATGGTTAATGATGGTGTAAAAATGAATATTTATATCTACGTATAAAAAAGTTAGAAGCACAGCTAACAAATAGTATTTTACCACAAGGCAAACCCTGTGCTATATGTTATACTGTCTGTCCACTTCATTAGGTCAGTATCAAGAAACTTTGCTTTTATTCTAGTAAAAAAAAGTAGGATATTAAACCCTGACACAAACCCATCAAAACCTGTAATACAGAATATTCAGAGAAATCTTTAGACAGGCTTTATTATCAGGACATTGTTTGCTAAAACATGTCTTGAGATGATAATAGAGTGTTCATCTGATTAAATGAAATGAAAATACATGTAACATCAAATTACTCCCCTTGAGCTGTTGACCACTTGAAGAACACCTGACAATATGCCTGTCAAACATAAAAATGTTTTACATGTTGTAATGGTAATTTATTGGTAATGCATAGGTCTTCAGAAAAAAAGACTCTTGCTTGGTCCTTTTTATATTAAAAAAATGGCATGCCATATCTTCTAAAGTGTATTGTAACATGGACGGGAAATCTTCCTTTGTTCTTTTCGTTGAATAAGCAGATTGTTTTCCCTCTAGTAGATTGGGTGGAGCTTAACCATGCAATAACTAGACATGGTCAATGTTATTGCACTCTTTTGCATGTGCAATAACAACAAGCATGTTGAACAGGTGTAAATGTTACAAGTCATTTATAGCATGCCTCATTCGTTAACAGGTTTAACATCTCAGCCTACGGCCTCGATGTTTAAACCTGTTAACTCATGAAAGCCATGCTATAAATATAACTTGACAGTATTATTTTACCACTTTTGTCAGCTGCAAAGACACGAGTACTATGTACATGCATAGTCCATGGTTTTTTTTTGGTTTTTTTTTTATAAGCAATATTTTTATTCAGATTTCTATCTGAATAGGGATTGGCGAACAGGCATAGCCTATATTAAACCCTTCTCCCTAGTCCATGTTACAAGTAATTTATACTACACAACATTTGTTAACAGGGTTAACACCTCGCACATTACAGATTATAGTCGGATACAGTTTCAAATTTAAAGATCTAGTCTATTTCTGTCAGATCCATGTTGCATGAAAATTTTATCTTAGAACTTTTACTTGTATTATGTACATTTTGTTTATATTTATGAGATTTAATATGGTTTAAAGAGATTAATTCTGTTGTTTCTGTTTTAAATATTGTATGAAACAAGAAATTATTGCAACTAGAACTAAGTCACTATAAATATGTGTCTTGAAGTTAATGCAATCCGCCACATTATTGCCCTACATATTTCTCTTCTAAAATGACTACCTTTGGCTTCTTGCATATGATGTGCTCTGCCCAAAGACAAAGTGCGTGCCCTGGAGGTCAAGTTAGCTCGCCTAAAGTTAGCAAAAAAAAAACTGATAACAATCATAATATGAAATGAACTTTTTGTCAACTTGAGTAACTGCTTTTCAGCAAGATAATGATCGACAAACAACTATATAGGTAATACAATCCATGTTCTACCGGGCACGCAGTGTTATTTTATGGCATATTTTGTTGACATTCATTGTATGGTGAGATTGTGGATGGCACCCTAGATTTGCATTAATTTCTTGTTCTACAGCTGTTAATATGACTTTGGACTTCCATCTGTATAGGTTGTTATTATTTTAAAGATGCATTATGTAAGATTTAGATAAAAGAGCTGGCTGTTCTTGCTATAAAAGTTAAAATTAGATAATAAAAAAAAATGAATATATTAAAAATTACATGATCCTGTGTATTTTATGAATGTTTGAAGTTTTGACAAAAAATAGTGTAAATAGTCTCCATTGTCAAGTACCATTGCTACAATGATAAACTAAGTCTAAATTTTACCTTTTAACATTGACATGGTCTAATCCACTAAATATGTTAGCCATCTTATGACCTAGAGAGGTTACTATATGCTTGTCATGTTAATGAATGTTTAAATAATAATTTATAACATTCAGAAAAAAAGGACTTGCAATAGACAGATTTAGCTGTTACGTAATCGATAATGATATATAGAAATATTTATACAAGATTTATAAGAAGTTAATGTAAAATAGTCTATGTATTTTGCTTTCCTTGTCAAAAGAGACTTGATAATACCATTTCAAGACTGTGGACCAATCAAATTCCAGAATTATGTTGTTAGGATCATCAAGTCTCTTTACACCAACACCACACCAATAAAGTTTTGGGCATTAAGTAAGGGAATTGAAACTATTTCCTGTAATTTTCAGGTAATCATTCCAGACAAGTCAGTTGTCCCAGTGCTTATTAATTAAAAGTAGGCGTATCTGTTATAGTCTATTGAAACGTTACTAATTATAGATGTTATTATCATCACCTGGTTAGTTTAACACAATATAGATATTGACAAAAGATAATGATCAATATTCAGGGACGTAAGACTTATTTTCATATTGATTAGGATCAGAGTGAACTACAAAACTTCAATTTGGCTGCTGGATAACGGCAAAGCTATGGTATTATAGATATTCACATTGGTCTTTTTAACAAATAATTTGAATTTAAAGTAGACAGTCTGTCTTTATTATATCAGTTTATACTGGAATATCTAGCTTATTTTTTTTAATTTTGTTTCTATGGTATTTGCTTTAGCACAATACTTGTTTCTATTTTGTCCCCAAAACAAGCATTTATTAGCATCTGTCGTAGACTGCTTAAAGGTTCCAAGATGCACTTGGAAGACTTTTAACATTGACAAGAGATATCCAAAGAGGCTACAAGGTGGACATTTCATTTTAACACTCAATAACACATTCTACAGTAGATATTGCTTGTATGATAAATTTACATGAATTTGATTGGTCAATTTAAAAGGAACTACTTTTTTTATTTTCAAAGAACAATTCATTTTTTATTAAAAGTAACTATTTTTATTTAATTGACTTTGAGGGAAACACCGGGTCAATATAAAGGACCTGAAAATGGTTGAATTGTCAAAAAATGATGTATCACTATGTAATGAGGTTCAGTAAAAGTGAAATCTATAGCAAAGAATTATATTTATTTATTTGTGCATGTAAGAAAGGATTGGGTGATAAATAAAATCTCCTACTCGTCTTGATATAAAAAAAATATCAACACTCCTCGATAAAGTAAAAAAAAAATCGGCAAAGCCTCATTATTTTTTACTTTATCGACTTGTTAATATTTTTTGATATCAAAAAAGACTCATAGGAGATTTTCTATATATTTCCAAAGCTAAAAAACAGAAAAGTGTTTGCAATGGATTAAAACTTGCAAATATGCAGATCTGGCCAAATTCTGAACTGAAAGCCCCAGAAGCCACAATAAATATGCTTTTAGATTTAGAATGCAGCTGTTGCAACATTTATAATATTACTCTGTGATCAATAGTCTATACATATAGGTGTATTGGATAAAGCTGCTATTTGTCATTTGCATCTGTTGGACAATATCTTAATTGTTCAAGTCTTAGTCCACTCTAAAATATACCTCAAATTGATTATTTAACATTTAACTAAGAAAAAACAAAACCCAAATATCAATGGCTTGGATTCAAATATATCAGGGGAACTGGTTTGTTTATAAGGTCTGCATAGAATACTGAATGTTGCAAGTTTTATAATTCATCATATAAAACCTTTCTAAATACTGAAGGATTGAACCAATTTTGGACAGATACTCCTTTTAAAGGTTCAACCATCACAATATTGTAGTTTGTAAGAGATCATCAAATTGTGAGAGATTTCTACGTCATTTCCAAAAACAAATTTGGTTTAGTTTAAATTCTGTATTAGAGTAAACCATAATGGACTATGTCATGTTAAACCTCTACAGTATTCACAAGGTCAGTCATGAAATGGGTTGACAAAACTATGGTTCGTTTCTAGTTGTCTTTGGCAGTTATCATTTTCTGGTGGAGAGTAATCCAATAGAAATAAAAATCCAATTGGATTCCTGATAAGAAGTGGTGTCATATGTTCCATAAGGATTAAGCATACCCATTCCATGCATGACACCCATCACTTATAGAAAAACAGAGCAATAATTTGGATGAGGATTTCCAAAGATAAAGCTAGTTGGTAGAAGACATTAAACCCCATTTCATTCATTGGTTTTGAGTTTGATGTGATTTCTGTGTTCATTAGCTATTATAATCCTATTTTAAAAGTTTGTGATACATGTAAACTACTCACTATGACTCATGGGATATTATCTTTACTATAAATATGGTAATTGCTTTATATAGAAAATTGTTAACTATGTAAATATTTATATGTTGTATTAGTAAAAAGACTATTAGTTACTTGTAAATAAAATAATAAAACACTTGGAAACCATGGTCCACTTTTATACCTCCACAATTGTATCTGTCGAAAATTCATTGTGAACAATCTACAGACTACATTTATCATCAGATCTTTTTCTAATTTATATATCTATTATATATTTATCAACAATGTGGATAGCAAAGAAACTCGATTCTCTGGAAAAAATAACTGTTGGCCAAAATCATAACCTATCTAATCTAATGGTAGGTACAGTAGAGTTGGAATTTAGATCTTGAATGTTTTCCATATGCTGTACTGATTTCTTAAAACTTCTGACTACAAGCATGTAATTAAAGTTCTTTTATTGTTTGTAAAAAATACTTCTCTTATACGAAAAGTAAAACCAAATTTCTAATCAGATGTGTTGATTTGGTGGAGAATATATAGTCCAAATAAATAAATCTTGTTGATATCCAGTGCACTGACTATATTTGTCAAGAGTTCATTACCTGACAGTTTTAACTCCAATGCTTTAACCAGGACTGTTTCTATTGTTTTAGTCAGTTTCACAGGCAATATAATAAATTTCACTTTTCTCCTCAGTTTGTATATCCATACAGCAAACTGATGATTGTATGAAAGAAGTAAGGTCATAGAACACAGGTAATTACTCATACAACTTACTTAGTGCAAACCATACATGTTACCTAATATCCTTTACACAATAACATTAAATTAGTTTGTGTCCTTATACTGTAATCTCCATCTGACTTTTACTCCTCTGTCATCCAGTCTATCAGTGACCTATAACTGTTGGCTAGCACAAAGCTACACAGTAGGGCCTAACTGAGTGAGGAAATAATCCCACTAATCACCACTGCCAATACATGGTCACTTTATTAGATTACCACACGACCACAATTGTGACAAAAGTTGATTTTGAATAACTCAATATCAATTCTGCCAATCTAGAATGTTTAAAGCTCACAATTGAGCCACCATCTTCATTGAAAATTATAGCCTGTATCAAAATAATGACGAACAACATAAACTACACCTGATGTCATCTTGTAAACATTTATAATCTACAAAAAAAAAAATGCAGTATGTTGAATAAATTTAAAATGTCTCAATTAAATTGGAGAATCTGCATAGTTAACCAGAGATTATAGCTATCACAACATTAGTCTGTTGTTAAAAGTATGTATAGCTTGTTGGATTGAGAGTCAAAGAGAGGAGGTTTAATGGCAACTCAACACATGGCCACTTTGGGACTAACATATGGTATATCTTTATTTCAATAATTTAATTTTGCACGAGGGTCTTTAGCAGTTGGCGAAAACCACTGACGTTATGCAGGCATGATCCCTACTCCTTGTCATGTACAAGAATTGGCTGACAGTATGATCTAAAGCAATTTACCACTCAGCCACCCATATTTACTGTCTTGCATTTAGAAGGTGCTTAATTAACAATTAAAACTAAGGATGTTTACTCAAATCTTTGTGGCCCCACTACCAAATAAAGTTCATGAATCAAAGAGGTTACACTGTGTGCCATGTGTGGTTCATTGGCCATTCTAATAGATAAATCTTGGCAGGGACATAATAATCACAAATTACATAGACAATATGATATAATAGAAATACCTTTTAATCTAGTAATTGAAAATGCTGTTATACCACAAGTGTTACATGTTGTAAATGGTGATTCTCTACATGGTAGTAATGTTTTACAACATAAACCTGAGAACACAAACAAGTTATTGGTTTAAAATTTACCAAAAATTAAAAACATTTAAAATGTATGCCCCAAATAAAAACCCAACTACAACCAATGAATAGCCTGTATTCTTAAAATATTTTTTGTATAAAAAAGATAGCATTATGTCTTTGTTTTACATTACATAACAAACTGGTTATTTTCAAACATTTCAGAACTCAAAAATACATATCTCATAGTGTTTTTCAATAGATGATAAACCATAAAGATGCTTACCAAATTTATGTCCATTAGGACATTCAACAAATGATACTGATATTTTATACTGTTAATTGTTAAGAAGTGACTTTTACTCTTTATTCTAAATATCAATGGTTAGGGACACTACTAATTTATACATATAACCACAGCTTTACATCCCATCCAAGTGACTTGACATATCGGGACTTTCCTTGTCAGCTCCATGAATGTTAACCCTGATAAATAGGAACCAGAATCCTAAAGATCTTCTTGGACAATGCCTAGATTTGAACCCGGGTGATTAGGGTTGTTGTCCAGTAGCATGATTGCTGCAGTCCAACAATAATTGAAATATCATCAGGTCAACACAATTTAGTAGAATAGGCTGGACCCATTTTGCAACAATTGTTATTATGAGTAAGTATATTTTTTATGTGCTATGGAAGAGAGGATAATTTTGCGACTATTGTTATTTTAAGTAACCGATTTTTTATGTGCTATGGAAAAAATAAAATTTTTGCAACTACTGTTATTATAAGTAATATATTTTTTATGTTCTATGTAAGAGAGAATAATTTTGTGTCTATCGTAATTATAATTAATACATATTTTTATGTGGTAAGAAAGAGATGATAATTTTGCCTGTATCTCCACCTATTATCAAATTCTGGGGTATCTTTTAAAGTCTCTGTGCATAGTTTGCATTTTTGGGGAAATATCAACACTAGATAATCTCAGGGCTTGGGTTCAATTGGATTAAAAAGAGACCCAGGTTACCGAAGATTACAGGTGGCACTGTTTTTTTAACATGTCCCATCTATATCGCATGCAAAGGATTCCAAATATTTAAAAACATTCAATTTGTCATATTGTGTGTAAATACTGAAGGGGATGGTACCATTGTTGAACAGATATTCAATTTAAGAGTAGTTTGCAAGGGATTGGTGGTCAAAAAGTTTCCATTGGTAAACGTGACAAAAAAGGTTGGGAATCTCTCAACTAAAAGGATATTTTCATTACAGATAATACAATTATCTAACTCGGGTATATCTTCACATATATTTGTTTCTGTTGATATCATGGATGGTTGATTGACATATAACCATTTCTTCATCATCTTTATCATTAGTTTATCTGGAAATACAAAATCAAAAATCCAAATAAGAACATTTAAGAAAATTTGAAGATGCATTACTGCTGGTTGGAAAGAAAATACACTGAGTTTGTTCACAATAGACTGTATGCAGATTGTAAGATAAATTACTGAGATATACACATTATAACTGAATCCTACAAGGGTTTTCAACATGTTGGTAATTAACAGATGGACATTTTTAGAAAAAAGGATGGATATTTCCAGGGCACAAGGATGGATATTTATAAGGAAATAGGACCAATATTTCCAGAGCACAAAGATGGACACAGATATTTCTAAGACAATATGACAGATATTTTCCAAACAATATGACAGATATTTTCCAGACAATATGACAGATATTTTCCAGACAATATGACAGATATTTTCCAGACAATATGACAGATATTTTCCAGACAATATGACATATGTCTGGGGCAGTATGGAGAATATTTTCAGGACAAATGATATTTTCCAGACAATATGAAAGATATGTCTGAGGCAGGATGGAGGACGTTTCCAGGGCACAAGGATGGATATTTTCAGTGTAATAGGATAAATACGAATATGTCAAGGGCACAAGGATAGATATTTTCAGGGCCAAAGGATGGATTTTTTCAGGGCCAAGGGATGGATATTCCAAGGGTAATACATATTTAAATTTCAAATACAAACCTTTATCATTAAGACTGATATTTTGTTCATCTATCTGCTGTAAGATGTTTTGACAATGGTATGTCATTAATAAACAGGTTAATTTTTGGATTTCATCCTCAACATCCCGACTATCCTATTAAAATGAAACAAAGTATATATCTTAGATAAATCAATGCTAAATTATGGTGTACTGCAATCAACCAAATTATGGTGTACTGCAATCAACCAAATTATGGTGTATGGTGTACCGCAATCAACCAAATTATGGTGTACTGCAATCAACCAAATTATGGTGTAACTGCAATCAACCAAATTATGGTGTATGGTGTACCGCAATCAACCAAATTATGGTGTACTGCAATCAACCAAATGGGGTCTTGAAATAAATGTAGCCATGTGACAATTAATGATATCTGTTTGCATTTTGCTTTATAATATCGCTGATGCTGCTTGGCAATTTACCAGATATTATTCCATTCAATTTTTTCAACAAAAAGTGAGTGCGCTCATAGAATACATGAAATGAAACTCAAAATAGAAATTAATTTTTATATTATTTCTATTGCTAGATTTTGATTATTGAAATATTGTTACATCTGGTTGTAGAGACACCTACTGGCATTTCACCATCATCATATTCTTCAGCCTTTTTCTCTGGTATCATAGTTAATATCACCAATAATATATATCTGGAAATAATAATTCATTTAAAAATGAACAAATGTTTCGCTAAAATAAGTTAAATTTGAAGTGTTGATCTGTTAAGATTTACGATCTTAGGACTGTAGAATTGAGCTAATAATTATATATTAATGATTTAATGGTCAAAGATCAGCATTAAAATTAGTAATCAAACCAACTTCAAAACCTTTTAAAAACTAGCATTGTCAGCCTGCAGGGATTGGTAAATTTCAAGGGATTCTCTTGCATAAAGTGAGAAATTGTTATGGGAATTGGTAAACATAAGAGGATTATAGCTGTTTCATATCAAAATAAATCTCTACAATAATACCTCCAAGTCTGTAAAACTTCCTTCTCTAAGTTTTCTATATTCTTTAAATACACTGTTTTATATTCTTTCATCATTTTTTCTGGTGAGAGAAAATCTAACTGTAAATTTCTTCGAACAACATCCAAAATATCAGCCCCATTATCTAAATCAACTACAATATATAAATAAGATACAATCCTTATATTATGACAAGAGATTTGACATGGACACAAAATACTGATGATATATGCAGTTAGAAAACTAGACTTGTTTGTTAGATCTTCACTCCATCTAGCAGCTGAATCCTAGAATCACAAACTTTCTCATATTTTTGCTGATTCCAGTTAACTAAATTAATCCAATTTAAATACTCAATAACAGTTTCTGTTTATAGTTATAATATATGTTTAATAAGAACCTTCTGCAGACGACACTAAGGTAGGTAACTCTGTAGGTTTGATATCCTTTAATGTAACAACATGAACCTAAAATAAAAGGGAACAGTTAGATGTATACCAATTTTTGTGAGAAAGATTTGTCCTAAACTTTATTTTATGCCAGAGTAGATTATTTTATCAAACATGTAGTTCTATTTAAACTGTCATAATGCCAAAATATTACAGTAACTAGATGCAAGGCTATGATGCAAAACTCCTGCATACAGCTGTTCACTGGAAAGGACAAAAAACTTGCATATCAAATAATCTAAGAAAACAGAGGGGGAACCATGCACATAAATCATTTTTTGAACCAATTTACTTACCTAGAATTTAAAATTCATAAGAAATAAAGTGTAATCTTATTTCAGGGGAATAATCAAGAGAAACTGATAAGAATAGAAAGAATATGAAACAGAATATCAACAGTTTTTTCATGTATCTCAAGGAAGACTTATTCATCATAACACATGTAATACTTACTGCTAATGGAAATTTATATTTCAGATGATCATAAAACACAGATGGACTGAAGTAAACAAATATATATTTATATATATATACATACATACATACACATAAATATTCATAACATAGTGCAACTAAATTGATTTTTAAAAAGTCTCACACTGATAATACCGTGTATATACATCATGGAGATCAACAAGTAAATAAAAACCAAACAGATATTTTTTATGCTGTACCTTGTTCATATATACATGTAAGATATATGATATTCCTATTAGTTTCAATGAATCAAAGACTAATTCCTTTGTGCTTTTTGCTCTTAACCGGCAGGAGTGTTCAAATGAGCTAAGTGTTAAAGTGATGTACCCAAATCCTAGAAATCTAGGTACTGTGTAATGCTTTCATAAAGTTCAATTGTTTGAGAATATAAAACAAATTAATTACTTATAATTTTATCAGTAAAAATCTGTAATAAAATCTAAATTCAACTTACCTAAAAGCAGCAATATAATAAACAGCATTTTGTGTAAGAACACCGCCATGACACAGCCATTTCAAATTATGTCTATGTTTTATCATTGTAACTGGTTCACATTTTATATCTAAAGCTGAAAAACAGTATGTCTACATAAAAACAGTCTAATATATACTGCAGAAAACAGAATGTCTACATAAACAGTCTTATCGATACTGCATAAAACAGTATGTCTACCAATCCTTCAGACACTGCAGTAAAAACAGTATGTTTATATACACTGTTTAATACATACTGTAGAACATAGTATATTTACGAGAGAGAGAGAGAGAAAGAGAGAGAGAGAGAGGTCATTTCGGGACTAACAAGTGATTCAATTTTATTTCAATAATTTGCTTGCGCGTAGGGGTCTTTAGTAGTGGGAGGAAACCGGGGTACCTGGAGACAACTCATGAGGTTGGACAGGCAGTTGACTCAATGACAGACCTTATGATACAGAGCGCACAATCATGCTAACCATTCAGTCATCTAATCCCCCAGTATGTTTACAAAAACAGTCTAACATACAGGGCTGTCCGTAATTTTTCACAGTTGATTAGCAGCACTGCTAATCAAAAAGTCCAATTTTTCCAAATTTGATTAGCAAATTTAAAAAATGATTTGCAGTTTTTCAGTTTCAACGTAAAACACCTAAATAACAAGATATTACTTTAATTCATAACAAATATGATTAGATTCCATTCTAACTATTCTTAGATTTTTTAGCACTGCCACAAGTACTTGTGAGAGTTTGTGAATGTGATGTAGACATTTAGTTAGGTCTTATGTCTGAAGCCAATTCTTGACAGTGACTTCCGAAGCCCCACTCATTTTAATTGTTATTTTTTTGTTACGTTAGAAATCTTCGTTAGAAAACAATTTTGTCTGCTTTTTATTCTGTATTACTATTTTTGTTCAATCGGGCGCACCTCGATTAACTAGACACACGCGATATAAACAATAATATTTTACGGGAATTTTTACTTTGATTTATCATTTTACAATACATGTATTTATTTTTTTATATTTTATTTACAATACGTGGGGGATACACTTGATTTATTTCTTTCAAAATAAATATGATATAATTACTTGATGTCTCGCAACGTGAGTGGTACTACTTGATTCCCTATTTCCGGTTTAATAGTCCCTATTCATAGAGTTATGTCCCTGTGTTATATAGTATTGTGTCTGGGTAGTTCGAGAAGAAAATGTCACACAGAGAATTCAGTTTTGTTTATAAAATTTTATTCAACATTTTATACACGTTGAAAGTGTTGAGTAAGCCTTCTAGTCTTCAAAATGTGGATTATTCTTGTGTCAATATCCAAAATGACAGGCATATTAATGATTCGCAGTTATAATAAAGTTAGATTTTAATTTTTGGTTAGCAACGGACAAAATATGTATCGCAAATTGCGCTGCGATACTGGTTGTTGGCAGCCCTGCAGAAAACAGTATGCTTGCATAAAAGTTTTGCAGATGCGGCAGACAACTAAAGAACAAACCAATAATACACAGTCTAAAAATGAGAAGAGGTAAAAGGTGTTCTAGAAATAGAAAGCATATGCTGCCTAATATACGACACCATCACTAAAATCTGAGGTCCCTGAATCAGAATAATAAATAAATCAATAAAATATACTTAGTATACAGATGAACTATATACATACAATCACCAACAACTGTTAATCTGACATACTGAGATGTACCATCTTCTGAAGATAAAACTATTTCATCATTACGGCAACATAACGCTGAAAAATATAAAAACAACATATATATATCAAACTAAATACCTTGTATATGCTTCTTTACCATATGATAGACAAATGGGGGATCACAAATTTGTTAATTTTGCGAGTAACTTTTAAAATATTCTTACTTAAAGATACATTATGGTAGATTTTTATAGAGAGTTGGCCATTCTTGCTATAACAGTTCAAAAGTAGATGATGAAAGAAGAACATATTGAAAAATTCAGTCAAATTACTTTATTCTGAACATAGTTATCATCGTTGTAATATTTGCCTAGAAATGGTAGCGAAATGTGTCTTCACCTTCGCCGATCGTTTGATTGACAGGCGTTAACTCCACCTACATATCTCGATTATCAAGTAAAGTTTTCAATGGCATACGGAAACGCTTTACAGCGGCCTCACTAAGTACACTCTATTCATTTAGCCTCGATCTAACTGACGTATTTTCATCAGGTTACCCCTTTATTTGATTTAATCAATTAGTGAAATCCTATTTAAATCCGAGCTGTAGCCGAGCCATCCGTGGGTCTACAGAGTTGATTTTGGTCTTGTTGTTTAAATGAGATCTAATTTATAATTTCTATAACATCTGAAGCCTAAATTAAGACTTGCAATAATCAGATTTAGCTCTTGCATAATGCATGTTTAAATAACTCGCTAGCTCATAGGGGTCTTTAGAGGAGTGGTAAAAATCCATGGGACAAGGAGAAAATCTAATGGTCATGTACATATGGATTACAATATGTAATTTTGCTAATGTTCATAAAGTTGCAATTAGTCCATTGTAAATAAACTTTACTTTGGTCACTAACGAATTTAGAGTTTTCAAACACTGCATCTTAAACCCCACACAACGTAGAATCTATAGGGGTAATACCTACCTGTAGCTTGTAATGTATGAGGTCCTTCACTATGACTTGTTTTAACAATCTCTATATTACCATCATTTATATATAACACATAACCTAATACAAACTCTCCTTTCGTTGATAATAATATATGATGTGCCTGTTACAAAAAATGGGAAAAATAATTTCAATAATGTTTCTATTTATATATGTAACACCACAGCACTGAGGAATATTAAGGTTTTTCAATGACATAACGGTAGTTATATCAACCTCTATTTTCAATATCAAAAAGCCCTAGAATGGGTGACACTCATTTTAACCTGTTGTTTGATATCAAAACCCAAGATAAAATACATTTGCAATGCAATAAAAAAAAAGAGACAGATTGTTTTTTTTTGTCTTGTCATTGTCTTTTGAATGACACCAAATTATGGGTTATTTACCCATTAATTAATACATTAGATATTTTTTTATAAAGTATAATGAAATACAGTCATATTGTCCAATAATTTCTCAAATATAACATAATATTTGTATTTGTATAGTACTAATCCACCATGAACTGACAGGGCGTAAGCATATTATCCAATTTCACAAAAAAGACTGACTCAACAATTAATAACAAGGGTAAATACAAGTGTTAAACATTTCACAAAAAAATGATAATACATATAGTATTACCGCAGATAAAGATTTCCAACATAAAGTAGAGACAGATAATAGATCTGTATCAGTATGAACTGTTGTTTGATGTATAATACTGTCTTGTGATGATGATATAGGTATTGATATAATCTTAATTATACCACACTGATAACCTACTGCTAAATGAGCTGAAAACAAAAAAAACAACGAATTAACCATGATTAAAGTCAACTCTATTCTAAATTCATTTACAGTCAGTCTACTAATCCTTTTACTTAAAGATACATTATGGTAGATTGGATAACGAGTTGGCAGTTCTCACTATAATAATTAAAAACTAGATAACGTAAAGGCAATTTGCTGAAAATTTCATTCAAATTGATCCACTATGAACTGAGAACTAAGCGAATGAAATTCCTGCCTAGCCTCTGTCATCATTACTAAAGTCAGTACGATAAACAGCATAGTCTAGATTATCCATTTAATCGTTTAATCGAGAAGGAAAGTTATGAAGTAAATCGGCTCACAATCCACTTAAGATCGCAGGCTAGCGATGCCATCTAGAGTTGATTATGGTCTGGATAAGTTAATTAATGTCTAATTAATAATTTAGATAACATTTCAGGCCTAAAGAAAGACCTGCAATAGACAGATTTAGCTCTTGCATAATGTATGTTTAACTTGATAGTTCCCTTATGAATTAAAATATCTTTGATTTTGTCTCGTCTGTGTGTTTGTCCTCCAGGTTACTATTTATTTATTGTTATGTGTAGTGCATTCTTCCATTAATTACTAATTGAGATCATATGGGAATCAAGCAGTTTAGTAATTTCTCCCATCCATAGCATTAATTACAGGTTTTTATTAACACCAATAATGGTAGATAAATTAACGTATGCTTGAGTCTCAAATCTAGCTTGTTCAAATATTACTGTCTTTTAATGAAATGATGAAAATATTATTACCTATATCTGTTTGTATATCTAGAGAACACCATGATAAAGCTGATGGTGTTATAATATCAGTAGATATAACTTTATATATACTTAATCTTTCTCTGTAATACAATAATCATTCGTTCTTATTGATATATATAAATTGGTGGCGATCATTTTGTAAACTCACTCTCTCAAATTCTAGGGTGTGGTTTTGATCCCACATATACGTGACATGGACTAGGGTTGCCTGTCTAACCCCATGGGTCTTCTCAGGGGTCTTCCGGTTTCCCCCCACTGCTAATGACCCATACACACAAGCAAAATATTGAAATATAATTCACACTATTCGTTCATCTCTCAAAATCTTAAACACAAAAAAAATTCTCTCAAAATTTTGCCTTCAGTACAAAGCTCTTGAATGTTGCTATTTCATGCTAATTTGTCATACTTTAGAGGTTAAAACAGAAATCCGATATTTTATAAGTTTAGATTTATGAAATTAACTATTTCTATTAGTTCTATTAATAGGTTGGTTTTAAAAAAAAAGAGTCATGCACATAAATTACCGTGAAATAAGTGGATGTTCAACTCTCCATAAAACTATATCACCATTCTTCATACTAACTGCTAATAAACTAAATTCTACACCAGATTTATCATTGCTTGATTGTAGTGTTATAGTTGGTGACCAAGCTAACCCTACAATAGATACACAATATCGGATAAAATGAATAAAACTGAGTTCCCATCAGCAATTTCAAACAAATGTTTTTTTAACATGGTAATTTCATGATTCATTAATCAGAAAAGAATGCTATATTTCTATGGTGATCTTTTTTCCATAATTCTGCATGTATGAAGTTAATTAAACTCCCTTCTAATTTCCACAGAAGCCCAACACTCAATCAATTTTAATCTGGCTTGAAAAATGACATTCCTTTATATTATTAGAGCATGTTTGTAGAAAAATGGACATATTATTATTATTAGGAATTTGAAAACAACAGTTTCCAATATCAGTTTTTAATTCAATCATAAATGCTCACATTTGTTGTTACGTCTATGCAGACAAGATTCACAGGGAAGAACTGAGTAAAAAGTCTGGCAATTCATTGGAATCATCCCACCCACCATCTGAACAGCCAATGAGAATGGTTAACATGGTATCGGTATAACCAAATTTCATGATAATTCTATATCAAATTTTTTTCAAAATACCAAATATTTATGAAATTACCTATAGCAGCTGTACTGTATGTTTGATCTCTATATTCATCAAACATTATTGTAGTATTATCATCTACAGACTTCTTACATTGGTTATAATAATCCTCTGATAATTCAAATAACTATTAAATAAAAGATTATATTAGTTTTATATGATAAAGTTATTGTAACTGCATATGAAAATATCCTATTCTGCTCAATATTGATAAAAAGTGACCTGTTATTGACAATGTCTGGATCAATTTGAAACTTACAGCTAGGCACATTTTGTGTCATTCATTGCCAAATACAATCCTTCAGCTCTTCTGTGTTGTTCCTACTGAGATTTTTAATCAATGCCTGACACTAAATTCCAAATGTCAGGGACAATTTCAGTTGTACATAAATAAATCATTGCACCATGCTTAACTCTGAATTAGATTTAAGTAGGTTTTGTGTAGATCGATCTGATTGTTTTACTTTCTATAAACAATGTCATTCATGATGAGTCAGTAAACATTATAATAAAATAACAGAAATAAATGTTAATTACCAGCTGCCAATCATTTTTCTGTGGAGAAGAATATAACGTCAAACGATGATCATGTGATAAACCTGCTAAAACACATCTGGAAACAGACATTTAAATATACTATAGAATGCCAAGATTCAAAACATCTCATGTTCTATATGTAATATGGTTCATGGCTGAAAGTTGTCTTCCTGATCAACATATAATGTACAGAACATACGCATTGGTAGTACATTTCATCTGATCCTATTATTACATGATTTTACATTAGGGTGAGCATATTGTTTAAACTTGTACTGCTATTGACCAAATTGGTTACTTAAGCCCTGTTTGTGAACTGTCTCTGTATTATCGATTTTGTTAGCCGACTAGATAACAGATAGTGTTACCCATAGACAAAAATAACATAATGAAATCTAATTAAAAAATCCAAAATAACAAGGTCCAGTAAGTATTCCAATATAACTAAATCTAGTAAATATTCCATAATAACAAGGTCTTTCATATATTTAAAAATAATATGATCTAGTAAACATTCCATAAAAACAAGGTCTAGAATATATTCCAAAATAATGAGTTATAGTAAATACTGGTATCTAAAATAGTTAAGAAATAATATTTGTATGTTTACTTAATATTTGGGTGTTGTGGGTGATGCTGATCAAGGATTTACATAATATCAAGGTATACAAACAATGACATGTCCATCTTTGAAATGAGCTGATACGTCAGTCTATAACTGAAGGCATATTGTATACATGTATAGTGTCAAATACTGTAAAAGTTATACTACCTTCCATATCCACCAGTCTGTTTAGGCGACCAGGTAGCACAAGAGAATACCTTGTGAGAAGCTTGACAATTGGTAGCTGGTAAAATAGTTCGATCTAACACAACAGCTTGTAAATCATCTAAATATACAAAAAAAACCAAGCTGGGCATATAGAGTCTTACCTAAACAGGGCCACCTTCAAACATGTGCCAATGAATAAGAAATTACTATTCCAATTAGCACAGGTGAAAAATATTCACAGTTGAAACATATTTCAAAATAGCCAGAGAGAATGTTAACTAATAATATAAGTAAAGTCTGCATAAGCTGCCTGTTACAGAAAGCACAAATTCAGACTTTTTTTATCATACACAATCTCTGTGTGTTTTATGGATATTTTCAACACAAGTTTTGGCACAAAGTTCAAAATATGAGGTACCAGTTAATTCATTACAAACTCGGATATTAACGGTATTCTCAATTTTCATTTTTCTGAGACTGAAACACACTACCGGTATATGCAAACTTTACCAACCTGTGTCAAATACTGCTTGAACTCTTTCATATGTCATGGACTGATCTAAAATATTAACATATTTAGATGCAGGTATAAAAAATTTGGAAAAATGGGGCAAGGTATCTTTGAGATTAACACCATATCTGTGTTCCTGAAATGTAGTAAAGAATATCTATATTTTTGTAAGTCAAAATGTATGATCAACACTTTCATAACAGCTATTGTGATGGCTGATGGCCAGCTAAGGGGAGAGTCGGAAAGATAAGACTATGCCTTTTGTCATTCTTGGTGCTTGAAATGTTTTTTAGCTTTCACACAGATTCCTTCCCTGACAAACCTTATAATATATATTATTCTAATCTATAACCTTTTTATGACTTATCTATTCAAAGTTGTGCACAAAACTGAGAGAGAGAGAGAGAAATGGGGTTTAACGTCCACTCTATGCAAACTAGGTCATTTCTGTGATTCAATTTCATTTCAATAATTCGCTTGCGCGTAGGGGTCTTTAGCAGTGGGAGGAAACCGGAATTGCACAAAACAATACTCACCTACAATGTATACTATCAACATTTCTAAAAGAATTTTGGATGCATGATATCAATAAGATAAGTGTTATTGTTTCCACACAACTTTCATCTAAAGGTTGTAGAAAGGTCTGGGATACACAGCTTTTGATTGTGTATTATATAAGGCACTGGGACATTTCCTTTTAACGCTTCCTAGTTGGCCGACAATATAGTTTATATTTCAGTAAGAGATAAGAGATGAGGAATTTAACATGAAAATAGTAGCTTTGAATAATTTGCAATCTATGACACAAGCGTAGTAAGGGTGGAAGAGAGCAATATAATGTTGTTGATTTCAATGTACTTCGGATTCTTGATGTTTGCATTTTATCTGTCAAGAATACCAATCTGTCGTCTACTTTCATTTTACAAACTTATCTACTTTCGTTTTTTTGACCTACTAACAATAACAACAATAAACAACAACTAATTTTAGAGGAAAGTCGAACAGATAGAGAAAAAACAAACAGATTTAATATTACCAGGATGTAAAATCCATCTTCTGTGCATATTGCAATGTCGTTATTTTCTGATATAACAAGAGCTTCTTTACAATGAACCTTGGAATGAAATGTTGCCAAAGTTGTAGTGGGCGCCGCCATTTTGCTAAACTCCCGGCTGCATTCGTTTGGAATTGTAAGCCATAGTGTAGCCTCGGTTGTCCAAACTTGACAAGAGTTTAATAGTTGACACACAGTTCATGCCAATCGAACACATATAGTAAACAATCTCAACACGTGTAGTAAGGAATGACACTAGATTTTCGAAGACGTGGTTGGCACTCATCATAAAGCGACAAATGTCTTTCAAGTTTAATTTTAATACTTCTGAAGAAAACCAAGACTGTTTCGGTATGTATGAAATTAGCAGGCTAATTAAGAAGGCCATTTTTTTAGAATAAAATAATATATCTGGATTTGGACGTTTATAGAATGGACATATTATATTAAAGGGCCAATCCCGATAATATTTTGGAGAATAAAACTGCTTAATTTTGTGTTAAAACCCCTTAAAATCCCGTACCTAAGGGCCGAGCAACTAATTCAATATTTGTGATATGTTTTCAAACAACTCACACCCGTCATTCTTCATATGGAAATGGACCCGGTGTCCCAAGCTGTATTATGCGGTGTCTGGATAAAACCAGACTTTTATTTTATAAAAACAATGTGTAGGTGAAATTTACCTTTCGTTATCCAGTACGGCACATGGGTCATTCACTGTATAGACCTCTAAAGGAACGGCGATAGATTATCAGGTCACTCAGCGAAAAAATTGACCAGAAATCTTAAAAGGGTTACGTGTCTGGATAAGCATTTTTGACGTTCACGTCCAAACAACACAATATTTTGAGCTGAAATTTTGAGACAAGGTGAATACATCATTCCTCATTATTTTGGTGCTTAAATTTCATACAAACTCGGACTTTTATTTTTGGGACTCTGTTCAAATCGGAATAGTCCCTTTAACCCCAAAATAGGGTCTTCGGAAAATGTTTTGATGTTTTGTTTATTTATTTTTTGGCAGGTTTGTACAGGGAAGGCCCTATAATTATCAGTTTACTAGCATTTCTAGTATTTATTTTATAGGAGAAACAACCAGTGAAGATGAAGAAACAAAAAACAAAGAGAAAAGGGAGGTTATAAAACATACAGAAGAGATATTTGTTGATAATGTATCTGTAAGTTATGGTAACGATATAAAACTTTCAAACGCATCCCCAGTCTCTGTCACTGTCAGCCGAAGAAGGTTAGAGACATTTACTTTAGTTCTCTCTCCTGAGGTCTTTTATACAAGTCTCTAATAGTTAGTTTGTCTCTGCATTCAGTCTTGCCTGTCTTAGTGCTAAATAATGTCTCTCTAAATCATTTTAAGAAGCACCATATTCAGGATACGCCATTTCTTCTCAAAGTTATTGTTAACAATATATTTACACTGGACTGTTTTCAATCCTAACCCCTAACCTATACAACAGACTCTGCACCTCTTACCCCTTCCAAAATAATTTTCCCAAACATCAGAATCTTACACTGGATAGAAATATTTTAAAAAGATTTGTTATGGAGATTCTTTGCATCTTGTCTGGTCAAAATATTGCACAAATTATTTTTTTCAGCCCAAAATTTCTGAAAACATTAAAGTGATAAAGCAGATGTTTAATAAAGATGTAGAAATCCGATTAATAGATCCTAGTTTAGCAGAAGAAACAGTTTGTTCACAGTTAAATAGTGAATCAGATGTGGCTACAGCTGTCAATCAACAGTCAGATTTAATACAGGGTATTTATGAAGGTATAAGATACAAAAGTACATCAAAAATTGTTAGCTATGGGAACTTATAAAAAATAAGCATTGTGTCAGGTGTTCTAAAAAGATTAAGCATACCCCATCTCATGCACAACACAATTCAGGCCAATGTCACATTATTATTTAAATGGGTTTTGTTTCGTCCATCTGTCCGGCACACCTTTACTCAAACTTAGTAGTGTAGACGTCCATTAGGTGACTGTCTTGGCGAGTTCAATGATTTTCTGCCTAGGCTAAGCAGATCAAGATAAGCAATTTGATTACGGTAGTCAAGACTTTGAAACACAATAACCCTGCTACTAATGGAGGTAGAATTTTAAACTTGGTATAGATATTCGTTTTGACTGAGTTTGATGATGAACATTTTATATTTAAGCAAAGCAAAGATAAGCAATTTGATCTGGCAATGGAATAAGATATAAACTTTGATTCTGAGTGAGAGGGATGAAAGCTAAGTCATCAATGTCAAGACTTAAAGTTCAATATGGAGCCCTTTCCACTCAGACTAAGGAGGATGATAACTAGTTAGAGTAATTAAACAAATAAATTTGCAAGTAATTAATGAGGGGACATCTGTATTTATTTTGGAATTAATGCAGGCAACATCATTTTATATAAATATCAGGTTATGGAGCATTTGTGATCAACATCAAGGTTTTGCAGCCCTGTTATTATGGGGCAAAAGTCATGGCAATGGAGCCAAATTGAAGAAAGTTATCTGTATATGTTACTAATTTAAATATTATGTTTGATGAGGTTTGAATATAAATATTGTAAATACAATTATGATAAATACAGATCATCTTGATTTGTAGCTTAAGAATAGGAGCAATATTACATTTTGTAATCTTGTGGTGGAGTTAGTTGTCTATATATTTTTATTATTACAGGTGGATTAAAGGTATGGGAATGTGGTATTGATATGGTTAATTATTTAATATCAAACCAAATTAACATACAAGATAAAAATATATTAGAGGTAATATAATCACTAGTCTGTCTCTGTTTATATTTATGTTAAAATAGATTGTTAAAGGAGCTAAATTTCTATTCTTTTGCACCTACAAATGGGTCGCAACGCGTATAATAATGATATATAATCATTCAATCGTGTTTGTTTTACTGTAATTTCTAATCAGTTATGTTCATAGAAATACCTGAAGATTTCAAATTGAATGGCAGTCTTTGGCATCTGGTTATTCCTGTCTACACCGGTAGTATTCTTTTCTGCCACATGATTCGTGTGCCAATTTTAAAATTCTCATTTTATCTTAAATATTGGATATCAGAGGCCCATCATTTCATGGTAAGATAACAACAACAATGTTGATTTAAATTGACCAATAAGTCATGTTTGCAATGTAGAAGACAATGGACGAAATTGACTTGCCTCCTTTAAAAGCTGTCTTACTCTTGTTTTAAATACACATAATGCTAACACAAAACATTTTAATTTTGGTTAAAATGTCATCCTGCCATAGATTGCTTCACTTCCCGAACTGATCAGATTAGTTATATTAATATATATTTGTTTTTAAGACCCAAATCTATATGCATAAAACCATTTGTACAGATAAATGAACTGCTGTTATATTCCACTTGTCATCTTTCATCTAGTTAGGATGTGGTGCTGGGCTACCAGGAATTTATTCTGTGTTAAATGGTGCAAAAGTTGTAGATTTTCAAGACTATGTAAGTACATCGATTATTTGGACAGTGTCTCACTTGTTAAACATGCATTATGCAAGAGCAAAATCTGCTTATTACAAGTCTTTCTGTAGGCCTGAAATGTTATCTAAATTATCAATTAGACATTAATTAACTTATCCAGACCATAATAAACTCTCGATGTCAAGGCTAGCCTTTGATGTTGGCTGGATTAGATTCCTATATGCCGCTTAACGGCCATTAATAATTAAATCAAAACAGTGGATAATCGAGACTAAGCTGTTTATATTAATGATTTTAGTAATGATGACCAAGACTATGCGAAAATTACTGCCGTTTCGTTCTCGGTTCATAGCGGATCAATTTGACTGAAATTTTCAGCAAATTACACTATCTAGTTTTTAACTATTATAGCGAGAACTGCCATCTCTTTATCTTATCTCCCATAATGTATCTTTAATATCCCATACCTTCCTGTACACAAATATGTACACTGAATTGTTAAATACTAGTATGAGTACCATATAAGTAAATCCAACCTGATTTCAGGTAATCACAAAATTATCTGTAATCTCTTTATTATAAGTTATCTTTTCTTTTAGAATAAAGAAGTTATTGAAGAATTCACAATTCCTAATGTCAGCCTTAATCAGCAACATGAGGTCAAATGTCATTGTCGATACATAGCTGGTGATTGGGGGTCATTATCAAGTATTCTTACTCAATACAAGTGAGTAAAATAGTGTATAGACCAGAGGGAGAAGGGGGGGGGGGTATTATCCGAAAGGTGGGCAAAAAGCGGAAGTTGACTTTTCTAGAAGCATTTTTCCTCAGGAATCCGAAAATGGTGGGTGATCAGTCATGTGAGGGAGCGTTCAGGAGTTATCGAGGTCAAAAGGTCAGTAGGTCACCAGAGGTCAAAGGAGGCTGGCTTATGAATTCAGCCACTTCTGATGCTGTCTGTCGCAGATTTCTTGTTGGAACACAGCTGAATCATTGAATATAAGTGACGAATGATAATTTGTGAAACCAATTAATCATATTATGACGTAATTGAAAAGGTCACCGAGGTCAAATAAGCAAGAAATAAGGATGCACTGAGATTAGGGGCAAAACTAATGTTATTTTCAATATGCAGTACAATTCTGCATGGTCTGGGGAAGTAATTTCATCCAAAATCAACAATTATGTTAAACGAGTGATATGTCACACCATAAGTATATAATCTATAAGTATATAATCGCGAACATTTTCACAAACTGGAAGTATTATTCTATACCACTTCCGGGTAACCGATTGTGGATTGTGATGGACTTTAATCGATATTCACGTCCATGCGTACACATGACTCCTCATCCGATTCATTATCGTCATCAACGTCATTAGTATCGACATTAATTTCTTCGAAAACGTGGGGAATTTCTCCATCGTCATGAAACAACAAATCAGCGATGTTTTTGGGTTACGCTTCCTCTACCCATTTCAGGGAGAAATCCTCATTCCAACCATGTAGTTTTGGTGACCCCAGTTCAAGCCTTGGCGAAAACGCACATCGCCACATCCTCGCCACATAGTTGGCTCGACAACAATGAAGCTTGAGGAACTTGACACAGGGTTTAAGCAAGGTCAGGTCTACGATGCTTCCTTTCTTATAATTTGCCCAGAAAATATCGTATCGAGTCTGATCTACATTCGTAAGGCGAGGCTGGTCGTAGAAAACGCAAACAATTTTACTCAAGGCACTGAACGTACGTTCCCCCAACACAGGTTCAACTCTTACTTGATAACTCATTCTTTTGAAATGAATGGTCAGTGTGCTATGGTAAGGTCAGAAAGTGGTGATACGGACATACCGATCATACTGCTTCCCAACATGAAAACTGATATGAGAATTGTACTGGATAACGGCACAGGGAAATATCGTAAAAAATTCGCTCTCCATGATTGCTCGTTGTCAGACTTGGAGCGCAGAGCACTCCTGGGATTCCACGCCTTCACTGGAAACGACTACGTTTCGTTCTTCTTCCGCAAAGGAAAAATACCGCTGTGGAACAAAGTGAAAATAGACGAAGAGGCTCTGGCTACGTTCGCAACTTTGGGAGTTGAACCTGAGTTGGGGGAACGCACGTTCAGTGCCTTGAGTAAAATTGTTTGCGTTTTCTACGGCCATGCAGTCTCGCCTTACGAATGTAGATCAGACTTGATACGATATTTTCTGGGCAAATTATAAGAAAGGAAGCATCGTAGACCTGACCTTGCTTCCACCCTGTGCCAAGTTCCTCAAGCTTCATTGTTGTTGTCGAGCCAACTATGTGGCGAGGATGTGGCGATGTGCGTCTTCGCCAAGGCTTGAACTGGGGTCACCAACCCTACATGGTTGGAACGAGGATTTCTCCCTGAAATGGGTAGAGGAAGCGTAACCCAAAAACATCGCTGATTTGTTGTTTCATGACGATGGAGAAATTCCCCACGTTTTCGACGAAATTAATGTCGATACTAATGACGTTGATGACGATAATGAATCGGATGATGAGTCATGTGTACGCATGGACGTGAATATCGATTAAAGTCCATCACAATCCACAATCGGTTACCCGGAAGTGGTATAGAATAATACTTCCAGTTTGTGAAAATGTACGCGATTATATACTTATGGTGTGACATGTCACTCGTTTAACATAATCGTTAATTTTGGATGAAATTACTTCGCCAGACCATGCAGAATTGTACTGCATATTGAAAATAACATTAGTTTTGCCCCTAATCTCAGTGCATCCTTATTTCTTGCTTATTTGACCTCGGTGACCTTTTGACCTTTTCAATTACGTCATAATTTGATTAATTGGTTTCACAAATTATCCTTCGTCACTTATCCAATGATTCAGCTGTGTTCCAACAAGAAATCTGCGACAGACAGCATCAGAAGTGGCTGAATTCATAAGCCAGCCTCCTTTGACCTCTGGTAACCTTTTGACCTCGATAACTCCTGAACGCTCCCTCATCTGACTGATCATCCATCATTTTCGGATTCCTGAGGAAAAATGCTTCTAGAAAAGTCAACTCCCGCTTTTTGCCCACCTTTCGAATAATACCCCCCTTCTCCCTCCGGTCTAGTACAACAATCATAACCTGCATTCCTTACTTTTAGAGAAAATTGTGTTTATAGGACTAGGCAATTAGGACCATAATTGAATCCTGACCTGATGTCTACTGACCTTGACCCAAAGCATAAAGAAATGGCATCAAGAGCAGAATATGTTAGTCTCAAACAGTAGGCCTACTGAATGCAGTAATGCCACATTCATGCATGAATTTGTGAAATTACAGTGTAGATTATGTATGCACTAATTGTACAAAATATGTTTTTATGGATTAATATTTAAGCACGCTATCAAACATATTTTGTAGATTATGTATGTACTAATTGTACAAAATATGTTTTTATGGATTAATATTTAAGCACGCTATCATCAAACATATTTTGCTTAAAGTTATATTTAAAGATGGGTTCCCGCGTACAAACTGGGTGATTTAATGGTATATATGGACCAAAAACATATTCAAACTAATTAATTTGTCATAATTATGCTTCAAATCCTTCTCAAACATTGTAATTGCGAAGGAATGCCCTGCTATTAAAATTCGATCAAACCAGGTCATGTTTACGTCACGTCTTGGGATTCAGAGGAGAATTCATTGTGACCTTTGACGTCACGCGTGCAGAAGTTCCTAATCGTTGGGCTGTTGATTAGGAGAACCCTTACATTTTTGTCCCATATACGCTCCATGAGTGTATTTTTCTAGTAAGATTGGATATCTCTACTTTCCATATATACCAAAATTGCCATACTTTTATTGTGAATAACCACCCGATAAATACTTTTCTGGGAACCCATCCTTAATATGGTTGCTAAAACCTAGAAGTCAGCCACATTACTTCCATTTTAAAGGGAAATGGTGTATTCTAGGGGTTAAGACACAGTCAGACAAACCTGAAAGTATATCTAGATGTTTGGATTATACAAATAAATGAGATGCATCTATGCATTTGTTGGCATACACATAAGAGCCATTAACAGTTGAAACATGAAAATAATGTAGACACACCTACTGCCATGGCAAAATTGTCCATCCTCACATTCGTTGTACGCACAACTGTACTTAATTTAAATAAATATGAGTTAGTTTCAAGGAAAAATGTCTATATAAAAAAAATAATTTAATATCCCTCCTTCTTGTGTCTCTTGTTAAATAATTATCTATTTTTAATTGTTTATTTCAGATATGATATAATATTAACAGCAGAGACAATATATAATATAGATAATTATAATAAATTAGTCAGTGTGTTTGATCAACTTTTAAAAGAAGATGGTGTTATGTATCCTTATTTTATGATATGAAATAGCAAAGATATAAGTGTTTGTTAAAGGTGAAATCACAGGGTACCCATCTATAAAGGGGAACTTAAACATACATTATGCAAGAGCTAAATCTGTCTATTGCAGGTCTTTCTTTAGGCCTGAAATGTTATCTAAATTATTAATTAGACATTAATTAACTTATCCAGACCATAATCAACTCTAGATGGCATCGCTAGCCTGCGATCTTAAGTGGATTGTGAGCCGATTTACTGCATAACTTTCCTTCTCGATTAAACGATTAAATGGATAATCGAGACTATGCTGTTTATCATACTGACTTTAGTAATGATGACCGAGGCTAGGCAGAAATTTCATTTGCTTAGTTCTCGGTTCATAGTGGATCAATTTGAATGGAATTTTCAGCAAATTGCCTTTACGTTATCTAGTTTTTAATTATTATAGTGAGAACTGCCAACTCGTTATCGAATCTCCCATAATGTATCTTTAAGTACACATATTTAATACCATGATGTGAAGAAATAATCTAAACGGAGTCATTCTGAAGAGATTACTATATTTAGTTTACAGGATTACGTGACTCAGTTAAGGAACTAGTTTGTTCAGTTGTATGATTAATGTGATAATCAGGACAATTACTCAATAAATTTATTTTAATTTAACTTTTGGCTCACTGTGTGAACAGTAAAACTTGAAATATCATAACACTGGCTTGATCTGTAGGTGTAATATTAACAATGAAGACAGATTATCATCCTACCAAACAAATCCAATTTAGCTATTTTAAAATGACATAAAGTTGACGAAACTTTTGAAATTTTTTTTAAAATTTCCCTACTTAGCATTTTGATCTAAATGGGTTTGGAAGAACATAGTCTCTATCATCCAGAAAAATATTCTACGAATATTAGTCTGGACAGGTTGTCAACATTTGAGAAAAATTGGCTAGATAATCTGGTCTTTCACATTATCATAAACAATGTCTAAGGGAGGTAACTCCTCTTAAAACAAGATGTCAACGCTCATGAAATTAATTTAAGAATGTCATTTCAAAAAATCCATTTGATTGCATGCGAGTTCAATATCTAACACTCTTAATTTTTTATTGTAAAATTTCTCTCTTCATGGGCCATATCTATGCTTTTAAAATTAATCCTAATTCGTCGTCACGATTCATGTTTGTTTATATTAATGCAAGAATTATGGGATTTATTGTGGGAAGGGGCGCAACTCTTACTTGACTTGACAAAAGAGACTGGATAATCAACCACATTAAAAACCAAACTCCCGGTTACGCATGGGCAATGGACTTTACGTCAAATATTGATAACCTACCCAGACCCTCCGTATGTTGAAGACTAGGAAGTTCTGGGTGACCAAGACTAGGAAGAACAATGAATGAATTTCTGTTCAAATTATCTCCCCCTTAGTGTGTCAGGGGAGACAATTTCTTCTAAATTATTTTCCACAATATTTATGCATATTTTGTATGCAATATGGGTATATTTTGTCTAATATAAAAATCAATACACACATGAAGATCTTGCATCTTCATACTTTACATTGTATCTTTGTGGGAGAATTTTGACTAATTTGTTATATGGCAACTAGAAACCAACTAGGTCACCTGATTTATTGACAGATTTTTACCCAGTAAATATGTCGTTCTTAACCTAAGCTAGATATATAGCAGCTAAATCCTATTATTTTGGTGTGGGTGGAGGAACAAGACAATTTGAACAATATTTAAAAGATGGAGGAAAATTTAATAGTCATGTTGTTGAAGTGATCAGTGCAGGTAATTATGTATTTCTAGAGCATTGCCATCTACAAAAGGAAAAAAAATGGCTGTGGTTTAACTCTAAAAATTGAAGTAGAATTTATTCGGGAGCTACATTTCTTAGTTATATTTATTAAGAAATGTAAATGGGATTCATATGAGTTTTTTTTTTTTTTTTTTTTTTTTTTTTGCAAGTGTGTCAATCACATTTTATGCTGCAAGCACATGCAATGACACTTTTTTTTATTGTTTTTCAGGAGTTCCAAGGGAAATTTTAAAAGTTAGAAGAAATACTCTAGACAAAACGTAAAAAAAAGATGGTGGGAGGGGGACATTTTTTTTAAAAGAAAAGAAAAACTTTTTATGTTACAAAATATATATCAAATATAATTTATATACAAATTACTGAAATCGGGTTTATTTTATCTTTATCGGAATATTTTTATTCAGTAAAAGTGTGGAAAAGGATTTAGCTTGTCTTATCTGTAATTCTTCTCCTTATCTTAACTCATAACACTGTTCTTTGTAGTCTGTGTTGACCAGTGTGTGGAACAGAAGGGAAAAGTCATAAAATTTAACAGTGATATTCAGCATTATTACTATCTGTTGTACAATTTTTACAAGCTACTTAAATTCTCATGCTGCAAAAATATTCTTTGCCTTTCTGGAACAAATGGGAAAAGTAATAAATTTAACAACAGCCTTCAACTTTATTGGCCTGTATCATATGGACATGTTTTTACTCACTCCTCGGGTTCTCATCTCTTTACAAATTGAATCTCAGTACCAATAAAAGAATTACTTTCTGTTATTTCTTCACAACAGATATTTTGAGTCGATTCTGATCCTATTTGAGATATAAATAGTTTGGTTGATGGTGATTGTTTGACTATATTAATAGCCGTTTGTAGTTTTAATTTAATACCACCGGTCACATCATGACTAGCTTGTGACGTACTGATATTATTTGATATATCACCATTACTCTCAACATAGATTTTAGGTAGAAGTACAGCATCTGAAATAATGTAAGACACTTCAAAAGTTGACATTTAAATTGACATTATATTGACAATTGACTAAATGTGGTTTAATGGTCAAGACTAGACATTAAAGGGACAATCCCGATTTTAAAAGAGTCTCGGAAATAGAAGTCTGTGCATGAAATTTAAGCGCCAAAATAAAGAGGAATGATGTATTTACAGTGTCCCAAAATTTTGATTTAAAATATTGAGTCATTTGGATGTGAATGTCAAAATCGCTTATCCAGACATGTAACACTTAATTTTTTTGTTGGGTGACCTGGTAATCTATTGCTATTCCTTTAGAGGTCTATACAGTGCATGACTCACATGCTGTACTTGATAACGAAAGGTATAAATAATGAGCAATTGGCAAGTTGCCCATACATTATTTAAAATAATGGTCCCCAACATCAAAAGATGATGTCACATCTGTATTTTAAAACCATTTAACATACATGGACAGCTTTCAAGTTTTCCAAGGCAATAACTACAGACAAAATTGATGGCCAACATTAGCGATTTATTGAAAAAATAATACTGTACTAATTACCTGTCAATGAAGGAGGTTTGTTGTAAATACCTGGTACATCAGTTATAAATACAACTTTCTTTACATCAAACTCAGTACATATAGTCTGAATAAAAATATTTTAGGAAGATTAGTATTAGTCAGATGGGGTACACCTAAGTAAGTGCGTAACATTAGAAAGTAGATTATTAGTCATCATAGCCGAAACAAAGATAATTTGATTTAGGCTGCGATGATGCAAATTTAAAAACCCTCTCGACACATTGAACAATATACTACATGGAATAAAGATAGGCTGCCACACAACGAAACATACACCCACAGCAACTAAGTCATCCGGGCAGTCAACAAAGGTTGACGGTTATTTTATTATTTGTCGGTAATGAAAACATTTACAACACATGAAAATCTGATTACGAGTACCAATTTATATAGATTGTTTATCTAATGACCCTAAACACTGTATAAATTTACATGTATATTAACTTTAGCTTCAAGAGTGTACACAAGATTTTTCGAAGTTATCAAGGGCCATAACTCTGGCTGTAATTTTCGGAAATCGTTGAAAATCAATAAGCTTCTTCGTCGTACAATCTTAACAGTTTGTATAAATTTAAAGTCAATCGGATATTAACTTAAGCCTCTAGAGCGTGGAATCCGGACCGACAACAATATACGACCACATTTCAATGTGGGTGTATAAAAATTGAATTAAATTTTGGAACCATTGTTCCTGTTTGGACTGGGATTGGAGGACAAATCTAAAAGAAGATAGTTCCTGTAAGCAGATTGGAGCAAAAGACGAAATGTGCTAATTTATTAATTAAAATGGCACACACACACACACCCAATCCGCCCATAATTTAAACTTACTTCAATAATTGTATCACCACTTAAAATTGTACAGCCCAAAGTTTCATCAAACACACAATCTCCATGTAATATTGGTAAAAGAGATTTGTATAATGTCTCCTTAATTACATCACAACCATGTTTAACTACATCCTTATTCTTTGTTCTCCACAACTGAAAAGGCTACAAAAGGGAAGAAATGAAGTTGTGTCTCTTTAACCAAGTTTTGTTCCATTTAAAAAAGCATAAATTTTGAGACCTAACATAGGTTTAATTTGATTAAATTTGAGATTTGCAAATTGTTAATATAATAGATTATTTATCATGATTGGTCTTTATATATTAAAATTTGTATGTCCTTGCCATTAAAATATTGCCAAACATGCTTGAAATAGGCTTGTGGTAAGCATTATTATCGCATATTTCAGGATTCTTTTTTAGCGCTATCTAAGCCATTATCAGAGCATAATGCTTCCACTTGTAGCTACAAATAGCAAGGGATAGAATTGTCCAAAAGTTTAACAGCAAAACTGATTTAAAATCAAAAAAGTTCTGTGAACTTTACCCCAGCAGTTTTAATCGCAACCTATGGTCTGGCGTTTGTTTTGGGGTGCCTTTAGAAACTTGTGTCCTCCGCCACCACTTACTGAATGAGCAAGGATAAAAGCAGAGGAACGAGGAAAAATTAATGTTGAATCAAAGAGGTCTCGACTGATTGGTAGAATCTCATTGGTATATACCAGTAGTCTTTGTCTCATGATTATCAAGTCTGTTGAGACCAGGAAGATGTTAGGGAGAGGGAGAAATTGGGTTTAACGTCCACTAAACACAAACTATGTCATTTCGGGACTAGCACTTGGTTGAATTTTATTTCAATAATTCGCTTGCGCGTAGGGGTCTTTGACAGTGGGAGGAAACCGTTGGACCCGGAGAAAACCCACGAGGTTGGACAGGCGACCCTACTCCTTGTCATGTACAACTGGGAAATCGAAACCACGCAAGTAGACTCAATGACAGACCTCAATGATATAGCGTGCACGTGCTAACCATTCGGCCACCCAACCCCCAGAAAGATGTTAAGAGTGCTGAGGGCATTTGTTTAGGCTAACCATGAGATAATGCCAAGTTCACAACTTACAGACAGTGACACAACAGGAATATTTTCTTCCAAAAGATGATTTTCCAAAATTGAGTTCAACTGTAAATACAAAAAGGGTGATAAGTACACAGACAGACCCACAGAAAAACCCATGAGGTTAGACAGATGACCCGACCCAACCCGACCCTACTCGTTATGTACAAGCTTGGGATCAAAATCATGCGACTTGACTCTCAATGACACCTTATGCCAAGTTATGATCAATGTTATAAATATAACCATTTCTTTATAATCATTACTATTATTTTTAAAGGGGCATCATGGAAGATTAGTTAAAGAGCTGACAGTTCTTGCTATAAAAGATAATGAAAAGGGAATATGTTGAAAATTGCAGTCAAATTAATTCACTCTTAAGCCAATGTATCGTCGATACAATTACAGTGTAGCCTTGATTGTCATTGCTGTTGTTGTTACGATTATAAACAGCCTTGATTATCCATTTTTACGTTAAATCATCAACCAACTACAAAACGTATTTAAATCTACTGTAAATATGGAGTATTGCAGGTCTTTTTTTAGGCCTGAAATCTTATCTAAATTATTAATTAGACATTAATTAACTTATCCTGACCATAATCAACTCTCGATGTCATCGCTAGCCTGCAATATTTACTGGATTAGGATCCGATCTGCTGCTCTACGCTCATTCATGATTAAATCAAGAAAGGGATAATTGTTGAGACTATGTACTTTATTGTACCAACTTTAGTAATGATGATCGAGGCTAGGCCCAAAATTCAATCACTAAATTCTCAGTTCAGAGTAGATAAATTTGACTGAAATTTTCAGCAAATTCCCTTTACATTATCTAGCTTTTAACTATTATTGTGAGAACTGCCAACTCTTTATCTAATCTCCCATTAAATGTATCTTGAATAATTTATATAACATTTAAGACATAAAATAAAAGACCTGCAATAGGAAGATTTAGCTTTTGCATATGCCTATTTAATACACTACAGCGTATTTTACCTTGAGAACCGATTGTCTTGTAAGACAAAAGCCTAGTTTAACTTTCTTTAAATCTGTAAGTTGTGTTGTATTATTATATTGTGAATATCCTGATGAAACCTGATAGGCCTTGGCTTGATGGTGACCAAATGACCTACAAACATGAAATTAATCTGAATATAATTACTAACAAACCAAAAGTGAACGTTATCTGGGTATTGATGTAATGAAACCATACAAAGTTTCATCACGACACTCTCACTCAATTACAATCCATGTTAGGGTGTCTCAAAGCATCTTCCTAAGTGTGCCACGAAATTTTGAACGGCACACTAAGAAAATGTGAAATACCATGTGATCCCAAAAGATCTCGAGCATTCACTGGTGTCTACTGATCAGTTCATAGCTTTGTTTTTCATTGAGAGGGGGGGAGGGGTCGATGGCCGATTGGTTAGCACGTGTGCGCTGTATCATAAGGCCTGTCATTGAGTCAACTGGCGTGGTTTCCAATCCCCGGATGTACGTGACAAGGAGTAGGGTCGCCTATCCAACCTTCTTGGTTTTCTCCGGGTCCTCCGGTTTCCTCCCACTGCTAAAGAACCCAATGCGCAAGCGAATTATTGAAATAAAATTAAACCATATGCTAGTTCTGAAATGACCTAGTTTGTGTCGAGTGGACATTAAACCCCATTTCTCTTTCTCTCTTTTTCTTTGAGTCATCCTATGTGTCTATGACTAGTCTCTGTCTACGGCTGTATGCCGTCTGACTTACCATGTTTTTATTTTGCAAAATTCTGATGTGAATCAGACCTGTCTTCAAAAAGCAAAACTGTCAATTTTGTCTTCAAAACAAGGATTGATTATTCTTATTTATTACATTTCTGTCACATCTAACTACAATTAAGCATATAATCCAACCTGACACAGGGTACAAATCATCTGTTTTAAATCGAACCGTCTAGTTACATCGTGAAGGCTGAGGTATAGATGTGTCAAGTAATAACAGCCATTAAAAATACGCGAAAAGTAGGAAACCCATTTTAAGTCGCAAGAATGGCAATATTAAACTTTACTGACAATATTTGCAGATAAACGAAAGTTATTTAACTATATTGGGCTGGGTATATTGAATTAGTCCTAATAGTGTAAAATTAACTTCATTTTAAGACATTACATGGATTAATAAAGAAATTAAGATTGCCAGGTGAAACTAAACTACTAAAGGCATCCAATTGTAGCTAAAAACAGAGAGAGAGAAAGAGAGAGAGAGAGAGATGGGGTTTAACGTCCACTCCCACAAACTAGGTCATTTTGGGACCAACATATGACTCAATTTTATTTTAAAAATTTGCTTGTGCGTATGGGTCTAGCAGTGGGAGAAAAAACGGAGGACCCGGAGAAAACCCACGAAATTGGACAGGCAACCCAACTCCTTGTCAACTACAACCAGGGAATGAACACCCATGCGTTAACCATTCGGCCATCCACCTGCCCAACACATCGAACAGTTTCTCAACGTTCTCGTAGCTAGTTTGGAAGGTCTGATCAAGGGACATAACTCACGCATTAATTTAAAATCGTATCGTTTCTGTGTCCAAAATGTCCCTCAAAATGCAATTTCCAAGCAAGTTGGGATGGTGTAACCAAGGGACATAACTCATGCTTGCTTGGAAATTGCATTTTGAGGGCCATTTTTGAAACAAAAACCTTTCATTTGATCGAAAAACCCTATATCTTGGAAAAATGATGATTCTACCCCCTCTATTTGCTGAAATATTAATTGGTTCACACAGGTTTTGGGGAAGCATGGCCTTTAGTCACTGGTTTAGGGAAAGTGATTGCCGTTGATTTGCTCTCTCAGCATCCAAGGAGGCTATATAGTCCATAATTATTGAAATAGGATTTCTGGTATGCACTTAAAGGGACAATAACACTCTTGCTGGCTTGAAAGCTCCAGAAAATAAATAATATCTCTATCTAAGTACTAGATGTTTAAGTGTCCTACCTCTTGTGTAAATTATCCATTACATCCTATTTTACTTGTCCAGAGGGTTCGAAAATATTTTTAAATCGAAGTTTCATTTGAAAAGGTTTACGTTAGACGTTTCAAACCATTATGTTGAATTTGTCAAAATTTTTAAATAAGGTGTGTTAAGATGAAATTTGTATCATGAATTAATTGAAATATTCTAAAATAGTACAATTTGTTGACCAGAATAAAGATTGGGACATATTATTCAGTTACAACAAGAGTGGCATTGAGCCTTTAAGATAATTTGTCGCCCCCCCCCGGGCCCCCCCCCCCCAACCCCCCAAAAAGTGTCGCCACTTGGCTTATCCCCCCCCCCCCCGTCCCTAGCCTCCCCCTATGTGAGGGCCCTGAATTAGAATGACTAAGAAAGAATTAAAAAATAAATTTAAAGAGAGTTGCAAAAACTAATAAATTTAAAATACTAAAATAGTCCATACAATACCCTGCCCCATGCACTACGACACACCGAAGTCCTTTATCGTGGATTACTTTCATTAAATTAGCAGCCCAGTGCAAGGATTCTAATTTCGTTGTCTCGAGTATATCTTTGTTGGTTATTGCACTGCCACCAAATTTAATGACAAGATCGATTTTCACCGACATGATCTGAAAGGCTATCGGGAGATTATGGAAGATTGTTTACAGCGCGATCTACTTTTATTTTGGTATTTTGTTATAGCCAATGAAAATCATAAATGGATGCTTATTCTAGCCAATCATAAATCTCCTATGGTGTAAAGGAAGTAGTATTCAAAATGGAGTATTTTTGTTGATTTTTGACAAGATTTGGAGTCTGTTATTAGCTTGAAAAAACTTTGTTGAAAACTTTCAATGACAAACTTATTTCTAAACATTAGTTTTGAAATAAAAAAAGAATTATAAAAGTTGTTAAAAGTATATGATGTCATGCATTGTGCATTGACAGCAGCTCTTTATCACACCGCCTTCGTTATCCGGTATCCCAGTCGGAGCAGAACAGTACGACGTTAACTTAAACTCCATTTCATTTCTTATGTTCGCGATTAAATCAAGCTATGTCATAGATAAACCACATAGAGATAGGCAATATGGTAGGTGTAAATGGCAAAATGGATCCTTTCCCTATCCCTGAAATTTCATTGGTTTACACTCCACAGCCAACATAGCCTACACTAATACTGCACGTTTTTATGTAGGCCTAGCCAATATTTTCGATTCCTGGTCCTTGACTGTCCTAATAAAAAAAAAAAGCAGGAAATAGTATTTGTGTGGTGTTTAATTTTCAGAATTCAAGATTAATTCTGCGATAATTTTGTGTTAAAATTACAACCATCAATAATTCTGTGTTTTTGAAATAATTTTACTCTCTTGACAAGTCACTTCAACTTGAAGCATTTTTACATTTTTTAATTTATTTTTTCAGATGCAATCTCACAGTGCAGGATATAGCACTTATGGCAGTCTAAGTTCCAGAATTTACAGGGGGTGCACCCCGGCCAGACTCCATCCCAGACTGAAGTAATAGGTACGTATCGTCCCCCACCCCCGACTTGCTTCTTTGCCCGCAAACGACAATACTATATACCGGAAAGCTACCGGAAAACTGAATACTGGAAAACACCAGAAAAACACTAAATACCGGAAAACACACTAAATACCGGATAAATACCCTAAAGAGGTAACCTGAGCCTGGTCCTCTGTGTGTGGGAGGTTAGGGTTAGGGTTAGGGTTTTCTGGTATTCAGTATAACATGGTGTTTTTCCAGTTGTTTTCCGGTATATAGTATAGCTCCCCCCAAGGTCTGGACTCTGGCTATATACCAAAAAACACCGGAAAACTACCGGAAAACTGAATACTGGAAAACACCAGAAAAACACTAAATACCGGAAAACACACTAAATACCGGATAAATACCCTAAATAGGTAACCCAAGCCTGGTCCTCTGTGTGCGAGAGGTTAGGGTTAGGGTTATGTTTTTCCAGTGTTTTCCGGTATTCAGTATAACATATGATGTTTTTCGGTGTTTTTCCGGTATTTAGTATAGCTCCCCCCAAGGTCTGGACTCTGGCTGTGTGCCTGGTTGGAAGGGGTGACAGGCACAGTTAAATTTGATACCCGTAATGTTTTATTCTTTGGAATTTAGGAACATCCTCATAATGTTATTACAAACTATAATCAAGAACTCACAAAAGATCCATCCATATTGGTTGGTGTACGTAATGACAACTCTGTATTTTAGTCAACCAGAAAGATTTTAATAGACATAGTGTAGACTATGCTTTGTATAGGCCCACTTTGTTCTAATGCACTCAATTTGCAGCATCTGTTTTTACATGTTCGCAGTTCACAACTTACTTACTATTTTTCTTGCTTGTTTTATTTTCAGCATTTTATAATAACTGACATCAAAGTTGTAATCATAACACAAAGATATTAAAATGGATAACAATAATAATCTTGGTAATAAAGATTCTATTGATCATCACCAATCATTCATACAGCAGTGTGCTTCATCTCAAATATACCATACAGGATTACCTCATTTTATAGAAGAAAGTAACATTCAAAGTAATATGTGTACAACAAAAAATACAAGCAGAACAATATTACATATTCCAACCATTTACACTTCAACGTCTACTACCCCAGAATATTATTTAAATCTTACAAGATACAGTCAAAATGAGAATCCACTAGAAAACTCGGCAATGAATGCAGCAGTAACATCAGATTCAACCCACACATCTGATGCACAAGTTCACACTCTTCAAAACAACGCTAAGTTATGTGTTTCTAAAGAAAGCAGTGTGTGTGATGTAAATTACAATATCAATCCAGAGCCTACAATAGAAACCAGTGTTGAAGAAAACATAGTTCAACCCGAGTCAAATAAAAATAATGTAGCTAAATGTTTTTGCTGCTCTGATTGTGGAATGCGATTTAAAGAAAAACGAGGATTGGAAACTCACATTAGAAGCCATACGGGAGAAAAACCATTTAATTGTCAAATTTGTCAAAAATATTTTCGTACAAAAAGCTCACTTAATGAGCATAAACGAACCCACAACGATAACCGACAGAAATTTATTTGCAACATTTGTGAAAAAGTTTTAACCTCGTCTCCTGGACTTCAAAAACATTTGAAATCTCATTCAGGTGAAAAGCCATATGCTTGCCAATTTTGTGAGAAAGCTTTCACATCAGCGTCGCATCTTAAAAGACATGAACGAATTCATACCGGTGAGAGACCACATAAATGTGAAATTTGTAACGAATCGTTTACACAGCGTGGTAATCTCAAACTCCACGCTAGAGTACACAGCGAATATTTCCCATTTAAATGTGGTAAATGTGATAAACAGTTCCGTCACAAAAAGAGTCTGACCAATCATAGTAATATTTGCAATACAGGATTATTATCAGATACTCGCGTTCAGATTGAAAACCCAAATTCAAGTTAATGCAGCCATCTTCATAATTATCGTGAGTTTTGGTTGCATTAGCCATCTTTGTCATAAATTGTGTGTGGCAGTGTGGTGATCGAGTGGTCTAACGTGCACACTTTAGATCATATGGTCTGTCATTCATTGAGTCAATTCGTGTGGTTTTGATGAGGGTCCATGACCATACACACAACACAAACTAAATCATTTTTAGGACTAATCTATAGCAGGAGGGTATATTTTTATTTCACTGATTTGATTGTGTGCAAGGTTCTTTATCAGTGGGAGTGAAGAGTGAAACTAGAGAAAATCAACATGGTTAAGCAGGTGACTCTACTCCACATGACCATGCGATTAAAACCACATACCTGATTCAGTGACAGACTTACTTTAAATCAAAACTCAGCACAATCAATAATTTTGGGGTCTTTAAGCTTACTGTAATTATCGAGTTTGGTATGATAAATTATTTAAATTATATTCACCTCATCACAAATAACAAAATAACAGGTGTATGACTTATTAACATCATGAAAATTCCCTGTGATTAGACACAACATTTATATACATTATGCATTTAAAACTTTTTGAGACTTTTTTGGGGAGTCTTACATGTATATTTCTTCAATTATGCTCATACAATATATATCTACTTTCTATTTTTATTTTAAACAATACTGGTTGTGGATTTATTTAAAATAATTTTATTTTTATATTTTGTGAAATTTTATAGATTTAAATAAAGAGCTGGCCGTTCAAAAATAGATAATGCAAAATGAATATATTGAAATTTCCATTCAGATTACTTTATTCTGAGCCAAGTTATCACTGTAGTTTTGACAAGATGTGTGCATTGATTGTTTATTATCTTAGCCATGGTATTCGAGGCTAAGGCTTCCCCATTTTTAAACTAAATCATTAAATGGCCGAACCGCTATATTCTACTTAACATCTCGAGTATATGATGGCATTGAGATTTGATTATGGTCTTGTCATGTTAATAAATGACTAATTAATAATTTAATTTAAAGAAAGACCTGCAATAGGCAAATTTAGCTCTTGAATAATGTACATGTATCTTTGATTTATATATTTATTTTTATTTACTAAAGTAGTTATTTATACATTCCATATATTTTATAGATCATGATCTTATATTGGTATTTTATAGATCATGATCTAATGTTGGTATTTTATAGATTAATATTTGTGTTGGTATTTTACAGATTGATATTAAAGGGATATACTGGTAACAGTGTCAGTTTCTTTTAAATTTCTAAGTCACACAAACTGAAATATGTAAAGAGTGTGAAGCAAAAGGAAAAATAACACATCATATTGGCATGGTATTAACATCCAGTTTTGACATTTTGGCGATTTAAGATCTGATACTGATATTTAAAAAATTATAAGGGAATATTGATATTTTAAAAAATTATAAGGGAATATTGATATAAAATAATAAATTGTTTTACATAAATTATGATCTTGTTCCAAATTCTGTTTTAAACTGTCAACTATATTACATTATTGGGTTATAATGCATGAAAGAAATATGAATTAGATTTTTATCAGCTTGTTTCTTTTGGACTTCTGACAAGGACAGCTGTCTAGTCCTTCGGATGAGACAAAAAACCAAGTTCCCGTGTATACATTAGAATGCACATAAAAGATCCCTTGGCAGTTGGAATTCGATATAAGAGTAGGCGATAGTGCCGCTGCCCGGGCAAAATTTCCCTCATAGCACACTGTATGGCGTATGCCCGTCTTCATTAGCCCAGTATAGGAGCAGAACAGTAGGATGTTAAACCCCATTTCATTTCATTTCTTTTGGACTTCAGTTTATTTAAACTATATTTTTTGTAAATACTAAAATACTTCAAAATTACCCTCTAAAGAATAATCCTATGCTCATATTTAACTTTGAATTTAATCAATTAAAGATTTTTTTTTGACCTGTCATATTTTATATAAAACCAACTGATTTATGAACTGAACATGCAAGGTCGTATATGAGATTATTATTTAAACAGATTGTACAGCTGAATAGAATACAGAAAGGTAAATCAGATTAAATTACAGATTACCTGTCAATTATGTAATCTCTACTTTAATGAAGTTTGTAAATAATATTTTCTGGACTTTACAGAAGAGAGATGATTAATGTTATATATTTTTATATACTCAATTAAATTTATTTCAAGAGTCAGGCATTGATGTTATGCAGAGTTCTTTCCCAAACCTTGTCAACAGCCAGGCATAAGGGGACTCCTATCATTATTGCCCCTGTCACGAAAACTTTGTAAACACTCCCCAGTGGTCGGCTAACCTTATGGAAGGAAGAATCCAGAGAGGAGCACTGATGTTAAGAGAGTCATATCCACTTAATGGGTCAGAACTTATGAGATTTTTGTCCAAAACTTACATGTAGTTTGATTTTGCAGTCATTGCACATAGAAACTTGTTGACAGTCTTCAGGACAGAGTTTGTGACCTTTTTTTTTAAAAAAAAACCTGCAGAGATATTTTGTCACATACGAATGAACTCGACTGTGTAAGGGGGATATTCACCTTGTTGATTTTTCACATATGATATGCCCTTGAAACCTTTTTTGCATTTCTCATCACAAAAAAACTGAGTTTTTAAAATGGTGTTATTACTACTTCTTTGGCAGAGCAGCATACTGTGACATACTTATTTGTCCTCATTGGCTTGGCTTTTGCTAATGGTAGGCATATTTCCTTTGTCTACCAACGTGTGAATTTTTTTAAATCTTGGTCAGCAGGAACTGTTGACATTGACCATAGAGGGATATTAAAATGTGTTCTGCCCGTTCTCAGGAACCACTCAAGATATCTTCACGAAACTATTTACACTCATCACCTTATTATAGTAGTTGTGCTTTTTTTTGAGAATGGTGAATATGACTGTGACCTGTGGGACATATTGAACCCTTTTCAAAGGTTTGGGGATATGTCGTGGACTCGTGGCAGCACTACATAGAGTGACACTAAATAAAGGTTAAGTGGTATTGCAATGAGGGGAACACTTGACTTTCTAAAATAAGAGAGTGTCGCAAAATTTCAACAGTTGCATTCAGACAAATACCCAGTGGATAGATCTCTACCACGTCTACAGAGAAAGGAATATTTACATATTTCCGTTCAGGATTTAATAATACCGACATTTGATTTATCATTAATTTGTTATCTGTGGTATCATTGAAGTGTTTTCGAAAACTTGAAACTGCATGCACTTCACCTTCAGCATACTATAGTTGTTGTGCTCATTCCTGCAGTGCATTTCTCAGTTGAATAATTTTTGTGTTGATGACCGAGTCATTTGTTTCTTATGTAAACCGCAACAAATTTTTCACAGGGGTCCGGGTGAACCACTTACAGGACTTATAGGACTTTCTAAAATCTACATTCAAGTATCGTTCAGATTTTGCCCCCATGCCCCACCTCCCTCTCCGTCACCCTTTCAGAAATACGGGATTTTCCAGGGTGGAGATACATTTCACTCAAATTAGAAATATATACCAACATATTAGTGTAATGAAATATCCCAAGGTCACTATAAAAAATTTGTCATATTTATGATTAATTGATATTTGTAATGACGATATCACACGTAAGCCATAATTACCACAATGATATCTTATACATATCTATAAACATGAAACATTACCTTACCTAAAGTAGATGTAACTAGAATCTCGTGTTCTGTGTAGGTTAGGCTATAATTTATTAATATTGTTGATGTCCCCATTTATCATTCTTCTTATATTTAAATTTGTAACAAAGATTTATTTGAGTTAAATCTTTTATGTATTTATTGAGAGAAATGCATTTTTAGAAATGGACATATCCATAGTTATTTTTCGTAGACTTTAGTACACATTTGAATGTGGGGAGACACTGTCTTTTCTCACTGGCTCATAATATGACCCCATATTTATTTTATAGCCAATTTGTATAATAAACTTCGAACTATGTGATTTGTAATGGTACGAATTCTGACTCTTTAATAAAATTCTATTATTTCATCTTGTTTAACTTAAACATGCATTATGCAAGAGCAAAATCTGCTTATTACAAGTCTTTCTTTAGGCCTGAAATGTTATCTAAATTATCAATTAGACATTAATTAACTTATCCAGACCATAATAAACTCTCGATGTCAAGGCTAGCCTTCGATGTAGGCTGGATTAGAATCCTATATGCTGCTAACGGCCAAAGATAATTATATCAGAAAAAGTGGATAATCGAGACTATGCTGTTTATATTAATGATTTTAGTAATGATAACCGAGACTATGCAGAAATTTCACCGGCTTCTTTCTCGGCTCATAGTGGATCAATTTGACTGAAATTTTCAGCAAATTACCTTTACACTATTTAGTTTTTAACTATTATAGCGAGAACTGCCATCTCTTTATCTTATCTCCCATAATGTATCTTTAAAATAACAGGTCTATGATCCAGGTAGAAAATAAAAGTAAACAGGCACGGTGTCTCTGTAAAGCGCTAGCTCACTACCAAGGAAGTGCCGATTTGATGCCGGTGTTTGCCGAGAAAATACTTCGGGATTTTTAAATCTGGTTTCCTCTTGCAAGTGGTACAGGATCGAGGGCCCGGAAAGGAGCTGAGTCTAGTCCTTCAGATAGGAAGAAAAGTCTGAGTACTCTTGACCGTTGGAATTCGAAATCAGAATTTAGGCAAAATTTCACTCATAGCACCCTGAATACCCTATTGGTGTTGGACGTTAAACCCCATTTCACCTGCATTTCATTTCCTATAAGAATAACAAATAAATCGCTGTTTTGATTTCCCCGACGCCCCTAACAAAACGACTACCACGGTTTTCGTAAGAAAATGGACCATATGCTAACTAAATCCATTCCAAACAACATTCTTTGTATAGCATGATTTTGGATTAGTATAAACCTATAAGCCGATCTGTTGTGCGTGGCGTAATTACATTGTAATTTTAACGATTTGATGTACAATAAATCATTTATTTTTGGCTATATTCCCCAATTTTAAATATCCCACCATCCCACCCTTCCCTTTAAAGATAAAAAAAAAGACACTTATCATTCCGTTAGACTATTTAATGTTACACATCATTTGCACTACATATTTTTGAAAGCATTGTTCAAACATACGCCCTAGTAGCTTTGTAAAGTATAAGAAGGACCCCAAACATCGATTTTAATTAGACCATTAACTAACAATAAAAAAAAATTATGTAACCTGTAGTCTTTAAGAAGAATCAGTGCGTGACTCTGCAATCAAAGATGTTCATGCTTATAATGAGCTGAAACCCCTCACAAATTTTATAAAACATAAATATATCTGAACCCCGTGTATATCAGTCCGTATCACTATAGCCGAACAATCACAGCAAGTTTTCAAACCTTTGATCTGCATAGTGATATAAAAAGCATTCCATGTACAATGTGACTTGGATTACGGCAATTTTGAAAAAAAAGCTTCAGAAATCTCTGACCTCAAAGCGTATGCACAACGTTTCGGAGACGGGAGTCTAAAACTTGGACTAAAACAGAAACTTGATTCTATTTTTGGCCTGTTTCCCACTTAAGACCAGCTTACCAATCCCTGCAAAAATGTGATATGGGCAATATCGATTTACGATCTTTTATTTCGACCAGATTATTCTTACGTCTCGACAAATATTCCGAGCAAGTTAGAATTTTTTTTTCTCAAAAAATGCAGATAGTTTACTGGAATTCTTTGTAAACAGACCGACGGGCGAAGATGGTGACAATACAACCCACATTAAGTGTGAATGTAAAGCAAAATAATGTTTTAATCAATCTCCTTGAATGACAGAGCTCCAACCGACGTTTCGAGAATTATTATCTGGTGCAAAAGACAGATAGTCGGACAGAATCCAAGCACAGCCCCGGCCGCTTCTTTAAGCTGAATGAAATATTTGCATTAGAGTTATTATTGCTATTTTCACCTTTTAGCATAGACAGCATATTTAGTTAACCACTCTTGACACTTCATGATTGCTTGTTCCAAAATATCAGAGGGCGGGGTGACTGAGTCCGCTCTCTCACAATTAATTACTTCACGATATCGAATGTCATACTCTGCGCCAGTCACCTGAAACGTCTGTTCCCTAATTGGTAAACCAACGGGAATTTGGTATCGTCCTACACCCGGAAGAATAACGTTCCGTTGTCGAATATCTTTGGGTGATGAATCTGTCCGCGACGAAGATATTTCGGGAAGTCTTGTTTTATTCATTGTTGACGATGACGACGATGATGATGTATTAATGGGTCGCGGCTCACAACTTCTGGGTCGATCTGGAATCGATTCCTTGCCATTTTGACAAACATTCGGTGCACACATGTCTGTTCGCGAAGTTCGCATTAAATTGCTATAATTATTCAACATAAATGATTTTTCACGCCCGATTCCGCCACTTTCTTTCTTCTTTTCACAAAGTGTTTCGTTAATGGCCGTTTGGGCTTCTTTCGACATTCGTTGAAAAAGTTTTGATCGTCTCTTCTTTGGGGAATTTTCAACATCCGTTTTTTTGTCATGGCGAACGTCTGCTGTTAAATCTGCTTCATTGAAAGTTGATGGACACGATTTAACAGTTTTATATGTATCTGGCCGATGGTATCTCGTATCACCATTTTCCCCAGATTTGGATACAATCTTTTTATTGTGAGACCTCCTTTGAATTCTGTCTCTAACAGATGAAGAGTTCGTACTGTTCCTACAATAGTCCATATTACTTGATGGATCCTTTTCGGAAGATACCTCAGATTTTAATTCGGACAAATCATCGACATTATTTTGGTCGTTCTCGATGTTTTGTTCGCTCACATCATCACTGGGCGTCACGTCTTTTTCGAACGCATTATTTATGATAACATCATCCGAAGTTCCATTTTCAGATTTCACAAAATTATGTTCCGTGCACGGACTAATAGTTCGGGGACCACGAAGTGGGGTGGCGCGAAGTCTTTGGCTGATTCTGGAATACCTTCCCCCGCCTGAAACTGTGGAACTGGCACCCGATGGTCTGGGACGAACACGTGCAGAATTCGTATTAAAAACAATTTTCATGTGAAGCCTCTTGTATTTATCTTCCAATGTTTTCATCCATGTTGGACACGGTCCGCTATCGTAGTCACTCGAATAATTTCTGTCAATTGTCGAACGAGCTCGCATTGTGATAAGGGCCTTTTGTTAATCGCAGACAATTCAGCTTTGGTAATAATTAACTCATTTACCCATAAACCAATGGGTTATGATTTACACTATATCACACTTTTGCCTTTATGATTAATAGCAATATCTACAAAACCAGTGAGCATAATCGCTATGCTTATAACCATTAATAACACGGACTAATATCATTATCTGGCAATCAACCATGCGAACAACACTTACAAGGCTAATAATATAATTCCTTACAAAGCTTCATATACATCTAAAACTATTGTACATGAACGGGTCACAGTAAAATAAACTCGAACGTGAATGTAAGTAGGTATATAATACCTTTTCTTAGCCTTGTTAAACATGAATTATGAAATCAGGCGACTTACAGGGTTTCTCTGACGTAAACGTCATACACTGTGTATTTAGTAGACAAAGATTGTTATAAGATCGCTTTTTATTTTCCTTAACAAATCTTGAGTTGAATATATAAAATATTGATCTAGGTAGGTATGTAATGGTAGTAACGGTGATATCAGGTTGTAAACATTCCCGGGCTGTCAAGCTAATTTTGGACTTTTAATAACCTCCTTAAAGTGTGTACACACAGCTACATATCTGAAAAGACAATATTAATACAAAAATGTCAATAACATAAATCAATGTAAATAACGACGGTGTTTGAATTGGGTGTTGTATTGTGTTTGATCATGTATTTATGATGGGTTTTTAATTATAGAAATCTTTCTTGTACATGGACCTTTATGTCGCTATAACAGAGTTTAAAACTAATAGCGTGCTTAAAGGTCTATCACGATGTGTTTTATTATTATCTTCACGACAATCAACTCAGAACACATATTTACAATTTGTCATTTATTAGTATTTTCATGATAAAATCCAGAACAAATATTTCGACATGCATTCGTGTGAATCATCTTGTGAATATTTCATTTCATTCAACTTAAATTTATTTTTCATTAGAAACAATTTAGTAATAATGTATAATGGTCTTAGAATGTAGACCCGTGACACATCGTGGTTTTGAAAACATTTATAATCAAATATGAAATGAAATGAAATGAAATGGGGTTTAACGTCCTACTGTTCTGCTCCTAAACTGGGCTAATGAAGACGGGCATACGCCATACAGTGTGCGATGGGGGAAATTTTGCCCGGGCAGCGGCACTATGGCCTACTCTTATATCGAATTCCAACTGCCAAGGGATCTTTTAAGTGCACGTCAATGTGTACACGGGACCTCGGTTTTACGTCCCATCCGAACGACTAGACAGCTTTCCTTGTCAGGCCCTCCGCCCTGCATCACTGACAAGGGGAAATCACGCCGGAAAATCTGGATGAACTTTCTCGGCCAATGCAGGGATCGAACACCCGACCTCCAGGCTAGCGAGCCAGCGTCTTACGCACTTAGCCACCGTGATCCTCTATAATCAAATATACACGACTTAAAAAGTATGATGAATGAATGATGTGTGGTTTAACGTCCTACTTTTCTGAACCAACGGGGCCGATGAAGACGGACATACGTCATATATTTTGCTATATGACGAACATTTTGCCCGGGCAGCAACTGCAACGTATTTCTGGTGGATTTCAAGCAATCTTTCGGATGCACAGTAAGAATGACAAACGCTCTATCTACATTATACTTGTCTCTAGCCCATAACGACATGCCCTTAAGTTACTAGGGATCGAACGTGACATTCTAAAATCGACCCAGTTATCTAAAGGATTTTATTTTTTAAAGGCTAATTGGTTGAACGGATACAATCACCCATTTATAAGTGTGGCTTCAACGTGAATATATTTTAAATCTATCTTGCTGTGTATATTTTTATTATCGTGTTAAAACGAATAAATGTTAGACATTGATATGTGGTTAATCATATTAATATGTACATAAAGTTACTCTACGTTTCATCACACTTGCGCTATTACCATTGTTCGTTTATTCATTCCAATATTTCTTAGTATAAGTAAAGTCAATTGCATGAGTTCCCCTCGGGTTAATGACCTGTGTGAAAGCAGCGTCCATATTGGCATAAATAAGAAATATGATCTTCAAGGTAACGAACAGTTGTAAGCCCTGTAAACCTGACTCAAAGTCATTATAAACCTAGGGTAAAATACCTCCAATGCAGGGGATCACGTGGCTAAGTGGGTAAGACGCTAGCTCGCTAGCCTGGTGGTCGGGTGTTCGATCCCTGCATTGGCCGAGAAAGTTCATCCAGATTTTCCGGCGTGGTTTCCCCTTGTCAGTGATGCAGGACGGAGGGCCTGACAAGGAAAGCTGTCCAGTCGTTCGGATGGGACGAAAAACCGAGGTCCCGTGTACACATTGGTGTGCACGTAAAAGATCCCTTGGCAGTTGGAATTCGATATAAGAGTAGACCGTAGTACCGCTGTCCGGGCAAAATTTCCCTCATAGCACACTGTATGGCGTATGCCCGTCTTCATTAGCCCAGGTTAGGAGCAGAACAGTAGGACGTTAAACTCCATTTCATTTCATTTCATTTCACCTCCAATGCATTAATTTTTAAAACAAATTTTACGACTGTTCTAAATATTCATGCTCGTCCAAAACAAGACTTTAAAAAATCAGTGCTGCTTTGGTGTTCCTTTTGTCTGCCAGCGTTTATGTAATGACAATTAAGGTATTGAATACATTACGTATGCAAAGCGCACCTATATTTTACCTGATATAGGGCCTACGTGAATTGTGTTGTTGCCAATATTTATTCTACTATAGCTTACATAATTTCTATAACAAAGGTTTGGTGATATAAGTCAAGGGAAGTTAATGCCTATATTAACACTTCAAGTAATTCTTCGTTTCACCAAGGGGCGGGCCTTTCATCTGAGGTAGATTCATTTCTAGGGAGGGGATGGGGGTTTATTTACGGTTTTAGTTTTAAAGCTAGTGGGCGCGATGTAGCAACAGGGGCGAGGTGATCGGTTCTTTTGCATGAGAACAAGATTCCATAGTATCTGTTTAACAGTGGTTGATCAATATGATATTACATGGATATCGGGAATTTGCCAATAGTGCTGGTCATTTTTCTATTTGAGAGGGTTCGCAAAAATCAAGGAGGGTGCAAAATCTATGACAAACCACATGACGCAATAACCCCACGCCCTTCCTTTCGCTTAGCCCCTGTGCAGACCATAAATCTGACTTAAAATGTATGTTTATATCCAACAGATGTCCGTTACTCTTGAAATTTACACATGTCGGACTGTATAACATCCTGGATAATGACCCCTTAAAGATACATTATGGGAGATTAAATTAGAGTTGACTGTTCTCGCTATATATAATAGTTAAAAAAAATAGCTAAGCTAAATAGAATATGTTGAAAGTTTCATTCAAATTACTTCATTCCCAGCCAAGTTATCACTGTTCGTAGTTTTGACAAGATGTGTGCATTGTGGTAACCAGGGCACGGGTATATTCGAGACTTAGCCTAGCTTTTCCAGTTTTAAATTACATTTTTAAAAGGCGAACCGTTCTAATCTAGTTAAAATCTCAAGTATCCGATGTCATCGAGAGTTGATTAATTTATATAATATCTCAGGCCTAAAGAAAGACCTACAATAGGTAGATTTAATTATTGTACGAAAATCACCTTTTTAGCTTGTTCTCTGTACATCTCTTGCAAAACGAAGGCTTATCTTGCATGACAACCGCATGTTCATTTGAAGTGAGAGAGAAAACAAAATCAGAATTCACAATTTTGGCCAATTGGAGAAATGGTAAGCTACTGACAAGACGGCAACCGCGAGCCATCAGTCCGAGCGTTTGGCGCTGGATTGTGCATACATTGCACCGTCCTCAATCCTCATTTAAGTATGAGGGGGTGGGAAATAGGATGGGACCCATGGGTAGCGAAAGACTGTTACGGAGTGGACCGAATCGATGGAAATGTACTGTTGCACTAGCAACATTGTAAATAAAGAAGGGCATTCAGATATAAATTGGCGGCAATAGAGACACCTTGTATTGATTTCCATTAAAGGGGCATTATGGGAAATTAGATAAAGAGCTGACAGTTCGCTATAATATTTACAAAAAAGATAATGTAAAGAAAATGTTATGCTGAAAATTTCGGTCAAATTTCTCCACCCTGAACCGAGATATTAGCAATTGAAATTTATGCCTAGCCTCGATCATCATTACTAAAGTGGGTACGATAAAAAACAAAGTCTCTATTATCCAGTCACAAAATGTATTCAAATCCAGTAAATATCGCAGATTAGAGTTGATTATGGTCTAGATAAGCTGATTAATGTCTAATAATTTAGATATCATTTTAGGCCTAAAGAAAGACCTACAATGGGCTGATTTAGCTCTTGCATAATGTATGTTTAAGGTGTTGTTTTTGTTTTGTTGTTTATTTTTTCTTTCGTTTATTACCAATCCGTGTACAGAAATGGTATTGAATTTACCATGAGAAATGTGTAAGTAGTTTATTCACATGCAATTAAGACATGCAATATAGTGCAATTAGATCAATCATAATGCCACATTGATCACAAATGAATTGAATAAGTTTTTATTTCACGTAAACAATATTTTGTGACTTAGGAATTTTATTTACTGCTAGGTTGGCCCTACATGTATATGTGCAATACTGTGGATAATTTTGCCAGAGCACAAACCACATTTTCAAAAAAATTGCCCGTGGCCTCTATATACCAATAGCACGCCTATTGAGTATTTTTTCGGACAATATGCCTAAACTATGGAAGCCTATAACTACCAGTCGTAATTTACACTTTTTGTCTCTTCAGAACGCGATTGTCGGAAAGTCGAAAAGTAGAAGTTACGACAAAATGTGAGGCGACAGCACGCTAACGCTACACAAGCCAAAATCGACTCGAAAATAGGAATTTAAGAAATATACCCACCGCGATATTTTAATAGCGCACCTAGTTTTCTACTTTTCGACATGCATTTTGGCTCGTGTACTGTGTAGTGTGATGTCGACTGTCGACCTATAGTCATAGTTTGTATTTATTCATGTCGGTAAGAAGGCGCCAACACCGCATACCAAGCCAAAATGCAACTCGAAAAGTAGCAATTAGGAAATTAATAAAACCGCGATATTAATGACCCATCATTTTGGCTTGCTGTCGACTTTTTCCTCGGAAGTTGTAGTCTATACATTCCAGATCACATTCGAATACGCTCAATTCGGGTTAACAAAAATGGTCTTTGTGACAATGTATAGTATTGGTGGTGATATTAGCACCCTATCATGTTGGCTTGCTGTCGACTTTTCGAGTTTCGCCTCAAAAGTTGTTGCGGTCACGGGGGTCACGGTGGCTAAGTGGGTAAGACGGTAGCCTGGAGGTCGGGTGTTCGATCCCTGCATCGGCCGAGAAAGTTCATCCAGATTTTCCGGCGTGGTTCCCCCTTGTCAGTGATGCGGGACGGAGGGCCTGACAATGACAGCTGTCTAGTCGTTCGGATGGGACGAAAAACCTAGGTCATGTGTACACATTGGCGCGCACATAAAAGATCCCTTGAGAGTTGGAATTCGATATAAGAGTAGGCCGTAGTGCCGCTGTCCGGGCAAAATTTCCCTCATAGCACACTGTATGGCGTATGCCTGTCTTCATTAGCCCAGTTCGGAGCAGAACAGTAGGACATTAAGCCCCATTTCATTTCATTTCATTGTTGCAATGTCTGTACATTTGAATACGTCTAGTATTGACGAAGGTCTTTAAGAGAATGTTAATAATAATATCCAGATCTAATTGCAGATGTTATGCAACCGTCAGTAATATTATAAAACTTACATAGATAATCTAATATTTGCTCTCAGAACTATGCTGCTCAAAATATACTGATAAAGAGTCAAAACAATAAAACATACCTGAATATTCCGGATCTGTCACCGTGGAAATAGTTCTTTATATTATAAGTTCATGTATCCTAGAAGCTGATGGAAAACTTTCTGTTTTCACTTTACAGCTAATTTGATCTGGTGGATTTTTTTTCTCCTTCGTGAAAGAATCCAATTGACATCTCGCTAGGGAGATTAATATTTCATAAGATTCCAATTGACCTAATGAAAAGTTTTAAGACAATCATGGCATACATGTTTAACTTCAACACAAATCTAAATCAATTCAATGGCTTCCACACGCTATATGGACGATATCTTTCAAACGTTGGATGGATGTATCTTATCTATGATTCGGTTTTGGATGCAGATAGGTATCAGTAGACCTATATATAGTGGAATAATGTCAAAGAGTTCATTTGTATACCAAAAGTGAACACATTAATGATTTCTTACTTACTTTCAGATATCACGGAACGGTTTACGTCAATATTTACCGTCTTGTTCTAACTACAACGTTAAAAATTCATCATATTGTATTCTGTTTCGATCCAAAGTTTATCTGTATATACAACACTGATTTTTTTTTTTTATCCTTAAAAACTTTGAGCTATGGCTGCCATATCTATCTAATCTAAATTCTCCAATTAATATTCATCAGGACATCTGTCGAAACTCTTTTACAAAGTTCCAAAAACAACAGACTTAGCATATTTAGCCATGTCCCCTTTCGGTTTGGTTTGTTTGTTTTATTTTGAAATGTTGTGCCTTTAACAGTTTGGAGCTTCTAAACGGATATGAACAATTCTTTTACCTTGTACTTGTAGATTACACATTTGAATGCTGGTGGCTAAGGTATGATTACTTTTCCAATGACACAATAGACGTTGATATATGTCATATAATATCATTGTATATTATTTGTTTATACCTACTTCAATATAACCTTGTTTAAAATGTCTCGTTTTACACACGCCAGTGTATCAAGGCAGAAATATGCATGTTACATATCATGACGTCCTATTGTACAAATGAAAAGAAATCTAGTTCTTTGTGAATTTACAATATATACCACTGAATGTTGAAATGAAGTCTATACAAGTCTAGATTTAAAGCCGATTAATGGATCTATATGTATTGTATGAAAACAATAATAGATAGATAGAAGAGTTGCAATCAACTTGTAATTGTCTGCGAAGAGATTAAGTATAATTATTTAATATTGTTTATAGAATGTTTTTAGCGGTTGATAACAATGATTTTTAACGATTAGTTAGTAACGAACGCGGAAGCAAAAACAACGACAACCATTGTAAAATAATCTTTGTACCTTCTGGGGTAGTTTAAAGATGCACTATGTAAGAGCTAAATATGTCTATGACGGGCCTTCTTTGCCCCCAAATGTTATGTAAACGATTAATTAGACATTTTTTCACATGACACATGATTTTGATAGATTGAAGCACGATGGTCATTAAATAATTTACTTTAGAAATGGATAATCGAGGCTTTATTATAGAAACAACGGTATAGCAATGAAAATCTAGACTATGCCATTCTCATCAAAACTTTCAACTTTCACAGCTTCGCTCAGATTAAAGTAATTTGACTGAAATTTTCAGTACACTCCTTTCTAATTATCTTATCAAAACTTTCAACTTTCACAGCTTCGCTCAGATTAAAGTAATTTGACTGAAATTTTCAGTACACTCCTTTCTAATTATCTTATCAAAACTTTCAACTTTCACAGCTTCGCTCAAAATAAAGTAATTTGACTGAAATTTTCAGTACACCCCTTTCTCATTATCTTTTTAAAACCATTATAGCCAGAACTGTTTGTCTTTATCTAAATCTTACATAAGGCATCTTTAACATTATATATAATATATTATGACATATTCCTTGTGTGAGTCCAAAAGCTATTATATAAACGTCAATTAAAATTCTTTGAAGTTTGAAATGGGTATATTATGTGCTTATAGGCATAATGATCAGCCGAGCGGTGGTGAACTTTATTTTTATAAATTAATAATTACATTTTATTCTTCCAAATGATCTGTCCAGATGCCAAGTTTTATTTTTCGAAACCCGTTAAAACCATGATCTTATATAGGTTTCCGATAGCCAAGAATAATTTGTGAAAGTGTAAAACTGCCATAACCATGATGGCCGAAAGATAAATGAAAAACAGGAATATACTGCAACTTTATACAGAAATATATAATGATAATATTTTGAGTGAAAACACATCCAGACAAAAAAAAAAGCCCGATCATTGCAAAAACGTTAAACCCCATTTCATTTCATATAGTCTTAATACGGCACAAATGGAGATCATTAAACGTGTTTTTCAAACACTCGACGAAAGGGCACTTTTAGTTGGAGCCGATCAATAAAGAGATCGGGCTTTTAAAATATATTTATTTCCAAGAAAATATGGATAAAGCTCTTACATTGACCTAGCAGGTAATCATTATTCAGATATGTGATTACTATTGTAATTCAATAAAATCAATAAATAAAGTGATTGATCATAATTATAAGAATATAAACCACCTCATATTGATTAGTAAATCCTTAATTATTCTTTATTGAAATTAATCTTGAAGTCGCTTAATAGCCATATTGTGTATTCCAACAATTTCACATAGAATTTAGTTTCATCTTAGTATAATGAATTCTGTGGAGATGGTTGCAAAAATGCAACATATAAAGCTCTATCTTGGATCTGAATATTTGCCTTTTTTCCCTACTATTTAATTAAATACGTCCTTTTTAAACGCCCACTTTAAATGAGGTATATTTTTCCTCAACAACCCCTGTCCACAATATTTTAGGTAGCCCTCTGCAAATCCGCGTGATAGTTCTATTGACGGATTCCCTTTTTAAAATTTGAATTGAGTCCAATACGGAAAATTCTAGACTTGGATTTTTATATTTCTATTCCTGATCGACCGACTCAACTCTCTTGATAACAAGAGAATCAGTAATTATATTCCAGTAATTATTAAAACCCCACTTTCGAACAACTTCTTACATTGAATTTTAAAGTTTGGGCATGCGACGCTTCTTATTGACAGTTCCTTTATGATCGGAATCTGCAATGACCACAATCCATGTTTGATTGTCTGAAATGCCGCATTAAACCTCTGAGTAATGGGGGGTTTGGATGGCTGAACATTGCCCGAAATCAATACCGTTTTTTCGGGCATATCATAAGAGAGCTTCGGGCATATTTTCGGGCATGCAGTGGACAAGAAAAAGACGAGAAAATAATTTTCGGGCAGTGTGGATCTCATAGAAATAAGTTAGTTATATTTTTTCTCTAAACGTTAATAGAAAAAAAAAGTCGTCGAATTTTTCATTGCCCGAAAATAAATTTTTTGGGGGGCAAATGCGCCCCCTGCCCCCCCCCCCCGGCTCTTACGCCTATGTCAGGCTGAATGGTTAGCACGTGCGCGCTGTATATCTTACAGCTTGTCATTGAGTCAACTGGCGTGCTATTCGAATCTCAGGCGGTGTCAGACCCGAATAATATAATCTTGGCTAGTCTGACGCCATTCTGATTATAACTCTGCTCATTAATTTTAGAAGAATTTATATTTAATTATATTTATATTTATATTTAATAATCATCATATACGCTACTAGAGATTTTATTCAATCAGAACAAAACGATGTAATAATTTTTACAATAATTAATAATTAATAATGTATTTCTGTCGGGTGTTTTTTTTTTTAAATCTATAGAAATACTGGGTTTGACGTTTCAAAAACATATAAAAAAGAAAGAAACTTTTGATTATTGTAAAAAGAATGCTATCGTGTAAAGGAAAGTACATCGTGAGTTATATTCCAACTTATAAATGTAAAGAATTGACCACAGCTTCAAACAAGGGCCAGAAATCTAAAGAGAAAATAATTTTAAACCTGATTTACTGTCTTCTAGTATGGGCTGACTGACAAGTGTCTCTGCAAAAAATTTTAACATTTCTGAGAAATAATACTTGTGGGTTCTAACCGACCTAGTAAACATGTTAAATGTTCAAAGATCTCTCCCGACGGTCCCACCTCCGTGGACTGTAAACGATTAATTGGTAGATTGGCAGTCAGTTCAGCCACATAAGTTAGGCTATATTAGACCACTTTGAACTTGCTGTAATCACGGGCTGGAATAATAGGAATACCCGCATGCCTATGCATCACGGGACTATTTTATGCATAAATTTAAAGTTACAATTTCGTATTTTCTAAGAAAGTCAAAACATAATTATTTCTATGTCGTTTGCTCAATAGGTTGTCAACTCACTATTATACGATCATGGGTTATCTTTCTCACACTTAAAAATCTTTACACCGGAAATAATAACACAATTACCCCCCCCCCCCAATTACCTCCCTTGTTTTCCTATTCCCCACCATGGAATAGCTAACTTCAAACGTTTGAATTTGAAGTTGAAAATGATATTTTTGCCTATTTCTCAACTATCAATAGTGAATTATAGGACTAATAGGATTATTCTTTAACAAGGTAGAACTGTTTATAGATACCATCTATTTTAGGGCTTTATTTTAATACATTTTAAAAATATAACTTAAAAATATGAAATTGTAACATTTAAAAAAAAAATCTGATATTCCTAGATGCATCTTGGTAAGAGGACACCGGTGAAACACCCTTCATAAAAGGCTTCTGGTTATTTAAAAATTTATAAGTCACGTCATCATCCAAATGTATAACTAATGAATTACACCAACTATTTATTTTTCGTTGAAGTTATATATACGTATACAATTTCACACACCGTCTTCTATATACATGTATATATTATTATTGGCAAACTTATTCAACAAGGAAGTTCCTCGAATATCTATTTTATTTTTACGGCGTGACGGCGTTAATGAGCATACAATGTCTGACTACTCATTTTATTCATGCAAACCAGTGAGGTGAGAGAGAGAAATATAATACACAGAGAGAGAGAGAAATGGGATTTAACTCAACTCGACACAAACTAGGTCATTTCAGGACTAACACATAGTTCAATTTTATTTCAAAAATTTGCTTGAGCGTAGGGTTCTTTAGCAGTGGCTGGAAACCCGTCGGTCCGGAGAAAACCCACGAGGTTGGACAGGTGACCCTACTCCTTGTCAATTACAAATCGAAACCACACCAGATGACAGACCGTATGATACAAGACGCACGTGCTAACCATTCAGCAATCTACCACTCCCGATATTATTACAACCGTCTTAATGCTAGATTCTCACAATCAAGATTCGCACCAGGAAAATGCGTTTGCAGCCGTCAAATTTTCCAAATTTTCTTTGGTGGTGAGGGGGGCTATACGGTAAGCTCAGCTCCTTCGCCTCTTGCAGACGACTACCCCACCCCCTAATATTCATTGAGCCTGTACGCCTATTTTAGTAAAGGAAATGAACTCTACTTTTCAGCACAGACTTGGTTAGTAAAGACATGGGACCTTAAACGCTGCCCTAGTAAAGACAAAGAGTACTGTTACCAATCATTTATTTCTTACATACAATACATACATTATAATACAGTTGACATAAGAACATTATACAGCTTTATATATCTCTCTCACCAAACAATTATAACATATTAAAATTCTTAAAATCATAATTACAAGACATTGTTCTTCTATTTGGCGTGGTTTTAAAAATAACTTTCAGCAAATCAGTTAGCCATCAAAATTAAGTAATAGTCCTAGTATTTCAATGTTAACCAGAGAAACAAAAACATGATCCCACAATGCACCATTATCCTACTTCCTTGTATGTAAAATTCCATCAATGGTATTAAAAGGAAGACTTGTTAAGAACTACTGTAGTACTCCTGTCTCAGGTTAAATACATGTAGCTAACAGTTGCTTCACATTTTGTGTAATTAATTTAAACAACAATATGCATCCAACTTAATTGAAGTACTGACGTTTTTACTTAACAGCATGACAAATTTCAGCTTTATAAACGTAACTACACAAATGAATGACATCTCTTAACAGTAAATTAAATTTGAAGACAGATTGTCCTTTTCTCTTTACCTACTGCTTATTGTACCATCAAAATACAAATTTTACAACCCTGAGCTATTGACTAGAATTTATAAAGCTAAAGTATATGCCATGGATGAGAAAAATCAGTTAAATTATTAGGTAGATTCAAAAAGCCAAGTTAGTATAATGTCTATAGTAAATTTTCACAGTACATCTTTCTTTTCTTACGTGCAACCCAACAAAATGTTTGAATTTGTAATCATCAAGCATATTAAAGCATCATGTTGTAATGTCCATCCAACTCTTAGAAAGAATATCAATCAAAGAAAAAAGTAACAAATAATTCAGAAAGCAAGTTGTTTAAGTCTAACATTATTTAGAAGTATCTGGCATTCCTGAGACCGGATAGAAGCAAAGAAATATATAGCAAAATAATTTCTGATCGTTCTGTTGAGTATTTTAACAGGAATTTTTACAATTTATCGATAAATATATCTTTGCCATTTTGTTATTTTCTTGCATGTTTTGAATATCTAGTGAAGAACACATCATTTATATGGAAGCCACTTGGAATAAACTGCGCCTAGCCCATATCCTAAGATAAACATTATGAACACTTTAAAAGACAAGAGACTTATTATACAGAGCAATATAAATAGTAACATTCATTTAAATAATATACAAGCACATAAATAATTCAATTTATTTCAACAATTGCTTTAAATTTTATATATTCCTGCAAGAGATACCAATCTTCCCTTTTTTGACCAAGGGAGATAACTTTGTCACAACCGAGCCTAAAAACATTTCAAATAGTATTAACTTTCTCTTTAATTATCAATTTTAAATCAGAATTACAGAATTTTGTTTCAGACACAAACTGAATTTAAAAGAAATTTTTAATTTGAGAGAATTCAAGTTTTGAATAGCATTTAGAAGTTGAAATTTGATTAAAGTGTTTAATGGTTTTTAAATGGCTTTAAATCAAAATGCACGAAGTTTCAATATCCATATAAATGTTCCACATGAGAAAGACTGTTGTATAATAGTTGAAATGTCTTGTATTTTTTTCATTTAAACAGTTCGCCCACATATTGACAGCATTTGGAACAACATTGCTTATTTACTTGTGGTTTTATTGCTAAAAATATAATATGAAGAGGCATGGTTCTAATAATCTCCATTAACACATCATTTAAGGCCGTCGTTCGCACTTCATTTGGTGAATTTTAACAATAAAATCGTTTTTGAGGTTTTATGATTATCTGCGAGTAACACTATCTAGGAACACATACCAGTCATTTTTTTCACAAAATTCTTCTTTATTTCTACAAAATTTGGTTCTGAATGATCCCACCCTTTTTTATTTTGCCCTAATTCCGCTAAAACTATTGATATAAATCTAAAAACAATGGGCATTTCATACGTGAAATACTTGGCTTCCGACCGGTAAACTGTCGCCATGTTAGATACTGTTAGAAAGCTTGGGATTTCCCCTATTGAAAGGAAATGACGTTTTTTGGGGGTGTCTTGAAACCTTTCTTCTGTATTGAGATAAAAATAGCAAGCAAGAACAAGTTTTGCATACCTAATGAGGTTATTTCGAGATTACGTTATTTGATTGGTCGGTCACATAGGTCAATGGTGAAGTGTCCAATCAGAAGCGGGCAATCCTCTAGGTCAGGTCAATAGGCATGCGCACTAAGCTCAGGTCCCAAATCAATCCTGGTTGCTATATTACTGAACCGTACGTCACTGTTTATCAATATTTTTGAAGATTTTCAAATAAAATGCGTTTGAAATTGTTTAGATGACTAAATAAGTATGACAGACACTCATAATAAACAAAATGAAGATGAAAATTCGTCTGCTAGACCTAGTAGTGGTATGGTTGCAATACCATTACCAGGTAGGCCTGCTGTCAGTGATTATTATAGTTATGGTTGTTTTGAATAACATCTATTCCTATGCCAATGTTCGGTTGTAAATTTACACACAAGAAATAAAATAAGAAAATACTGTATATTGATAAGAAATACATTAGAAAATATATATATTAAAAGTCAGTTTATTAATATTAAATAAATGAATTGAACAGATCGGCGTAAGTTGTTCTACTGAAATACTTCAACTTCAGTTGTTGATTTCTCAAAACAGTTTTTTTCTAGAGTTACCAATTTTAGTCATGCTATATCTCTGAAAGTTAACGTCAGATTTTCTTGAAACTTGGAATATAACTTCCTATATAATAACTTTGTGCAATAGGAAAATTTTATTGAAATCTGCGAAATAGTTCCTGATATATTGTTGCCATAGCAACTGTGACACATGAAAGAATTTTGAAGTTAACATTAAAATGTGTATAACTTGCTTTCTAATTATTATTTTGTAATGAAACTTGCCTATTGCACAAATGAACATGTCAGTAACCTCTCTGCTTAATTTTAAAACATTCTGTTGAATAGTTTCTGAGAAACTGGATGACTAAAATTATACGCAGAAATCCAAGATGGCCGCCGTTTCCATAGCAACAGGTACCCCCAGGAAAATTTTTCGGCCGTTTTTGTAATATTCAATGGATGTGTTCTTAGATGTGTAAGAATGGTGACTTTACCTCAATTATTAAAAAAACTGAAATTTTCTACTGTCCACCCCCTTAAGAATCTTTATTGAATATCTTAATATAATTGTTAATATTTCAAACAGCTAAATATTGGTATAATTTTCGATTCATTATTAAAGGATACATGGGGTGGGCTATTCATTTATTATAGGCTGCATGGGCCATTTTGGTTAACTGAAAATTCAGAATACATTTTTAGCAATGGCAAGCAGCATGAAATAAATGAAATAAAGCAATGGAAACTGTATGCATCCTTCAGAAGCAGCGAATAAGTAATATTCACAAGAACTTATTTTAAGAATTCTGGCTTCTTATTGACACAGGAAAAAAGTATATTCTTAAAACAATTTACTTTACATTTTTTGTCTTACAATATAGAATACAGATTATATAAGTTGATAAATATAATGTAAGTAAATAAAGACACATTCATTCATTCATTCATCCAATCTGTTCATATATAATTCTGTTTGTTATATACAAGTTTCAACATCTTAACAAAATGATGAGAACTTCTCAAAACAACTAAACTATTCTATGAATATTTTTGTTTTCTTTAAAAAGCCTAGAGTTCATGTAAACTTTGCAAAAAAGAAAGGGAATTTATCTTACAAAAATTTATCAATTAGTGAAACGTCTACATGTCTTTATTTAAAATTTAACCATCTTAGATTGTCCAGATAATGAGTTGCTACTAAATTCTGATAAATGATGATCTTTTCATTTTGGAATTTGAAACTCGACTAAAAGAATTACTTTTAAGGCAGGGTTTGTTAATTTTATGATTTAACAAATTGGTTAATTAAGGTTGTGACTCTTAGAAGTGGTGTATTTATATTAACAATGAAAAATGGAATGCGGATTTATGCATTTTACAAAAGTAAATATAAGTGATGGCCATTGTTTTTATTATATATATAAATAACTTAATGATTCTTTACAATGCCATATATATATATATATATATCAATATTTATATATATTCTCTGGTGACAAAATTGAAACACAACACAAAATCAACATTCAATTTAGAAATCCATATTTTTCGCCAGCTTATCAAATAGTCAAAATCCCCAAACTTTTAACTGTACAATTCAGTTGATAACCGACAAATTAATTCTATGTGTGGTTAAAATATGAATAAAGTAAATGGCTATCATAATATACATTGTTTATTACTGAATAGGCAAACCTATTCAAACAAACATCGGAGTGGCAAAATTTACTACCATAATTCTTTTTGTTAGGCACTTGCTTTCATTGACAGAAAATATTTTAAAATGATTTTACTATAATAATAAAATCTGAACAAACCACATATCATTTGTATATTTATACAACAGCAGCCAGAATGGGCATAATCAACAGTTTATATAAGATCAATTAATTACTATCAGTAATTCCTATTTTAAATATTTGAAAGTTCAATTTTATAAGAACTAATTTATAATGTGCTTTTCAGATATGTAGTAGTTCACTAAAATCAGGATCTGGACTGAGAAAAAATATTTAAAATATTTAGAACTAATAAAAATGTTTAAATCACTGAAGTAAAAAAGGTGCCTGCATGGACGTGGATGAAGATAAAAGAATACCAGGCAGAAGGTGCTATTTGTAGATTCGGTTAAAAACAGTATTTGATACCTAACTAACTATGTATGAGCAAGGATGGAAGTAAGAGAATATCATTACTTGTTTTTGACAATTGCAATACATACTCATTATTTGTTTTTTTAAAAAAGAAAAAAAGTATAATGGAAACTTTATATAAATGTCCATGAGCAAAAAGTTAAAAAGAATAAAATCACTTTAAACAACACTGACCATAATATTTCACAATGTATTTTATTTTTTGGGTAACTGGGGGAGGGGTGGGGGGGGGGTCTAATTACATAATATACATTTTGATTGGCAGTGTATTGATCATTCATATCTTTTATATATCTAACTGCACAATTTCTAAATTTCATTCTTAATACTTGTTTTATTTCTACTAACATTTCTAAAAATAAGTTATTATTCATTCACCTAGAGATGTCAATATCCATTTCTTATTTTCAATCTCTATCTAGCCTGGTAAAAATAATCATTTATTGTCTACATTGCTAAAGAAACTGCTAGTTTTCTTTAATTTACATTTATATTAGTATCCGAAATATTCATTTTAACAATCTCTAAAAATCCAAATACGGTAACCCTTGCACTAAAAAGATATTTGGGAACGAAGCCAGGGCATTTTCTAACAATTCTTATTGGGTGTCCATCAACTAAAATCGGTATTCTAAGTGCTAAATTAACTATTGTCACAGAAAACTCCACCAAGTAAATCGAAGAGTCTCAAAAAAAAAAAGCACTGTTTGGTATCTGTAAAGCACTGTCCACCATAGTTCATAATACACAGCCCTTTTTCCTGACATTTCACATTATACCCTGTTCCATTTAGTCATTTTTCATTTGGGGAAACAGGCCTGTTCATGGCACTGTGTTAAATGCCTGGTCCGCTGCAGAAGTTAGTTACTGATAAATGTTTTTTTTATTATAGTCTACGGCTTTATTTTTATCACCGACGTTTTAAATGACTTGTTATCCATTCTAAACCTTGATATAATCTGAAAATAGAAAGAAAAAACACCATCAGTAACATTTAAGGTCATCGAGAACCCAATGCTGAATGAATTAATGAATGAAATGGGGTTTACAAAATTACATTCTACTCTAACCATGCTAACGAAGACATGTATAAAAAAAATGCACAATTGCATTAGCAAGTGGGCGTATAAAACGTCTTTTAACTCATTGACTAGGCGGGGTTTATTTAAAGATTAAATCCGCAAACAACATCAAAATATCAAACTTAACTAAATCGACAATTGATATTTCATACAACAAAACACTAAGGTTTAGTCCATATAATGTTTAGCTTCCACTGCTGAATATGTTTATTAAACATGCATTATGTAAGATTTAGATAAAGAGCTGATAGTTGTCGCTATAACAATTTAAAAATAGATAACGAAAATTAAATGTTCTACAGAGTTGATTATGATCTTGTCATGCTTATAAACGTCTAATTAATAATTTATATAACATCTGAGGCCAAAAGAAAGATCAGAGTAGGCAGATTTATCTCTTACATAATGCATCTTTAAAAAACAAAATAGATTGTATGGTGTGATTACACTACGGTATACAGCTACATCAAAAGTGAACCACAGTAAAGTTCAAGACAATGAGAAACCTTGTATGACACTTAAAACCCTCTGTAAATAGACATGTTAAGTGAATATTGACATACGGTTACTGTTAACATGAACTTGATAATGGAAGAAGTTAATTGGGAGTTCAAGTACTATGACGCTTCTTGGTCTGCATCTTTTACCAATATTTAAGTGTTAATCTTGTTTAAATATATTTGAACAGCAGTCAATGGAAGAGCACGCAAACTAGAATTTTCACATATATATGTTATAAAATCTCAACATTAATGTAACATCAGGAGGTCTATTTTAACACTAATTTGCACTGTACATGCAACAAATATCACTGTTTATGTAATTTTCATGTAACATAGCAAGATATCAAAATTGTTTTAACACTAGAAGATTAACATCAACACTTGATTAAAATAAGATTAATGGGCATGAGCTCACACTAGAGATCACAAAGAAAACCTTGTGCAAGTTCTATAAATTTTTAATGAAGTTATTACAGTGTAATCATCAATATGTTTATCCTAAACTTAGTTTTCCAAAGATGACAACCACATCATTGGAAAAAGTAAACTTTATGTCTCGCATTCAAGGACTGTTGTTGCCAGCAAGACAAAAATTAACAATAACATGGCTAAAAAAACGATTAAAATTCTAAATGACAATCATTTAGCCCATACCCATTAAACAAAGAGTTTAATGTTCATGGTAAAATAACGACCAAGTTAATGTGTAAACAATGTAATTGTTAGAATAAACACCCTACCCTTCACCAGTTAAAGCACAACACGCCTGTATATGCCACACATGGTCTTTAACAGAAGTTAAACTGAGCTGCTGAGATATTTCTGCGGCTGTCATACATCCTTTAATATCTTGTTTGTTTGCAAACACTAATACGGCTGCCTTTCTAAGATCCTGAGAAAATAGAAGTAAACAAGTCAATATTATTTTCTTTTCAACAGACACAATTCATTCATTATTAAGGGGACATAAATCCTTCTATAACATTGTTCTCATACATAAATGTCTATTTGTTTTGTTTCCATTATTCAATCTATGACAATGTTAAAATTTTTTATTGTATGACTTCAGTTAACAAAGTAACAAGCTATCAGGAAAGCTGATGTCTCCATGTGTGTGAAATAGCTTTATTTAACGTCTGCTTCCACCAAAGTATTATTGTAGACAAGTGATGTCCCCCACCTCAATCCTAATATAAATCGATGACACACATTAAGTACATGTACTTTAATATTTATAATTTTTTATAAATCATCGAGCAGCCAAACTGCTTATCACTCTGCTTTATTAACGAATTTAATGAAAGTATACACTAAGTTTAATCACTATCACTCAATTAAGAGTTATGTTTAAAGCATCGACAAATTAAATTGTCTACCAATGCTTACTGTTATACTTTGTAAAGACATGCAACACCAATCTAACTCAGTAATTGAGTTCCTGTGTTCCAAAAAGTGTGACAAACTGACAAACACATTTTAATAGTCCTCAATGCTTTCTCACAATCACAGCAGCTTATTCATACAATTATTAACAGTCCATAAAAATTGTCACAATTTGTGGTTCTTTCATTGGTTAACTAGCGCATTTACATGACATTAAAAAGTAACAACGGGCCAAAACCCATGAAGTAATGATCAGAATTTCATAGGCTTTTACTTCCATAACCAACAAGTATAAATTCCAAGTTGATCAGATGACACTTTAGCCTTTATTCAAGCAAATGTATCGTCAAAGAAAACAAAGGGCCTCCATTAGATAACTTTCAAAGTAGGCCTAATTATCAAAAGGAATAATAGTAACTACATGTATGATGACTAAAATTATTGGAAATTGATTTAGCCCAGAGAGTATCTTAACAAGATTTTTAAAGTGATCAAGTGGACCAAGAAGACAACTATTTACCTGTACACATTAATTTAGATGTGGGCGCATAAATATTGAAAACTACAAGATTTTTTAAAGTGATCAAGTGGACCAGGAAGACAACTATTTACATGTACATATTAATTTAGATATGGGCGTATAAATACTGAAAACTGCCAGAAAAAATATTTTTAAATGTTGTAGTAAAAAATGTAATTTAATACACTTAGGTTAGGCAAAAGCTTTCTTTACAGAGTACACAATTGGTAGTGAGATTGAAAAGATAGGTTCTCGCTTGACAGTGGTTGAATGAAATGTTTATAAGACAGAACATTACAACCACTGTCACTGTGTTAACAATATCTGATAATGGAGGATCAAATTTATTATGACAGGAAATATGCGCATTAGCAAGATACCCTTTTATTACTGAGATAACAATGTACAGCAGGAATTGTATATAACAATACATTAATAAGCTGAAATAATAAGCTGAAACTAAATATACACATACTGGGATATGGCATCGGATTACATACAGATAGGATAATCCATAGCATTGATTAATGTCTATCTAAATGGAAGGATTGTTATACAATGATTGAAAACCCATATTCAAAAATAATGACTCACCTCATGTCCTAACATTTTACATAATTCTTCTTTTGTTAAGGATAGTCTTTCCCTATCTGTACTATCTATTACTACTATCACAAACTACAATTTAAAATATAAACATAGATTAGACAAATAAGTCATTAGGTCAATGACATTGGTATGAGTGGTTATGTTATTGTTATTAAAGGTGCTTTATTAGCTTTGGCCGAGAAGTTCATCCAAATTTTCCGGCATGGTTTCCCCCTTGTCAGTGATGCAGGACGGAGGGCCTGACAAGGAGAACTGTCTAGTTCTTCAGATGAGACAAAAACCGAGGCCCAGTGTATACATTGGAATGCATACGTAAAAGATCCCTTGGCAGTTGGAATTCGATAGAAGAGTAGGCGATGGTGCCGCTGCCCAGGCAAAATTTCCCTCATAGCACACTGTATGGCGTATGCCCGTCTTCATTAGCCCAGCATAGGAGCAGAACAGTAGGACGTTAAACCCCATTTCATTTCATTTCTGATTTATTAGCTGTTATCAGACAATATCAAATTCTTGGAGGAATAATCCATGCGATAATGTACTCAAATTAATTATTCAACATTTAATAATGAGAACAGGAATCAAAATATCACCGGTAGATACACATTCCAGCTTGGATACAAATGGATCAAAGATTTTGCCATATCTTGTTTCTATCGTCTTCAGTGGATGCCAGATATTGATAGATTTTCTATTCATGTAAATACTGAACAGAATGAAAACCTTTTTGGACTCATATCACTTTTCGAGATTTAAATTTCACGATATTTATGTTTGCATTTGCAAGGGATTAAAATCTCTCAAATGACAATCAAAGACTTTAACCAGCAGGATATGACACCACTTTTAGCACCCACGCAGAAATGGATCCCTTGCATATACATGTACCCATCTAATTCTAAAACGAATTGACATTCACAAGCAATAACAAAGACTTGAAATTAATAAAACTGCATTATGTAAACGCTAAATCTGTCTACTGTCAGTCTTTGTTTTGGTTCCAAATGTTACGGTATATAAAATATTATTTAGATATTTATTCACATGACAAGCCTATAAAGAACTCTCTAGTTCATTGGATGGCCAAAATCTAAAAGGATTGAAACACAATTGTCATATAAAAATCTAATTTTTAAAAAAAAGGGAATTGGGGCTTACTCTTGATTGTCAGGTAAGGTTGCTACAATAATAAACATCTTGTCAAAACTTCAAACACAGATAACTTTGCTAAGAATAAAGTAATTTGAATGAAATTTTCAGTATATTCATTTTTCAATATCTTTTTTGATCTACATGTATTATTGGGAAAATCAGCTAGTTCTTTCTTACATACCTACATATTATGCATCTTTAACAAATCTTTAAAAAAAACAGTCTGATTATCAGGCAACCTGTACACTATAAATGTTTTTACCTCTGTATTTGTATAATAAGTATTCCAGGCAGCACGTAAAGATTCCTGTCCTCCAATATCCCACATTAAAAAGTGTATATTCTTCCATGTTACTTCTTCTACATTACTTCCTATTGTAGGAGACGTATGTACAACTTCATTCATTAAACTGAAAACATTAAAATTTCTCATATATACGTAAGTCTTATTCACCCCAGTCTAAATTTCCTCAACTTTGACAATGAAGAATGTTAGTCTAGACAAAATAACATCCATTGCAAACGACTTACGGGAAAGGTTGTCTCAATCCAAAAGTTAATAAATTGTTCCAGAAAGTGCCAAAGATGGACTGCTTCTGAAGAGTTATTTTGGCCCCATAGTCTGTACCAATGAAACAGATCATCTCTGCTTAGCCTAAGTAGAAAATATTCATCACCACACTCAGTTAAGGCATACTAATGATCAGCTATGCCAAGTTTAATTTCTAGCAAGGTACCATGTCTAGTTGTTCGGATGGATACAAAAAGTGTGACGGATGGACAGGCAGATGAACCCATTTCAATAAGCATAACTGCCTTCAACAGGCAAGGAAATTAAATGTCACAACAAAATTAATAAATCAGCCAAAATGTTCTGGTCATTATATTTAGTTAAAAACTCAACAATGGACATCATATTTTAAAAATTCTCTCCAACATACTTCAATAATTTAGATGCAGATGAACGAATTATTATAAAAGATGAAAACAGAAGCATGATAAAGAGTTTAATTTATGTATTCACTGATATAAATGTCACCTAATGTGTTTATTACAGACCTGTCAAAAATCAATATAATCTTGTATTTATACTGTCACATTCACACTCCAGGGCTTGATAATATACACACATAGAGATCAAATACAGTGTAGAAATACAATGGTATGGAATTATTCACTAAATAAACAATACTGTATGTACATTCATTATTGTTTAGCCACTGGGTTCACACATCACAGGATATTCAATAAGCTTATAAATTTAAACTAACAAATTTGTATCTCCCACAAAAGTCTTTTTGGATTAAGAATTCTTGTTCAAAAGGGAATTTGAAGTCAGGTGAAAATATTGCTGGTCTTGATCTCATTTTTTGCCTGTATAATCCACTTTGGAGAGAGAGAAATAGGGGTTTAGTTTAACACCCACTCAACAAAATATTAAGTCATTTCACAACTAACAATAATTTGCTGGTGCATACGAGGCTTAGAGGAAACCCACAAAGTTAGACAGGTGATCCTACATGTATACTTGTGGGCTTGAAACCACGCCACTTGACTTAGTGACACACCTATAATCTAAGCTCACCTAATCATATGTTATCTCGGGACTAACATATTATTTTTTATGAAGCATAACCTTGGGGGGGGGGGGGGGGGGGGACTGAGTACCTGGAATAACCCTACGCGGTAACACATAAAACATTATGCACAATGCAACCACCCAAATCAAAACCCCTCTTGTCTTGTTTAATTTGAATATTTTAAGTGTTAGACTGGGTTGCATCATCAGCTTTGTATGTCAGAATTTATTTGGAATCTCTAACAGTCCAGAAATGTAAAATAAATCAATGTTCACTTGTATCGTAAATCTGTACTCTATTTACTTTCGGATAAGTCGATACTTTAACAACAGGTAAATAATGTAGACACAAGGACCCAATGCTAATTAACCATTAAATATTTAATTATGTTTTCAAAAGATCTTTTTTTTAAACATACCAATGTACAGATATACATGTATATATGTAAATTAAAACCTTACTCACAGCACTTTATTTGATAAACCTGTACTCAGTAATACACCTGTAGTCTACTGGTAAAATAAACACTGTAACATGTATATAGACTATGCAGTACATGTAACCCATTCTTGTTTAAATAAAAATACTTATGGCTCTGGTTATTAAATAATTGATTATGAAAGCATTTGTTACGCAATCATAATAAGAGGCAGAAAATACTGTTTAGTATTGGGAATATGATGCTTTAAAGAAAAGGAATTAAGATTTGCGAAATGAAACATGTACTAAAATGTACTGACCACAAATTAACTGAAAAATAATACTGGGGCCTGTTTCACGAAATTTTAACTAAGATAAAATCCAAATTTTAGTAATTTGATTGGATAACATTAGACTGATTGTAGAGCTTAGCCAATCAAAATTGAAGTATCTACTAAAATTTGGATTTTATCTTTAGATAAAATTTCGTGAAACAGGACCCAGATTTATGATATGTCAAAGAAATGTTTGATTGAAGAGATGCCTGCGTGCAATATCATACAATCTATTGACTCTACAGATATTGATTGATTTCTGATACATGTACATCACTTATGAAGTTATAATCAAAGACTTAAGCTGTATATAATTTAAATAAGTAAATAGATTTTCAATGATTTACAACATTTACGAACACAAGCTAATATTTCAAATTCAATTATATCTACTACTTATTTGCTTGTCACCATGTACATGTAGATATAAGAGAATTCAACCATACACCATATTTGGTCACTTACTACTCTATAATAATTGAAATGAAATTTAACGTCCTATATTGACAGGACTATTGAAGTCATTAAGTGTGCTATGAGTACTATGACGTAAATTGTATACGTTATACTTACAATTGATATAAAATGGTTGTCTTTCCAGCATTATCTAAACCAACAATTATCACTTTATGCTCTGAAATAAAACAGAATAAAACAAATGATGTTACATGTACAGGTAAATGAACCCTTGAACTGAAACTGAAAAAATATACATATCACTTCCTCTTGACTTATTTCTCGGAGAATACGGGATAGATAACCACAGGTTGCTTGCGGATGAAACATGCACCCACATTGCAATTCTGTAACCTAATTCATAATGAAAAATTGTCATAAGTTATATGTAGGGGTGGGGGGGGAGACAGTAATACCGGTACTTTTTCCAGTGTTTTCCTTAGCCTTATCTGCTGGTACATGTAACTCTATTTTTAAATATATACAATGTACATGTAGTGTGTACAATGCAAGGGATCTAAAATCCTAAAATGTTTGTGATACCTTCTCTTTTTTTAGTTTATGTAAAAGACCAAATTCAATACAAGCACACTGGATAACTTTTAAAATATGTGATCAAGTTCTCAAGTAAAATAACTCTAGAAATAAATATCTGAAACTGTCACATATCGATAGGCTTCCCCTGACAAATCTAAACAATGGAACTAAAAAGATTGAATGACAAATTTAGCCAAAATTTACTTTAAAAAAAGAAGTCATCAATCTATTCAAGTTTTGTCTTACAACCTTTACAATTGAATACAAAACATTTAGAAACAGTATTTTAATATTCAATGTAAATGTAGCTATAAATAGATAGTGATTATAGATTCAATGTTGAACAATGACCATCAAATGCCATTGGCAAATGGAAACAGGTCTTCGAGTGATAGAGCCAGAATAAATGGGGTTTTTTTTCCCACTTCTGTCAAATATAGATTACTTGTGAGCTTACATGTACAGTATTCTACAAAACGAAAGGGGTGCTTAACTCTTGAAGTCGTTGGAAATTGTTGAAATTCAATAAGCATCTTTATTTTACCAACATGATAGTCATACAAATCTACAAAATGTAACAAGGGTCATAACTTTAAAGTAATTAATGAAAATTGTTGAAATTCAAAAGAACTCTTCGTTTGAGTACTTTGAATAATGCATAATACATGTACTAGTATATATATACAAGTTTTTAACATAGCATTTGATAACCTTCACAACATTCTAAAAATTGAAACAAGGGTCAGAAGTGTTAAAATTCACTTAATGGCAACACAAAATATAAATTTAAAACTATCAGTTGATACATGTAAATGTAGCCTGTAGAGTGTTCACATGACATTGTGGACAATGGACACATGGGGAAATATATAACCACATTTTAATGTGAAAATTTTGTGAAATATAGGGTAATAATAAAATTCTAATGATGGCTAGAGGTTTGTCATTTTAATGTGATCTTTAAACATTAAACACCTTATAAAAAGTTATAGCCTGAAGTTATATCTAAATATGGATTAATTTAAAGAGCAGCATGTATCTACATATGGGTATTAATGGTATAGCAACCTTTACCTTTAGGTGTGGTATATTTAGATTTATTTATTTTCATACTCTATAATTATAACACAAATCAAATGATTTGTAACCTGGTAAAAACTTGTGCCTTACAATATTATAACAAGCCATGTCAGATATACCTCTGATGCTTTATAAACCTATAATGGTAAATCTCTTTTACCTTTGGGGTATATTCTATGCCTGGAATAATAGCGGTCTGAAAGTCAGGGTGACTATGAATATACATGTTATTCTTCTGAAAGTTTTTCTTTAAACCTGTAACAGGTTATTCTTCCTGGGTAGGTTTTTATTCCATAAGAAAACATGATATAAGGTTTTTCTTAATGGAATTCTGGGATATTCTCATTTTATGTACATGTAAACATAGACAGTTTATAAGCAAGATAAAGTCCTTGACTTTGGTTACGTTGGGGAAGAAAGACTTTAGAAAAAACCCTCGAAAGACAAACCTCGGCCTACCAGCCTCTGTTTTTGTTTTTCTCAGGTTATTTTCTTCAGTTTTTCTTTCCCCAGCATATCCTCAATTTTGTGCTTTATCCAACACAAGAAGCTGGCCGGGGCTGTTAGATCATAAGGTCTGTCATTGAGTCACGTAGCATGGTTTCAATGATAAACTTGCATTTGACAAGGAGTAAGGTCGCCCTTCCCAATCTCGTTGGTTTTCTTTGGTTGTTCCCACTGTTCCAAATTCCTGCACATTGGAACTGTCACATGACTCTGACACTGCCACAAGTAAAATATTGGCCTTGGTCTTTTAGTGCGGCATGCATTAATGATGTACATGTACACAAAACACATGCATGTGTGGAGATTGGCGTACATGTACATGTGGTTTCAAAGACAATCTATTATTAAAAGCCGATTTGATAATGAATATTCAATTGCATTCCCCCTGGTAATTACTAAAGCTTTCAAGCCAGAGATCTTAACCACAGAGTAAGATGTAATGTTGACCAGTTTGCCCTTGTTCATCTCTATTGGACTGAATATTATTACATCTGGGTAATAAGAGACTACATGTATGTCAACCTTGCAAATAAAATTGAACAACGAAAGAGAAAATGGACTCAGCAGAACCCATCAGGTTTTAGAGATATAATTTAACCTACATGAATAGAAACATACATGTACACCGTTGTGATGACATTAAGGGCATGTACAATAATTTGACAGCAAATTACTTCCAAATTACAGCCAGGATCCTTACACTCCACTAAACATTTTAAGGCAATTAAAGGATACAAGCAATGAACCCATGAAGATAGAATATGTGTACCATGTGTCGATAATTACTATGCATTTATTTGGTTCAATTAATTTAATGTGAAAATGTATTGGGGTCTTTTCCAGATACACATGAACTTTCATATCACCATGGGCATGAACCTTATAATACATTATAAGGTCCATGATATCACAGCAATGGTAACGTTTAGAGGTTTGTACGTATCTTGACAGACTGCAAAGATATTGCACCCCTTTTTATTCATTAACAGGCGTAATACATGTAGCCCTATTCTTTGAGAATTTGGTAAATTAGACAAAAAAGTGTGGTTTATAAATTCTAATCCATTTCTGTTCTAGGAAATATTTGAGCAGCCCAAATTTAATGGCAGTTGTTTGGTTCCATCTACAAGTTATCTCTTTTTCCTTGTCATTTGTGGATCAGTCTTATTACAAATGGTGCTGACGTCCCTGAGACCCTGACGTCCGGAAGATTTTTTAAGTCAAATATAATGGATAATATTGAATTATACACCCTTTAAGCTGCTAAGATATTATTAAATTTGCTTTAAATCCAAAAAATTGGTAGCAGTGGCAGATTTTTAAATCCTTTCCATTTCTGTTTAAAATAATCAACTGGTGCTACATATCTGTACTCTATATACTTTTTGTCTTACTCTTAGACATCAGAACCCTTGCATTCTAATGATGTAAGCTTAATGAATCTTGTAGTGAATGTTGAACTCAATAAAAAAAAACGTTATATACCGGGTACATGTATGCTCATGCTGTCACCCACCCTGTTTAGTTGATAAGATTTTTTTATTTAGACATTTTCGTTTACAATCTAAACAAAATATTGATCGACGATGTTTAATGTAAATACCTCTAGTTTACGCAGTTATTAGACAAACGATGGCTTCCTTACATGTAGTAAAGGAGAGGAGGGGTAACACTGGCTCTTCATACTGTATATAAACTACATGTAAAAACAACCCAGACATTATTATTGTTCACAATACAGAGATGTTTATTAATCACTGTGGGGGGGGGGGGGGGGGAAAGGTTATTTCCCAATCACTTAAACCTTAATTTTCTGTGTACCTTACTTAATTTTAATTTGGAGATGAAATTTTATCAAAAGATAAAATAGAAGAAAAAGATGACATACACATAAGCCAGAAATGTTATGTAAACTCCAAAGCATTTTGCAGTGTTAACTTGGGATTATTGTGATAATATTGGTATTTACTATTGTAAAATACCATAATTAAAAGAAAATGATTGCTTGTCAAGAAGTTTTTAAAAGTTAATAATGAAACAACCTGTTTTGACCAACATGACAAGTATGGCAAACCTTGTAATTGTGTAACAATGTTAAGTAATATCAGGATATTACTATGTAATTTATCTTAATCATGAACTATTACTATGTAATTTATCTTCATCATAATAAAAGCATGACCATTAGCTATCTACACTGAACTTAAGGAGCATACATGTACTTGTATTTCATCATCTACTTACCATACAATGTGGTTTAATTATTACCTCTTCAAAGCTTATTTGTTATCATCTAAAATAATCATTATTTCAGAATGATTACATGTACCAGGTTGTCCCAAAGTTTTCGAAGCAAAAATCAGTCCCAAAAATATTGCCAAAATGTTCAATATGTTGTGACTGACAGTTTACACGAATCAATTTTTACTGCTGATGTTAAGTTTAATATAAAGTTTATAAATATGAGAGTGACCGGTGACCCCCCACCATCTTCTCATCTATGATGTCTCCATTATCAAGTCATCAGTTTAATCCCTCCTGTCTGGGCATGGTGAGATAACTAGGCAGGTCAACAACATAAAATTCATTTCAAAATAACTTCATACTTAAATTGCAATGTCAAATCGTATCCTAAGGTACATGTACTGTATTGTACTATATAAAAACAGTGACACAAAAAACAAGTATTGTTTTCCTACTAATATTAATACAACCTATAGCTGGTCAGCATGAATATATATGACTATGACTAAGCCAAACTTCCTTCAATTAATGATGTACATACTCTAACATATTTGATCACTTAAAGATGCCTTCCCGTGTACATGTACCAACTGGGTGGTAATATATTTGGACTCTTAATTCATCACAACTTTGATTCAAATCCCTCTCTAAATCGTCAGGCTTCCAGTTACATTTTTGTCCTGTGCACACCCAATGGGTGTTTTTCAGGGAATCCAGTATTTAGCTAGTAAGATAGGGTGTCTCTATTTCCAAAATTGTCATACTTTTCTTGGAAATAACCACCTGACAAATACTTTTGCAGGATTGTATCTTTAAAGATGCATTATGTACGATTTAGATAAAGAGCTGGCTTTTCTTGCTATAATACATGTAGTTCCAAAATAGATAATTTAAAATTAATACATGTATATTGAAAATTTCATTCACATTACTTCTGAGCGAACTTATCCCTCCGGAGTTTTGACAAGATGTGACATAGATTCTTTATTACTGTAGCAAGACAACATCAAGTTTTCAGGAGGTCTGGGGAACAGGGGCGGATCCAGGAATTTTTGCAGGAGGGATGTTTGTGAGGTTCCTGTTAAGGAAATTTGACAGTTGATAATGCATGATACCATCATCGTCTCCAAATTACACAGGCATACATACACACTGAGCTTTTTAAAGAGAAATCCAACACTCTGTTTGACGTTTATATTTATTATGAATTTTGTGATTCAATTTCATTGATGCAAAGCATTAATTGTGATATCACATATCATATGTCTATATCATATCTCGCGCTTTGAATGACCATCCCATTCCACCATCTGATGATAAAGGATTAAGCACACCACCGAGACATTTTTCTCATGAAAGTGTTGTTTTACAATTTTTTTTATGTAGCTGGGAGATTACCCAATTTTATAATATTAGAAACTCTTGAGACAATATTTCTACACATCTATGTGCAAACATTATTACATGTACAATCTATACAGTGGAGGGAGGCCAAAACATGGCAATGGTTTACAGTATTTGTTTGTTGGAAATAAACCTAGTTCTAATTTAAGCAGGTTTTTACGGGTTTTCCCATCTTATTATCATGTAACTTTTTATTATCACGTCATGTTCTATATGCCTCTTGAAAAAATAAATAAATAAACGTTATTTTGATGAAGGTAGGAGAAAAAAATATATGTCCCATTTTCTGATTTTCATCCAAAATGACTTGTGGATATTGGAATACTTGTTTAGTGGTCATAATGGCTATAAAACAAAAGTCACGTATACATGTATGTCATTGGTCAAAATGGCCAAAATTTACATGTAATTGCTTAAAATGGACAATAAAATAGAAATATATTGCAAACAACAATATATTTCACAAATCACAACATAAATTAACTTTTAATCATTGCATAAAAATAAGAATTGACGGAAAAAGCAGATATAATAGTTCCAAAATAGACAATGGAACATGAATATACCTGTATTAAAAATTTCAGTCCCATTACTGTATTGTGATTAAAGTTATGAATGTTTGAAGTTTTTGACAAGAATTAGTCATAAATTGCCAATCATTGGCAGATAGAAATACTGCCCAGTCTGGCTACAGTTCAGATTACCAATGCACATACATGTACATGTACCATGGCATTGCCACTATAATAAACAAAGTCTTGTTTGTTAGTCCTTTTATCGACAGTCCGGCCATACATACACATGATTAGCATTTAACGCTGATATGAACTTATGAAGGGCATTGTGTGTAATCCACTCAATATCTAAGAAATCTAATGGTCTACAAATAAAATAACAGCCATGACACAAACTAATGTCTGTTCCAGCTGATACTGCCACTCGAAAATTGCTTGCCATTTTTTTTCATTTTTGAATTAAAATGGCTAAAACTTTGTGAGACATTATAGCTCTGTTTGAGAGCAAAGTCTGGGAATGTGGCATTTTTAGAAAACGTTTCAGTTTTCAAAATATTTGCTTCAAACTTTGTGATGACATACATCTATATGTGCTGATCAGCTGTCAATACATGTACAAATTCAAACACAAATTATCTTCTGTAGTAGATCTAGCTTTTAGCGTATAAACTGGGTAATATTTATCCGACTGACCCAGAATTACAGTATTCTTAGAAAATCTTTTTGGAACACTTTTGCGGGTTATAATTAGCTGCCCTTGTAAATGTGCAGAAAAAGCCGGAAGCCAATTTTTGAATTTCGTTTTCCTACAATTTGGATCATAAGGCTGCAACATAACTATCTTTAAAGGCATATTAGTCATATATAAGAGCAAACGAAAATCCATAATTCATTTTAAAATTTTTGACATTTCCGGGAGTGTCAATATATTCCTTTATCACAATGATTCTCAACCAGTGTTACTAATTGTGCCGCAAAATTTTGAACTGCACACTAAGAAAATGCAAAAAGCCACTTGATCCCAATTGAGTATTCACTGGCGCCTACTGGTCCATTCATGGCTGTGTTTTTCTTTATTTAGTTTTAGTCATTCTATGCTTCTATGACTAGTCTGTGTCTATAGTTGTATGCCGTCTATGACTTGCCATGTTTTTATTTTACAAAATTCAGATGTTTTTCATATATATTTAGGCCGTGTAAAATTGATACCTTGTTTCTTCTCCCCATGTTGTGGGTAAATCTATGAGGGTGTGCGGTAAACACAACACAAACAGTAATTTTCAACACAAACTTTTGCAAGGCCTTTATACACTATGAATTTGCTATAATCCTTTTCATTCATATGATATACACTTTAGGTTTTTTTCATGCTAACAGCTACAATTTATAAAAGAGTTTAGTAAAACACATATGAATTTATATCTTTTATTTTGACTGACAAGTTACATTTCCACGGACTACATAATAATAATTTTAATATAGTTTTAAAAAATTAAAATGTCCTGAGAAAAGGAACTAATTTTAAGTCTGAAATCTGTTTTAAAAAATGCAGGTGACCTGTCCAACATTTAAATTTGACGCAATTTGAGTGATGTTTTGATCGTCCTTCGATTTGGCACACCAATGACTGTCCAGTCAAGAAATATCGTATCTTTACGACAGATTTTGAGCGAAACTATCGGTCCATACCATCAACCAGAACCTGCCATGTTGATTTTTCACAAACCAGGACTCGCCTGAGAGTCGCTTTTTCATTGGTCAATATCGATAAGATAAGACGGTTCCTGTCACTTTCATCCAATAAAAAGTATTCTTACTTAAAGAGTTAGACTTTCACTTTAGCATTGACAGATCCATAACGGACGTCTGGCTAATGAAAGGCAATTTTGATTATGTACGGTATACCGTAGAAATGGTTCCACTACTGATGCCTTCCGTCTTACAAATATAGTAACTAGGTATATATACCGAAGCCTTAACTATGTATAATCGATGGCTATAGACCTTAACCGGCATACTTTGAACTTGTAAACTTTCGGAGATCGCTTATTCGGTTAAAAATTAGTATTTTGTTTTGAGAAGTTGTGCGGGCGATTTTTGTGTCCCGATTCCTAAGCGCGCGGGCGAGAAGAAACAAGGCATCAATTTTACATGGCCTTAGCCAGGTGTGTCGTTTTCTTTTCGTGTGTTTCAAAGTGTGCCTTTGCCAAAATATTTTATATAATTATTTTTTTATAATACATGTATAACATTTGATGCCAGAAAAATGCATGTCAAGTTTAACTGTCACATAATGCCTCTTTCATCGTTTGATTAAAAATATCAATTGGACATGGTTTCAACTACCACCATAATCACTTAAAAGCTAAAATGATTTTTATGAATACCGCAAAATTGCATAATGATCTTCAAGGGAAGGAGGTGAGTACTTATTAAACAAATCATTGTTTAAGCCCCATTTAAGCAGGCCCTATACATGTAAGTACTCCAGCTATTACTGATTAAGTAACATGAGCTGAACATTAATCCAGATTAGGTTTCTCTTATGATCAGTATTTATCAATGCATGATTATGCATTGCATTTCTTTGAAGAAACCATTCATGAAGATTTCTTACATGCTAATTGCTAATAGTAATCACCGGCAAAAGACATCTCATGTTCTCATTAATTCAAGTACTACTACTAGTACTAGTACTGGCCAGTTATATTTATGTCCAAACAATCATCAGTAAGATGCTACCCCTTCACCCCTTTTCATTTCCAGGCCATATGAAATTGATGCCATTCTACATGCATGCATCTGTTGTGGAGGGTTGGCTTGTTGGCTACATGACAATGACATAAATATATTTGAAAAAAATATTTCCTGATGTTAAAATATTTCTTTTGTCATGGATTCATTTTACACACCAACCAAGCTACATGTATTGAAGACATTGCTATGCTTAATTTATATAAATAGATATTCGGTCGATAACATAATTATAATTGGTTGATTTGAATTTTATAGTTATAAGTCTTTGTTTGTTTCCAAGTATGCGTAGCAAATGCAATTAAATACATTGAAAACAGCTGCCTGGCAATGCAAACATCTTTGTTTGCCTTCCTTTGGTACATAATAGGACTAGTTATTAGTCTGGCAGTGGCAGTACTGGCACTGTTTTGTTAGCCTTTAGTTATGGACTATTTAAACATTAACAGTTAGGAACTAAACTACGCCTTGAGAACAAATAATATAAACTACACACAGTTTGGTCAGTAGCTGTCATCTCTTGTGACTTTGGCATGATCGTGTAATTCAAGTAGGCTATCTGAAGTATGTCGTAGATCTCGTCACACAGTCAAATGACACTTGGTTCATAATCACATTGTCAAAACCCTCACCTTCATTTGTGAAAAGACTCCACAGTTTAGAAAACAGGTACCCCATCTTTGAAACCGTTGTCTAAACGGCTCTTCTCTTCCTTTCACTATAATCTGCTCTTATGTAAAATTTCGTTAATTAATTGACAAAATCTGTTATAACATCTTTGTTGATAACGTCATGATCTGTTAAAAAATAAACCCACTTTCTTCGAGTATGTCCAATTAACACGAGAAACCGGATGTGAGGTCATTTACCCAACGCGTGAAAATATCACGTGATAAAGATAATATCCGGAACAAGAAGTGTAATTATTAACTAAAAGTAGCGCAAACTTATTTCCTTTATAAATAATTCTGATCTGGAAAACCCTGTTTGTAAACAATGACAGATAACAATATAGCGTATCCTTTACAAGCATTTTTGTTTTAATATAAAATTTTGATGAGGGCTCCCTTCATATTTTTATTACTAGTCATAGATACAAATTCGAGGCGAGAACTGAGAGTGAGAAGCCATTGCTCATTAGCAAGCTGCAGAAACGAAACCAAGATTATTATTCTATCTAGCTAGCAGTTCCTTTAGGAAGGAACCCGTCTCCTCTGACTGTCCCTACTCGTCCCCATTAAAGGGACAATAACACTCTTGCTGGCTTGACAGCTCCAGAAAATAAAAAAATAGTCTTATTCTAAGTACTAGATGTGTTGCTGTTAGTGTCCTACCTGTTGTGTAAATTATCCATTAAATCCTATTTTACTTGTCCAGAGGTTTCAAAAATATTTTTAAATCCAAGTCACATTAGTTGAATTTTTCCAATTTTTTAATTTAGGTGTGTTAAGATGAAATTTGTATCATTAATTCATTAGAATATTGTAAAATAATACAATCTGTTGACCAGAATAAAGATTGGGACATATTATTCAGTTACAAGAGTGGTATTGAGCCTTTAAGGTGCAATATGAAAATACAGCTCTATCCCACCTCTGTTCTAAGGCTATTTAGGAATCCTTAATTACCTTCCATTTTTCACCATGTCCATGATTCTTTTTCTTTTCCCCCAAAGTGGCAAAAGGAATCATTTCTCACCACATCTTACACAGATTATAATATGTTCAGTAGGTAAATGCCTTTACTGAGTTCAATGATTAACATTTTCAGTAATTTCATTGGTTAATGCTTTGGAGCAAGATAACTGATTCTAATTTCTAATTAATGGAGAGTGATGAAACTTAGCAGTAGAGTTTTAAATAGGCTACTTCAAAACCATGACCGAGTTTGATCGTAAACATTTTCTGCTTAGACTAAGTATAGATAATCAGTTTGATCGCTTGATACTTTCCAAAAAGATACATGTGCAATTAATTAATAGGCCTATGTATAATCTATTTATTTTGTATTTACTTGGTTTAATTATTATTTGTCATTTGTGAATCAGCCATTTTTAATTACTTCCATGTTATCTTCTGCGATATGTTTTCTTTTTTTCATTACAAATGGCACCCAAAAACCATTATATCTGTAGATCACATGACTCGTGTAGTGTTTTAAAATGTACACTGTGTCTTAAATAGTCGATAGAAGGATCTTATAATTTCCTGATAAGATAACAACTTCAATATTTCGAATATTATGAATAATGTTAAGTTAGAGGTTCAGCTCCTTTAATTTATCAATTTAAGATTATGTTTTATAACAAAACCATACAGAGATCTAAACATACCTTTTCCAAGTAAAAAAGAAGCAGAGATTGCGTATGGAACACTAAGTGTTGACCAGGAACCTAAAAGAGGTGGTGTTAAAAGGTCTCTTAAAGTTGAAGACTGTATTTTAAGAGTGTAAGTTTGATAAAATTGAGATTAGCAAATTGATAAACTAAATTATTTATAGTTGTGTCACGCCCAAGTTCAGTTTAAAATTGCTCCTTTGGCTTTTCTAAAAAATGCATTTTAAAATCCAATATAAGTAAATTGTGCCATAAGCATAAAGTCCAACAAAAGACCAACCTCATGGGTTATCTATGGGTTCATCCCACTGCTAAAGACCTGTACACACAAGTTCATTATTGAAATAAAATTGAACCGTATGTTTGTGTCAGGTGGACTTAAAATGCCCTCTCTCCCTACCTCCAACAAAAGAATGGACAGGCCTATTTAGAATAACAAAACTGAAACCAAATTTATGTGCAGTTATGGTTACTTGAGCTGGACTGCAGTTTCGTGGTGAAAAAATGTTTCATCTGATATCAGTTGTTCTTTATTGAATAATTCAGCTTTTTTTTTTTTTTACAGGCATTTTGAAGCTAAAGAAATTAGAACATTAAGAGTCAGTGTCAACTCATTCATGGATTATTTATTGTTAGTTTTACAAACAATTCAAAAATTTGGGCCACCATCATAGCACATATTAACTTCTAGGGCTAATTAAAAACAAACTATAATATTTTGGATTGTTGAAGATTAATTTGTGATAAGGAAAGTAGTATTCAAATCAGAATGTGATTTTGAAGTGTTTGACTGCACTTGGCAAAGCTGTAATGGCCTAACAGTAAAAAAGAAATTTGGCTTATATTTCCATGTAGGTCTAAGTAATATGTAAAAAAAACTGTGTCCTTTTGATTCTCATTTCTCTGAAAGAGTGTTTCTTCAGATGGAACAAAGAACTGAGATCCCATGTACAGAATTGTAGTGAATGTAAAAGATCCATACTCTCTTCCAGCCCCCATGTCACACATGTTACCATTACAGTTATCCAACTTAAGTCATGACAAGATGTTAAAATAAACTCCATTCCATATAATGTTTTCAGAGAAACAATTGGATAATCAAGATAGTGTGTTTTTTGATTTTCATAAATGGAGTTGTCTCCCATTCCCTGGTACAGCACAGAGTTGTATTTAATTTAGGCTCTGGAAACAGATGTGTCTGTCTAGGAATAGATCTACAAACGTGAACAAGTAAAGAATACCATTACTATTATTTATTCTTCATGATTGTTACAGTAAAATCCTAATAGCAGTGCACACTGCTCGGGAACAGTCCAGATGCTAGTCGGTAAGGCTCTTATCGATATTGGATGTTTTGACAAAAAGAACAACAAAAAAACTGTGTTGTGTTGGGCAAGCCTTCTTTTATTATTATTATTATTATTATTATTGTTCGATTTATACCATTGCTATGACATTGTCTCACAAAATATTGTAAGATGGTCGTGTTTTCTCTACTTTCTCCTAAAATATACTTGCATGTTTACGATAATAAAATGTGATGTTGCTTAGCAACCTATGTTTTAGCAATTTATCAGAAGTTCAAGACGATATCACACTCTGATGACGTCACAACAGGTTTATATCATTCTGCAATAAAAAAGGACACAAATTCTTTCTTTTAACATTTTATTCACTTTAACTAAAGTTAATATAAATTAATACAGTATTTAAGGTCATGGGACAAACAATCAAAACAAATTCTAATGATCACTAATTCACGGTTATAGTGAATCCCCCAATTAGTAGTAGTAGTAGGTGGGTCGTGGGGCAACAGACTGTGCAATTGTTCTGTCAACTCTCACAAAACAGGTGGAATTAACATGCAGGCCTCGAGATTCTGTCTCATTTCTTATCCTCTCGTTACAAAAATTTTCTCCTATCAATGAACTCAAATGCCAGGAAATTTAGGCCCAGTACCAAACAATTAAAAGCTGAATTACATATTATACATTGCTATTTGAAATTTTTTTCCACCTACGACGCTCAATTTGATTACATGACGTTAAAAAATGGGGTTTAACGTCCACTGGACACAAACTAGGTCATTTCGGGACTAACACATGGTTCAATTTTTATCTGCCCACATTTTCATGTGGACGTATATTGTCGTCGCCCCTGTCCGTCCGTCCACAATTGTTTGTGAACAGTCTACAGGTCACAATTTTTATCTGATTTCAACGAAACTTGAAATATATAGGTTTATGACCCTAAGATCTCGGTTCCTTTCGATATTGGCATGTATCGGACTGTAACTTCATGAATTATGGCCCCTGATTGTACGAAAAATCACGTTTTTAGCTTGTGAACACTGTAGAGGTCACAATTTTAATCCGATTTGGTTTAAACTTGAAATGTATGCTTATAACCCAAAGATCTCAGTTCCTTTCGATATTCGCGCATATCGGAACGTAACTTCCTGAATTATGGCCCCTGATTGTACGAAAAATCGCGTTTTTAGCTTGTGGACCCTATTGAGGTCATAATTTTTATCCGATTTAAAAAAACGTATTATTATATCACCGTTATGTAGCACATGCTATCGTCTAAAACAATTAACTACTTACGTCATTCCAATCGAAATATTCGTCAACATTTCTTAGCGTGTTTATTTATTTATTTAAAGACATAAACCCCCATCAAAATATGGTCATAAATCCGACAATATGCCATCAAAATAGAATCTTTTCTCGGACATCAGGCGTATTGAATTCAGCACGTATACATCTCTTAATTTCACGTGTCTCGCGAGATTTATACTTTCATTTTAATTACTGAACTCTATAAGCGCCATGTGTGTGAAATATCTTTATTTAACTTCGGCTTCCACCGAAAATATATCACAGACAAGTTATCGGATACAATGTATGTTGATTTGAGGTGTTATATACTATCAGGATATGTGACATATATGACTAATTTCTACGTGTTATTGTCCAACACAAACGAGATTAAAACGTGAGACAATGGTCTGGAGAAATCACGGGTTAATCAGATTAAGTTTATAATCACTCTGATTGGATTGATATATCGTCCGACAAAGGAGAAGCAATGACTTCTGTTCAGGATTGATTTGATGAATTGTCCGACAAAGGATTAAGTCAGCCAATCAAGGCAGAATAGTAGTTAATCAAGGTAGGTGTGTAAGACGATATAACACGATAAATAGTCGATCACTTAATTACCTAATCAATCCAGCCTATTATCAACGATAATCGGGTTGCACGGTAGTTATACACTCAGTACACTATATTAATTTTGGAATTTGAATATTATTCACCATGTCTTAATGTCCGATTTGGCATATTCCCGGTCGGACAATTTTGGGCGTTTCGAAAAAAGATTCGGACAAGTCCGGAATATACGGCTAAAATCCCATCACTGCTGTGGACCCTATAGAGGTCACAATTTTTATCCAATTTTGTTCAAACTTGAAATGTAAGTTTATAACCAAAGGATCTCGGTTGCTTTCGATATTCG